TAGGTCTAGGTGTAGGTAGTCCCTAAGTTCCAGTCGTGTCTTCCTCTGTGTCACTCAGCGTGAGTCTGTGGGCTTCCGTATCTTCCTTTTCATGTTGTGCTTGGTGACTTGTTGTTGCGGGACAGAGATTACGGTATTGCGCAAGCAAGGGCATGTCGATTGAAGTTTATGGCTACTCTTGTCCTCGACAGATTCGTGCCGAAGATTTCTTCTACCTCTGTGACTTATAATAACTCTGAGTAGGCTGAGGCTCGCCTTATGCGGCGACTCGTAGTTTCTACAAATAGGCGCGGGTCTCAATAGTAAACGGAGCAGGCGCTATTATCTAAATGTAACGCAGAGCATTGGCCCACCTTTACTCCAAAGATGTGGCTCAGTTTTGTTTATTCTGAGGGAGAACATGTAGTGTGCTGCTTGTGTACGTGTAGCATATACTATAGACTTCTGGGAATCTTTGCTGCGTGCTCTTATTCCCTCTCAATTAGCGCGATTTACCTTTGGTAAGATTAATAGATCATGGTTGCTTAGCATGGTGTAGATGCTAGACATTTCTTTTTTAATGCGTGATCTCTGTTATGGCAGTCACAGTTCTAATCTGCGGATTCTCGAGAACGATGTCAGTTGGGAGCGTGGCAAGGCCTTAATTGTTGCGCCAGGACGACGGGACGAGTCAATCGGTTTTTACGGCAATTGCAATGCGTGCGGCTCTCTGTAGTGTTTAGCTCGGTTTCAAATTTTCTATCTTTCTTCTCTGTCAAATATTTTCGTCTGATCACAAAAGGAACCCTGCTGGCTGGCTTAGATACTATCACTCACGACCACCTAAACAAAATTAATAGAAGGCCCATGCGCTAATGACATGATTGACTGGCCAGTGCCGTGTCTCCACCAATGCCTCGCCTTTCTAATCTCTTGTCTCGGATGTCAGCCTAAAATCATGTGGCTTCACCCTCAACAGACTTGACGTAGTCAGTAGTGCGTCTGGAGTGCAGGAAGATGACCCAGCGAGTTCATCGGTCCGTCTAGATTTTGCCTCTGTGCCAGGAATTCGTCAGACACTAGGTGCCACTGCAGGAGATACCAGGCAATCTACCACTAGTGAAGGCGAGGGTCTAAAAAGAGGCTCACGCGGGCAGCCTTTAGGCAGGTGCGCAGCGGGACGGCCAATTGCAGATAGGCTTCGGGGGATCACTTCCGGCGGATCATTTTTCTCGCATTCGCCGGGACATGGTAGCCAGCACTACAGCGTCTTACTTCCAGCACCCGAAAGTAATAGGGATCCTTTGGAACGCATGGCGATCGCAGATTTCGAACTCGACCAAGAATGCGGACAAGTTCTTCTGAATCTCAAGGGCCTCGAATGGATGACGCTAGAGCATTTATTAAGAATGCAGTCGTACTAGTGCTTAGGATAGAAATTTTCGACGGAAGTTTGTAGGTACTACTAGAGGCCGCCATGGCTGACATTTCTTGCCTTGCTCGTTTCTAATCTTCGCAGTCGAGCAGTCGCATATGCTGCCGTTGGGAGAGCCCCATCATGTATGGAGCCTATACGACTGGTTTTTGCATGCATATGAGTTACGCAGGGGAGTGCTTCAAAGTTCTTAGTCTATTTTTGCAACATTTTTGGCATAAATACACTCTCCTAGAGGTGTGCTTCATTGTTTATTTGGTGCAATTAATACTCTGGCGTCTGCATGGCTTCTTATGATGAGCTAGATGCATCACGTAGACGTAGAGCAATTTTTTAGCTGCCTTTCTCTTTGCACTTGATAAGGATTCCGCGCTAAGAAATGAACAAGCTCTGCTGCTATTCCGTTATCCGTTCTTGGAAGCAGCAGACGCGCAATTTGCAGCAGCATGGCCAGCTGAAGCGGCCAAGTACAATTATGGCATGACCTGTGACCAAGCACGTGTCGCACATTGTCACTCGCCGTCCCTCACTGTCACCTGTAGATGACATTTTTTTTAGATTTTTTTGTGTTCGTCCATCAGAAAAAGATAAATAGCTTTGTAGTTCGAGTTTTATCGTCATTGATCATATGACCGCCATCGACATCAGAGTACAGATCAACAAACCGACCAGTCTCTTTTCTAACAACAAAAGCGGCTCCGAGAAGCTGAGGCCGACGATCAAGCACAAGGTAGTGATCTACAGGAGTCATCAGTCTACTCAGCCAGCAGAATTCAACACCAGCAAGCAGCTCCTGCTAGCTCGTCGACACGCGTGGACACGTACGCAGGAGCACGGCGGCAGTTGGAGAAAAGGAACAGCAAGACACTCTCTTCATCATTGCTTGAGCAATCTCTCCTAGCAAGCCGGGTTGAGTTCGCACCCACAAAGCAGGCTGACGCTATGCCTGCTCTTCGCCAGCAGAGCCCTGATTTTCCAGTGAATGTCGCAGGTCAACGCCAACCAGTTGAGAGATCCTCTTCGCCTTCACCTGCAGGACAAGACGCAATCTTAGATCGTATGCGGCAACCCCTCTCAAAAATACGGCGGCGACCGAATAACGGAAAAGGAAGCGCTGCTTCTCCACCCGCTGTCACAGGCCTATCGCGAGACAATAACATCATGACTCACACTCACGAGTCTTCAAGTTCTCACATTCAAGGTATATTTTTCTACTAGCCTTCGCTTTTTTATTGATGCTGGAGTCCCATCATGGAATCAATCTGAATTATTTTTGTGTTAGAGCAATTACATTCGAAAGAATCCTTTTTCATCACATATCTATAAAAAAATTTAGCACTAACGTTGTTGCACGGGTGCGAAGTCAATACTCAATCCAGATGTATTTGTAGCATCCCCTGTCCAGACATGAGGACTAGTTTTTTTTGATCTTATTACAGGCCCAGTTCCAAGCACCACAACGTCGAGCAGCCTCGCAAAAGGCGGGAATGAAGAAACAAAATCAACGCGAGTGATTCCTGGCAAGGGCAGTAAACTAAGTACGATTTTGCCGGGTAATGTGCAGCCTCCGGATACCATCCTTCAAGCAAAGGACCTCGCGCCGCCGCAAATTCCGAACAAGCCGCCTGAGCCGTTGCCGCAGTGTAGTCTTCAGCGTAACAAGAGTAAGACGTCTGATGATCATCAGGCTACAGGTCTTCAAGCAGAAAATCTCTTGCCACGCGTTTCTGATGAAAGCAAGATCATCAACTCGAAAGCACACAGCACGAGCAATGTTGGCAACTCCGTAGACAATAGTAATGAGAATCACGCCGATCCTGATCGCAAGAAGCAATCAAGAAATGCCAGTGCATCGCCTGGATTCACAAGAGCTGCGGCGGTGTCTGACATCCAACTTCTAAATCGTTGTGATAATCCACAAAATGCGGTAGAAAAGACGACGCCCGGCGCCGTTGTCATGACGGCGTCAAACGGCCGATCTTCTAGACTTCTAGATCAATATGGTCAGCAGCCTCAACACCTCTCCCAGCCGGCGCATTCAGTGTCTTCTGGATCATTCAAAAGAGAGTCTGCTTCTGATAAGGAGAGTGCGTTCGGGAGGCTCAACGACCGCGAGCTCCACGCTGTCGGAAAATCGGATAGTTGCAACATCCTCAACATTCAAACAAGAGCAAAATTAGTATTCTCCGACGATAACCACAGAGGTAGTAGTTCCTCAAGCATGAACGTGCCGAACCTTCTATCACCCCAACTTCCGTCAATTGCTGAAGTCCCACAATCTGATGCATCAAGGAATTTGGGAACGTCTCCAGTGGCAGCCTTTAGACCTCATGACTCCATTGTCAAGCGAGGCAGAGATCCCGCTACGAGTGACGGCAAGAAGCGTCATCGCAGTTCTGAGCCACGGAGACAAAACGCTTCTACAGGAGTGGCAAGGTCTGCATTGCAACGCGCTGCGAGTAGTCCACGGATTGGCTCTCCGCATATTGGAGCACAGTCTCTACCAGATGGAATGAATTGCGACCCCACAGAGCGCGCATTTGCCGGCCAGCCCCTGCGTTCCGGACAATACTCCACTCCAGTCGAAACTTTGAAGCGAGTGCGCTCTGAGGCGTCGTCGCAGATTAGCAACAGTGGTAAGGCTAGTAGCAAGTATGCGCTTTCCGTCGGCGACCAGGCTCAATCGTTTGCGCGGGATTTGGATTCTGCCATGAAGCGTTTAGACAAGAGCAAGTCGCAGTCTGGTGCGCGCGGTCGTAGTAGTTCCCAAGAAAAAACTCCACAGCTTGCACCAGTCAGAATGACAAAACAAGGCATTCCAGTGAAATTATCGATGAGACAACGAAAAAAGAGGTGGGAACTGTTTGCAAAGCGGCAAGCAGAATCACTATCTTTTCAGCAGGGCCAAACAGGAGCTAGCCAGCCCTCGCCACACGCTCAGGCCAGTACGCAAGGTTGTGCTCCTACTATACGCTCAAGCGAACATCAGTCTTTCTCCAGTCCTGGAGCAAGCAAATCTGCGAACATTAAAGCTACTTCGTCTTCCACTAACGAGCAAGCACGTGCTGCTTCGTCGTCATCAAGCACAACGATTTTTCGGCCAGGAGTGCGAAGTGCTCCTGCGAGTAACATCTTCCTTTCTAGTATCAGAGCTCCTGCCCAACCCACGAGTTTGGTCTCTGCGTCTTCCTTATCAGAATTGACCAACCGAGAAGAGAAAACGCATGATGCAGGCGAACTAGGTCGAAAAGTCGGCCGTGGTGCAACTTTCCCACCAACGCGAGCAGACGACCTGACTCTGGCAAGCCGCTGCGGAAAAATGCAAGAAATCGCTCAAAATCGTAATCCGACGCGCCTTTCGGCAATTCAGGAAGAAGACGAACGGATGACTGAGGAGTCAGAAGGCTCGAATCTAGTCACCGGAGCGGGATCTGCAAACAGAATATTGGAACCTCTAGTCTCAGCTACATCGTTTTCATCTCAGAGCCAACCCATCACCAGTCAGCGGCAGATAGATACGCATCTGTATGGGAGACAACTGTCGGCATTGACGACCCACAGCCCCTTGGATGATGCCAGTCGCGCCGGCTTGCATGAGGACGCTCCAAAAGTAGCCTTCTCCGACCTGATGCGCATGCGGCAGCCTTCGGCCTCGCCTCTGCAAGGCTTTTATAATATGCACGCGACCCTGGCCAGCGCATTCGATATCACATCATTGTCGAGTCGCCGGAGTGAGCACTTCCTTCCTACACCTGCCAGTACAAGCGTCGCAGCGTCGGAGAGTTTACCTGTTGATAGAGGTCCGCTTGTGGCCCCAGCTTCTCCTTGCAGCAGCCATGCAGCTGGTTCTTCTCATCGTATTCCAACTTCCTCTGCAGCTTTGGAAGCTTCTGCGAGCGTGGTCAATCAACATGTCACTCCACACGACGCGGCCTCAGTATTTCGCTCTCTAGCACAAGATACCAAAAACGAAAAAGCTTCTGACGCGTTTCTTGTCAGTAGCGATTCTCCTAATATTTCACAGCACGATAGTACAAAGCTGGAACCTGACAAGAAGGCATCGAAGCCTCAACCTGTAGTAGTGTCTCAAATTCTGACCGAGAAAGTGCCGTCTGTGTTGAATCTTCAGGTAGAAGCTGGCGTGTCGAAGCAAAAAGATGGCGCGCAAGGACAAGATGAAAGAGAAACTCCAACGGTTAAGAATTCCATCGAAGTAGAGGATGACTTATTGAAGGCTGCCAGGTCAAAGTCAATAACAGCTGGCGCGGGGTTCTCCACCAGTCAAACTACAAAAAGTCACTTGGCGCCAACAACTCCTGCTGGTGCTATCAATCAACCGCGCGACCTTCTCCTTCTTTCATCTGATGAGCACAGCAAAGCAGCTGACGAACGTGGTCAAAAAGAGATCTCCGCCCGCGCGGCAAGTGCTTCTACGTTGCAGCTTCCAGAAAAAGGGACAGCAGAAGCGTGCTCGAAAGCGCAAAACATCAAGCAGACTTCTTCTTCAGCCAGCTCTAGACTTCTACCAGGTTTTCCTGCAGGCGTGCAAGGTGTAGCGGCACAAGATACGAAACTTCCCGGCATGCATCTACGGGATATCTCCTTCGGGGAGGAAGCGGAATCTCCTGCCCGGCACGCAAGCACAGCTTGCCCTGTTGATGGTCACAATTTGCGTGGAAAGCGAAGCCTGCTACTAGATGAGAACTATGGGGAAACTCCCCGCCGGCTGCTTCGAGGGATGACGTCAGGTGTGCATGAATCTGAAACCCGGCGTGCGCAAAATGAGTTTGTTTCCAACGATGTCCAAATCAATGACGCGAGTTCGGAGCTGCATCGTCCAGAGTGGAGCGAATTTGCGTCGCACCATGACTGTTGCAACCACAAATGTCGTCCTATTACTGTGGGCGATAAGTACTATCTTGGAACGCAAGAAGCAAATGATAACTATACTCAGTTATTCGGGACAGCATTTCCTCCTCCACCTAGCGAAGCCGCAGTGGATGTTCCTGCGCAGAGCCTTGCAGCGGACGCGGAAGACGGAAATCCTAATACCGATCAACGCGAGGATCCTATGTTGAGCGGCGAAGGAGCGGACATATTCAACAAAATAGCTGAACCAAAACGCCGCGGACGCAAGAAGAAGCAGAAGTATGACGTGGCTGGTCAGTCGAATGCAAGCACGCAACCGGCTACAGCTGCAGTGCCCACGCAGCAGACACCCGCACAGGCGTCGGCGCCAAAAGATGGAGTGTATCCAGTACCAGAACCGACGGCCTTAAAATGCGTCTTGTATAAGGCGAACGGACATTTATGAAGCAAAAGAAGCTGTGCCCCTTGTTTGGTTATGATTTCTTCCTTGTAGTTATATTTCTACCTGTATTTTTGAAGAGGGCGGAGCGTGTTTTATTTTTACAGTGAGTTCATTACATTATTTTCTAACGCCTAGCAAGCTACAACAGAACTAAACTCCTAGTGCTTTTTACTCGTAGCCAGACAATTTGATAAGCTTGCAGTTTTTGTCTCCAGTCTACAAACGCTGCTGCGCCTCAATTATTCCACTACTTCATAGCGCTTGTTTTACAGGACTCTCCCGCAGTCTTCAGATACTAGATAGTCAGCCTCAGCGTCTCTATTTTTCGCCTACTCAAATCATGGACACGCAGTGTCGACACCTTCATACTGTCATAGCGCAAAGCCGTTGTTAGCTTAGAGGGAATATAGTAACGGGGTTAATACTGAGCAAGATTGTGGCTATGTACTGACATGTATTGTCATGCACGTGTCCCAGAAAGAGGCGTGAGGTCTAGCAATAGTAGCGCAGTACACCTCTAATTTTTGCGATTGGGACCAACGACTACGGCCTTCTTCTTCGTCTCGTCGCACTCTTTTAAGGTTCAAAGAGGATAGCTCAGTAGTAACCGGCAGCACCTGTTCAGGTTTGCCGCCTGCTTCCAAGAAAGAGATGCGCCAGGCTTCTAGCGTAGAAAGATTTTTTTGGTTCTTCTAATTCTTGTACACGTGGAGCTTTGACGGCGCCTACAGGTTGTTGATCTCGAAGGGTATGGACTTCATTTTTCAGCGACCTAAAGGGAGATCGGATGGGCAGCCGGCCAACGATATTTTGACACGCACCGCGGAGCACGTGTTGGCCCTTTGCAGTCTTATGAAAACTCCGGCAACGGAGCAGAGCCGCTTGTTATGAAAGGTCTAGAAATTACTAATCCTCAGCGTTAATATGCTGGGAGCCTTCAAGACTCCGCCTCTGCGCACCCTGATGCTTCGCGCAACATCGCACAAGCAGGAGCCGCGGCGAGCCTCTCCCGCTGCGGGCGGATGCGCCGCGGCCTTACCGTGCCGCAGTTGGAGCCTGCTGCCCGCGCCCCGCCGTTGTGGCGCTTCCCTGGCCGATTTTTTTGCGCGGCAGATTTTTCCAGGTGTCCCATTCGGGCGCGTTGGGGGCGCGAGCGCGCTGGCCCCAAGACCCATGCTTTGGCGCCCGCGGCGCGCCGATGCAGGGGGTGCGTGGCGTCACGCTAGTGCGCGCGCAAGCGTGCGGCGGCGCCCTCAGAGACGCGGCCGCGTAGAGTGCCAAGGGTGGGGGATAGCTGCGCCACTCTGCTGGGATAAGTCGCGCGACTCAGATGCGCTGAAGCGTGCAGGCTGCTCCTTGTTTTTGGATTCGCTGGAGAGCATTTTCGAAGGCGTGAAAGATGGCAAAACCGCGTCGCGTGCTTTCGACATTTTGGCGGATGACTCGAAGAAAAACACCGCACCAGTCTGGCTCTACCTGAGCGGCTTCGCATTCGTGTGCAAACGTTGGCGCCACCGGTGAAGAAAATCTGCGGGAGGACCCGGGAGCAGGATGAGGAGAAAGGAAGTGAACCCGAGCAAGAACAAGAGGAAGAGCAGCGCGCCATCCGTCTGCCGCGCGCTACGGCGCAGGAGCTGGGCGAGCAGCTCAGCCGCTCTCGCGCATGTTTTCGCTAAAGGCGCTAAAAAGGAAAGATCGCCACGAAGGAGCACAGGGCGAGGGTGATCGTAGCGGCCGCAATGAATTGGCTAGGCCTTCGCGCTTTGCGAGGGGTGATGCGTAAGGCTCAAGCTTGCAGCAATGGCCTGCGCCACGTTTTACCTGAAGAGCCCGCGGTGGGTAATGCAGCACAGGGAGAGGGGCGTGGAGGTCTTGGCCTCAAACTATGGCGCTGAGCAGTGTGCTGCGTGCTGAGCCGCAGGCGGCAGCTGGCAAGAAAGGGGAGCCCGCTTTTGGATACGCTCTCCGCGACGCTGGGAAAGTCACCAAGTGCAAAACGAAGGCCGCCAAGGCTCCCGGGACAAACTTCACCAGCGGACACGCCTGGGCTTGCGGTAGTATGTGTCTGTCGCGGACGCCAAGCATTTTGCTGCGCCTCGCTTCATTGGCGGAGGCTTTGCGATGGAGCTCCGCGCGGGTTGGGGGAGCCTTCTGGATTTCGCTCGCGGTAGTGGTCGGTCGCTTGCGCTTTTGCTGGTGTGTTAGTTTTTTTTTAGATGGCTGGCGTCGGGGTTTTGGCTCTTGTTTCAGTCTTTCCTGGCTAGGTTTTGGCGCCGGGCTCGGGGGTTGCTTGATTTGTCGCTCTGCAGGGTTTTGCCCCGCCGCGGGCTCTGGGGTGTTGGTGTTGATGTGCCCAGCCAGCTCCGCTTCCGGAAGGAGCGTGCGCAAGGCGGCGCGCCTGCGGGGGGTATGTAGTCGGGCTTCTGGGTTTTGTGCAGCAGGAACGTCGAGAAACAGACTGGTCAGCCAGCACGCGGCTCGCTGCTAGCTTGTCTACATGGTGGGCGCTTGACTTCGGGGAGAAGCAGGCCCTCGCGCGTCTTGTCTGCGGAGCTATGGGTTGGCGTTCTTTCTATGTTGCTGGTTTTCATGGTGTCTCTCGCAGGTTCGCTTAAATGATATTAATTTTCAGGATCAAAATGAACACAAAGAAACTCCTCCACTTCGCTGTTCTAACACTGAGGCAGCGAGCAATGGAACACCAGCGGGAGATCGAGATGAAGCGCGCGATGGCTAGAAGCGGACAAAAGTTCTTGAACGAATCACAGAGACAGTTGGAGGTCTTAGATGCGTACTCGAAAGCGGTCAGTGCTGCGCGATACCAAAGCATGGTGGTTGACCGTACTGCAGTTGCGGACAAGGAGCACTCGGGAAAGGCCGCTGCGAGCTCTTCCAAGTTTCGTTTCGACCTAGACGGTCGTCAGTTTTTTGTAGAAGAAGAGTCTCTTTCGGCGAATGATTTGGCGTATTTTGCGTCGGCTTCCGCGGAGCGTGACCTCTTACAGCTCAGGTGTCAAGTATGGCGATGGACTATCTATCTGACATTATTGATTATGATATTTTTTCTCTTGAGTGTTATTTTTATCTTTCTTATTATTATCGTTTTTATTATTGTTTTTATCATTATTCTTGTTGATGTTATTGTTAATATTCTTGTTATTGTTATCATTATCATTTCTATTCTCCTTTTTCTGCTCTTCCGCTTCATTTTAGAGCCACCAGCACAAGGCCGGCTTTACGTTAGTTACTCTACAGGCTCAGCTATCTTCTTGAGCACTGCTTAGGCCTTGGGGGGTCTGGCTGTCTGCCATTGTCTTAGTTCTATCAAGTGGCTTGCGTACTGTAGTCACCCTCTTTTGCAATCGTGGCACCCACTTACTTTCGTAGACGCAAGCGGCAAACTCTGTTGTCATATAATAGCAATGATCTACAGTAGTCTTGTGTGACCCGAAGTTTTTACGGCAGGCAGAAGGAGCTGAATAGTGAATCTTTCGTATTCTTTAGCAACATTTTTTTTCAGGAGACAGTCTCAGTGCGCTTCAGAAGTGAAGATGCACCAGTAGCAGTATTGTTTTGTATATTATTTGAGTACGCTATAGCCTCTCAAGTCATTACTATTTGAGTACACAGTCTCGCCTAATGCAATTCTGGGACGCGACGGCAGATTTCGACAAGATCGATCAGATTACCAGGCGGCTCGTGTACCCTGTTTTTTGTGATGAGTGTGGAGAGCTTATTTTCTTGGCTCGAAAATCGATCATGGGGCAGGCGGTGCCACAGCTGCGGTACCAGATCGTATTACGCGATCCGAAAACGGGAAGCACTTACCTTGAGGTCATAGTGCAGCGCAGCACTGGGAAGCGATCACTATGATGGAAGAGCTACACTCTAGAGAAGCTTTTTCATTTATCATGCTTTTCAGTACACCATATTTTTTCCTGTAGGATTCTCTCAAGAAATTTCAACTAGAAGCGTAGCAAATTATAGCGAGCGACGCGATTGGGATTGAGGAGCGCTCTTGCCTGTTGGATTCTAGTGGCTATTCCCCCTTCATAGCTGCATTGGTTAGTCGATCCATCAAACGATGCTGAGTGCTATTGCGGATATTGGTTTCGGGGTAAGCTGTACCTTCGATGGCGGGCAGATTGCAAAGATCTGGAGAAAGCGCATGAGGCGCAGTGGTGGGGTTGTGCGTTCCTAAATTATGAAGACATTACTTTTCATTCAGCATATGATATCCAGTTCATCCCGCCTTCGTGTAGCTTCTCAAGAATCCAGTCTCTAGCTTATCTGAAGTGAGCGCCTTATCTTATGCTTATGCCTCAACGACTCTAACATGCAGCAGCGGTCCATGCTAAAGTTTATCCGAACAGCGCCTGTCGATGTGTCGACTATAAGCCACCCGGCATACACAGAGCGAGCAACCGGTGGACAACGTCACAAATTGCTTCCGCCATCTTTAGCCAGGATGGCGCTGACGCGATTGATGATTAAGGACGGCCGAAGCGTCTCTTGTTCCATGATGAATATACAGAAAAGCTCCAGGCTAGTTTTCTGTTGATGTTCTATCAGAAGGCCTTAACAGAAGCAGCAAGTCAGTCATTACATTTTTTTTGTATAATTACAGTCAAAAACTCGACGTATTAGTTTATTTGTGGCTCTGACAACGAGACGTGTTGCAGCGTATCAAGCTCTAATATCTTGACGACCTGATTTGCCAGGCTGCTGGTGCAAGTGCGGACCAATCTCGATGAAGAACAGGCGCGGCAAGAAGCTTTATGCATGAGCGAGCAGAAGAGGAGCAGCCTGTAGCTCGTATGCAGCTGGCTCCTTGCATGTGTCGCATTCTGGAAGACACCCACTTGCTTGCTTATCTCCTTGATGATTTCTTGTATCAAGTACTTACTTTGGCTTGTGCCTGAGATTATGCGCACTGCTGAGTTATTCCTACACCATCGTCTTAGTTACATTTACAGACCTGGGTTTTCTTGGTGTGTCGACTAACTACTTCTTGCAAGATGAAGATCCGTGCTTTTGAATGATTTGTGCAGCTTTTCGCTCTCGTTGTTTACCAGGCAGAGGAGAGGAATGGCCGCTAGCATCGTGCCACTTCTCAGCGTGTTAGGCTCCATCTTTAAAGCCCTCTTCGATAGACTCCGTTCTTCACAGAAAAGTAGATGTAGGCATCATCCTAGAACTGCGCCCAGGGCGTTATCAATGGAGTAACTATTATTATTTTATTACACTTACGGTCACAAAAGCCGTTGAAGTATGTGCTCGCCAATATGCGCGACACACACGACTGCAACAGGTTCAGGATCTACCTCGCGAGGGTATATTTATGTTATCATCGGTGCTCGGCAGCTGGATCTGCTGCACATGCATAATGAGAATATAAGGCCTCTCATTAGGTGAGTAGAGCCAAACTTGATTGCACTGGTGCGAAGCTTTTCATGCGGAAGAACACCAATAGACTACAAAACTTGCAACTTTTCCATCATCCAGAGTTCATGTTTGACATGCATTAACCAAGTTGTTCTTAAGACGTTGCCCGCGGAAGAACTAGGCTGCGACCCCAAGCGGCTTTGTCCTAGTATTATATATATATAATATGCTTACCTGTATGTAGCGCAAGATGGAATCTCAGAGCGGTTGAATTATCTTGCAAGCAGTCACTCCTGAAAATGTGTGTCGCATTCATCAGCTTAAGAAGTTTTTCTCTGCTTGGACAAATACACTCCAGCTCGTTATCAAGAGTGTCCAAGTATTTTTCAGTATTGTCTTTTCTTTTGCAGCAGCGATGTTTTAGCTCGAAACTATCGCTCAAGATCTTACTCATCGATGCAGTAGAGTGCTAGCACTCACATGATGACGATAAAAGGAGGAATAGGAATAGGTGGCTGCTGAAGGGCTGGCGACTTCTCTTGACCTTCTACGATAAAAGCGGATACGCTTGTATGTTGTTGCTACTACAATTAACTTATTCGATCATCGTCGAATCCTTTCGATAAGTCAGGACAGGTAGCTAGATTTCAACAGAAGGCAGCATGAGCCAAATGCGTTTTATCGTGCTCTAGGATGATGCTGCATCTTCTACTTAGCTGAGCCGCTACCCATTTTCCGAAGTAGTGCTGCTCTTGAAGTAGTGCGTCGAAGTCACGCTTCGCAACTTGATGTTGCGTAATCTCCCATTACTCATAGTATGACAGGAGAGTAGACCTTTCTTTTTTCGCTTTTTGTTTTTTCTAATTAGATATGCTCCACCAGCATAGTATAACAGGAGAATAGAGCAGCTGCTTGACTTTGGAGGCATTTCACTTGCGGGCAAGGCTTAGTAAAATAAGATTTTCCAGAACGTTCTCGCCCACCAAGCCCGAGATCTTGAAAAATACTCATGACGGCGACATCGTCGAGAATCCTTTGAATACAGAAGCAAGACTAAACAAGTAAGAGACGTGGTTCGGCAATTGTAGTCCTGCATTGCAGATATTTGTCTTTTCGACCGGGTGCTGTTTTCGTCGTTGCCAGTTGTAGTGTCTTCAGATGATCAAAACATTAGTCACGCCTAGAAGTAATGGATTTCTATTATTTACCAACTAGTATAGTGTGGCTTGACGAGTTTCTTTCAGACCTGATTACTCTTTTATCTCCACCTTGTCCTTTGGTTTTTGAAAGTTTCGTAGTTCATTGGATGCAGGTCATTTGGTAGAATAAGGTGACGCCTTTTTCTTGTCGGTAGTTGAAGATACCATGTTGCTGCTAGAATGAATTACGACGCTACAAGTTCACTAGTTGTTGAGCTTTGTGCGGGTTTGGTGCTACAGCCTGCGATCCGCGACGATCGTACTGCTCACGTGTCATCTTTCGTCTTCGTTGACGGATCACATGCTCCCCAGAAAGAGTAGCTATTCCCTATCCCCCTGCAGTGACAGTCTCTACATATTCTTGTGCAAGACAATTCTTGATGACGATGCCCCCAAGTAGCTAGTTGTAGAGACCAAAGCGTTGCTACTTTGTATTGTTCTTAAAATTTTTCAACCATTGAATTGAGTTGAATTTTTCTTGTTCATCTGACCACATATATGAAGTCATGCCTCTTTTGTGCGTGAATGACTTTTGCGCTGACGCATTTCTCGTCACAGTCTTGTTCCAGAAAAAAAGCTCGTCCATGAAGGGAAGCATTAGAGAGTACATCAGAGGTAGAGTGGCGGTTTCTGATTGTCACTTGATTTTTCAAGACCTTACTCGAAGTATCGCAGATGTTTACTTTTCTGAAAAAAGCTGCCGTTGATCTGGATGCGCTTATCTGTAGAGACTGCTCTGTATCTTTGATTGAATTTGAACGAGCGCAAAAGCAGAGCGATGGGCAAGGGTCATCTTCATGAGAGTGATACGCGCATGAGCGATACGAGACAAGACACGCCTAGAGATCTCGCTATCGCCAAAGAGTCGAGTAGGCCGGTTTGTGAGATACAGTAGTTGGAGCAAGCGACCCGCTCAGAAAATGACGAGAGATGATTTCTACAGAGTGTGCCGCGGAGTAATCATCTCGACTCTAATTGATATTGCTGCGTTTCATGATAGTCAACGTCGAGCGCTTCGACGGCAACAGCTATCGTCTCTCGGATTTATCAGACTGAAAAGCTTTTCCCTCGTTTTCTCGACAGCCTCGCTTCTGCTCTCATTTTTTGGCCTCAGGCAGCCTGCCCTAGTAGAAAAGCAACTCTGATGTTACTTCGTCGCTGTGCTTGTATTGCGTTTGCATGGTTTTGAGTCAAGAAATAGCAAAAGGAAAACTAACCAGTCCTCAGCATTGATTTGAAAAAATAGCATGAAGTATAGCCTCACTTCGACGTTGCGTTTCTTTCCTGATTACTTATCTATCATGTTGAAGGCCCCTAATATAGTAATGCGTAGGAAAAGTCTTGAAGGTGGTAAATCCCATCACATCACTTTTAGGAATGTCTTTGATCACGAAAAAGAAACACATTGAAGAAAAAATGTCGCTGCGGCTGACAATGAGTCCTGTACGCTGTGGACTTCGTTTCTGTGTGATGATACATGCGTCACTGCTCCATTGTGGAGCGCCTGTGACAGACTGGAAAGACAGTTTGCGCGAGCTCCTTAGAAGTGCGCAGAAAGAATTAAACGAAGAAGGCTGGAAAAAAGCTACCACTCAACTTATGGAATATGAAAGGCGATCTTAAGGAAAAGCACGATCGAAGTATAAGCACAAAGTAAGACTGTAAGTATAGCGAGTCTCGTTCTTGAAGAGATGGCTGTGATAAACTTCAGCAGTAAGGAAGTGCCCTGGCCTTCAGAAAAAAATGATTTGTCTAGGCTCCTTTCGCAGGTCGTCGAATTTTGAAGCTCACAGTACAACTTGAAAAAGTTCCATGTTGATCATGTTCGTGCTTGTTGGCAGTCCAAATCCTTCAAAAATGAAAATCAAGCTCTAGCTCCAATCTGAAATGCGACGAATGGATGGAATCACACGTCAAGAATGGAACTTCAGTGGAACGAAAATACTACGGAATCGGAATAATGTTCCGACTAGATGCTTGCGGTGCTTCCTCGCAGCGCTCCGTCTTTCCTTGTCTGGGCTGAAGGCAGATCCAAATGAAGAACTTCCACGTGCTTGCAATTGTTCTTCTCTTGCGCGTGATATATTTCTAATCTTCTCACAGTCACACGCTGTTTTTATCTATACGTGACAGGAAAGCCAGAGTATTGAATTTGAATTGAAGCAATTGATATACAGCAACGCTGAGAAAAGATGGTGATGGGCCTTTCGTGTAAGCTATGACGTATTTCCAAAAACATGTCGCTCGTCGTGGTTTCGTCCTCTCTTCTCACCGTGTACGCGCATGGTGTTATTGCTGCTACGTCTCTCTCTCTCTCTCTCTCTTGCTCTTTCCTTTTTACCGTTGGAGAACACTCTGCCGCGACACTGTTAAAGGCTCCCGCGGATGCAGAAACGCGAAGAAAAACGCGATGCATCAATCAATAAAAGTGTTCTTTCGGAGCCCGAGAGATATCTAACGAGCGAAGTGTGTTTGTCATACCGTCGTGTAATAATTATTACACGGTGGAGATCTTGAGGGAGATGATTCCACGAATCGACATAATTATATCGACAGAATTGAATTTCCTCACCATTTACAGGTACTGTGTCCGAGTATATTACCTGCATGGCTTTTACATCGTCTCGTATGCCTTGGGAATATATCTCCTAAACCTTGTGCTTGGGTTCCTATCACCTGCGGTACTTGCAAAACTACCTTCTATTTCTCTTAGTACAACAAAAAAGAAACGCATGTGCATGTCCTTTGCTATTCTTGAAAGCAACAACAACTCCTGCACTTGTTTTTATCTGTCAAACCATGCAAACTCATTCCAAAATAGTTTGAACAAAGTAAATATTTTTCATCAGATTGACCCAGAGGACGCCGAGGACGAGGATGGTCCGACCTTGCCATCACTTGATGGCCCTGAGGGCGAGTACAGGCCTTTTAGTCGGAAACTACCGGAGTTTAAGTTTTGGGTAGCAGCTACGAGGATGGTGTGGATAAGCATAGCGATGACCTTCTTCTCGGTGTTTGACCTCCCCGTATTTTGGCCCATCCTCCTGATGTACTTCATCCTCCTCGTCTTTATCACCATGAAAGACCGGGTGCAGCACATGATCAAATACAAGTACCACAACTAAATTACTACGATTTTGTGCATTTTTGTAGCTTCTTTTTCTTTGAAAACAAGATAAAAACATTTCATGGTCAAATTCAACATCTCTGGTCCGACGCATAATATGGCACAGGAGATCGAGATCGATGGGGAGGCTCGTCTTACTTATTCATTACTCATGATTGCACTTTTCGTATTCGTCTAAAAACAAGTCTATGACTTAATTCATCGACAATCTAGGGTACGGCATGATATCCTCTCCTTTATTTCAGGTATGTGCCGTTCTCATGGGGCAAACAAACGTATCGAGACATGACAAAAGTACAACTAACATCGGCGGGGGTACCTCCAGCGGCTGGGGCGGGTATGAAAGCGAACACAAAGTGACATCGACTCCCCGGTACAAGAACCGCGTCCGGCGCCTTGTAGGAAAGTAAATATGTTGGATCTATCAAAATAAGTCAACACCTCCCAAATCCCTCCAGCAGGCTTTCCATGTACCCTCCTGCTTCTGAACACGACCTGGGGGTCCTCTGGAATCCTACCCAGTGACAGACTGCCTAGGCATCTTTTGGTATAAATACTATGAGGGGGACCAGGAAGAAGAAAGAAAGGCGTCACGTAAATACTCAAGCCAAAGCCAAACATTGTTAATCGCAAAACTTTCAAACGGACGTAGTCATAATCTACAACTCGCCACGTATGAATATGTGAATTTATTTTGTTCGGTTGACTAGTTCAGTTTACCGCATTTCGGTAACTCGGTTGTTTTTGTACTTCTCTTTAATATTAATCTATGGCCTTAGATAGTGATGAGAAAGGAACTACAAGGCGTGTTGTCATGGCATAGGCACGAAAGACGGCTGGCTACTGGAGCCGAAGATTATCACTGAAAGAACTCTTGAAAGCTTTCGCTTTCCTGAACTGGCCATGAAAGTATTCCACCGAATCGAACGCTCCCATGAACATCATCAGCACAAGCTTAATGCTGCATGGAGTGCACGACATAGACTCTCTCAGTTCATTAACCACATGCCTGTTACCCCAACATCGAAGGCTAAGCCCTCTACGGCCTCACTTTTCTGCGTGTAGCTTTACTATGCTTGTTGTCACCGAAGCGACTGATAATTTCGAACTTTGTTTTCTCGACGTTCTGTGATAGGTTGTAGCCACTCGCCTGGAGGTGATTTGAGTCTGTCAACGACGGGGACGGACGAGGGGAGATGGCACCACCGCTTCCTCAAACCCAATCATAGAATTAAAAGAAAACTCGATACCCCCTCGGCCACCACATCCACAGTCAATTTGAGTAGGAGAGAGCAAGAAAAAATGGGACTTTCATCGAGAGAGCAAATTTGTTGCCGGAGTAAGCAGATGGCATTCGATATGCATGATGGGCATAGTAAGTAAAGCAACAAATGAAAAAGAATACGAGGGAAGGTGCAGCAGCGGCGTTTCCTTGTCGATAATGTATGAGTAAGTATGTGTGCATTTGCCTTGATATGAAGCGAGCAAACTCAAAAGTAGTAAGTTCTCCTCGTTTCAATCGAAATCGAATCGAAATCGATTTCGACGTGGCAAGAGATGAGTATGAGAAAATATCTTTGGTTTTCTTGTTCTAGAAAAAGTAGCGTGTCGAGGTCGATTCATAATTTTTATGGTCAATGTCGAATTCAATCTTGAGTCGATGTTTGACGTGATGACTTATATCTTTTTCGCTTAATATAAACTAGTGGTCTTAGAAGAAGACAAAGCCCCTGGTATCTGAGCTTTAGACCCATTTGGACTCTGTTTTGATCATCATTTTACCTCCATTTCATGAGTGCGATTAGTGTGGTTTATTAGAACAGATACAGAAAGAAGAATAACAATGAGCGGTCTCGGTGATGACAGTCCCGGCCGGCTGCCTCGGGGCGGCGGTCGATTCGTAAGCACGGATCCAAATCACCCAGATGCGAATTTCGCAGATGCGCGAGACTTAGGAAACCAAATTGCGGAAGGCATGCTAAGGGATGATAAGTTTTCAACTAGCCACTTCCTTGATTTATGAACATTGTAGATGTATTCACCTTTTCGTCTACTTGTAAATTTCTCGATCTTGAAGAAGTACTAGAAATACTTTCAAATTGCCGTCGTTGAAGATGAAGAGATAGCTGCAGTATATGGAGATGAAATAAAGATTGAGTGGGGGCGGTTGTAACAGGAAATTGATCGACTTGATTGAACCTCCACTCAGTTCCTCCGAATCTGGTCGATCACGGAAGCGCGGCGCGGGTGATTCGCCATCATCTGGGTCTGCACAACCCAAGAGAGCTAGAAGCTCTTCATCTTCACAAGGAACGCCACCAAGTGGAGCCGGCTTCTTTGAGGGTATAAACTTCGCTTCTAGTAGTTCTACTACTTGGCTACGATTATTCTCAAGTAACGTCGAAAAGTCAATCAGCCAGGACCAGGTTATGGCCACGCTTGAACTACAAGTGAAATAGGGAAAATCAATATTAAATCAAAAGCATAGAATAAACAGGAGCGTACGCAGGGTCAGGGATAGGGATGCCAGGAAGGGATGGTCGAAGTGGCGGCAGCAATTCTTCTCCGCATAGTTCTGAGGGCAAGAACAGATTTCAACCACATACGCCTGGATCCATAAGCAGCATGGAGAAGCTACGAAAAGATGGCGCCTCCAACTCATCAGCAAGTACGCCCTTTGGTCTTCCAACGCATGGTTCAGCCGGCAGCAAGGACGCTCGGGAAATCAATCAATACATCAAAGACCAAGCAGGCGGTGGCGGGCTCAAGATGCTTGGTCCAAACCCACCAAAGTCAAAAATGGCCGCAAACTATTTGGAGGGCCGTTTAATGATGCCAGGTTCTTCTAGTTCTAGTCTACTGATCACTGCCAAAGATATTTTTTTGCTCAAGGCTAATGCTATACCTCCTAGCCATACTCTCCGATCCTTGGGAATCAATCAAATTTTGAAGACAAGCCGCCAGGACAGAATGAAATGATCAAGTAGAGCAGATACAAGACTTCATTCAACTAGAGTTGTGATTCTTCATCATAATTTACATCAATACCGGCAATCTCATAGTACTACAACTACAATTTTTAAGGAGGTCAACATCTTTCATCTTCTCCATAAGAACGTTTTCTCATCTCCAGGAACACCATTTACGCCACAGCTCTTCAGTAGTGCTATGAATGTCCGTTTTCCAAATTCGGGATTTGCAGACGCAAAAGTCGTTACGGCTTACCCAGCAGGGCAGGGTGGTCCTCGGGTACTTATCTATACTTGCTTCTTCTATCGAAGTCGAACTGAATACTCAGATGCACCGTTGTAGAACACTTTTTCCACGTCCACCGAGGGGAGTAAGAAGCCGACCATAGTAATGTTGATTTTCTGTACTGGGTCTAGGTATCATCAACATCTTTCATCTTCATTCTTCGGCGAGTGCACTATCTTCAAAGGAACAAATACGAGAACAAGTCTTCTAAAATGAATGCACCTGCTACAACCATCATCTATCTCCAGTTCGCAACACTTGTTGAGCCCGAGGCGCCAAGCCCAAGCGCTATGCAGAACAAGATCAACCTACCACAAGTTCTGTGGAAGACATCTGATGCGTATTCATCAATAATATTTTGGACTAGCGGTGAAGTGCAGAGGACAGCCCAACCCGTGTACTCCGAAGTATACGGGTTTGCATACCGAATGACAATTCTCGCAACGTACGGAAAATTATTGAAAAAACGTTACATCGCACAGCGCATCACTCTGCCGTCAAACGCGCAAGGCGAATACGAGACTGAGGTAATGATCGTTTAATATACGATAGACACCGCCACAAGATGTTCTACTTAATAGATGATTAGAATTAGAATTACTATTTTTTCCCATATCCATGGCCATGATGATTTTAGGATTAGCGTGGTTGCTCAAACGGTCGCTTCTCTTTGTGTCTCCAAACAAATCACGACAAATCATGAATTCGCATTCGGAATTGATGTAGAATTTTTTTCCTCCCGCTCCCCGACTCAGCTGCATATCAAGGAGGACAGCTTTGACAAAAAGAAGAATTGGGTACCAGGGATGTGCGATCCAGACACCGGGTTGGAGATTACCCAAGAACAATGGGGCATCATGAGGAAATATCTCGTGGAATTTGAGAATGAGAACAATCTCTATCGCGCAGGCTCGCATCCGTTGCAAGCGGGGCAAGCGAGACGACCGGGCTTCTACGCGCAGCAGGATGACATGGACGACTACGATGTGCAGCCAATCATCACCGAAAACCTCTGCAAGGTAACTAATCATGTTTCCGTTGATTAGCGAGTCCCAAAGGCAAACTGATTTTCATGGTCATGTTGTAGCTGTCAGGTAACAAACTTTTCTCGTCTTGCTCTTTTTTTTCTCATAACGATGAATAAAGTGAATTGTCCTCGACGCGACAACTTTCCAGCTTTTTATTTTTCATCATTCTTCGAAAATTACGTTCGTCTTGTTCTTCATCTCGTCCATCAGGGCGCTATCCGCCGCCTTGCTCGTCGTGGGGGTATTCGACGGATCAGCAACAAAGTGTACCACGAGGCGCGTATCAGCTTCCAAAACTGGCTTGAGAAGACAGTCGAGACCGTGTTTGTGTTGACAACGCATCAGGGTCGGCAGACTGTGCGAACTATCGACGTCGTGCGCGCACTAAAGATGCAGGGACGAACTATCTACGGCTATGGAATGGCAAACCGCTAAATATTACATAGTGGATACGCACGGACGTGGTTGGTACGTCGAGTCAGCAATGTGGGAAGAATAATGACAGAGCCACAAATTCCTGATGTAATGTTGAGGTTAAGGTTTAAGTTATACAAAATATGTCAACGTTGTCACGACGTGAAGATCGTTCTTCTTACGCTTGGATTGATCATGATAAAATGACTTTCTTCTAGTTGTACTTATCGATCCTTCATCTCCATATTGATGGGAGATTAGCAGAGGACAAGTCGCGCAGGGCTGTCTGGCCGTGAGTACCTATTATTTCTACTATCAATCGCCAATAATTATTGCCTCTATGATAATCTTTCTTCTTCAAAGAGACAGATAGTACACTATTATGTAGCTGTTGGTGTTGCAGATAGCCTCTATGAAACAACCTTAGATTGATTGCAAACGCAACGTTGAGTCATACTCCCATCTACATCAAATGAGCGCCGCCGAATTTTGGGCTTCCTCCTGAAAAGTGTCGGTATGCAAAACATGAAGACGAAGTATGGCGCTGAACACTCTACATCTACTAATATCTAAGTAATACAGCAGCACAAAGCTTCCTCACAAACACAATACAAGTAATATGAAAATGCACCCATTGACTGTAATTGCATTCATCACACGTCGGCTTTCGTCACGGAAGGCAGAATTGAAACTCTTTGACAACAGTATTTACGCCAGTGAAGAAAATCAAAAACCTCTTTCTATTAATGCACTGGCAGACCGAATATTCAGTTTGTCTCTCTTCACACATTCATTCGTTAATTAAAGTTGAATCACTCGTCGTACTCGATAAAAATCATTATAGCATACTTTGACCTTTCTCGTCGTAGATTTCATAACTAAAAGAAAACTTGTTGAACTTGATCTAGTACATGCTGACTCACTTCATCTCTCTGAGGAGCGGTGGCGCTTTTTGTGTCATAAAAAGGTACAAATTGAACCGCAATGGCATCTGGTTGTCTGACGGCGACATTCGATGTCCTATTTGAAGCCGAGATATGTGTCGAGCCATCTCGTCTCGAATACGCGCATTGCTGTGTCACACGTATAAACATCGTTTATTCTACAATTAAACGGAGAAAAATGACACAGGCTAGAACTCGACCTAATTAAGTAGGTGCATTTTTGATATCATTCTGCGTTGTCTTCGCAACAAGACAACGACCTCAAACATTGATCGTAGTATCTATGTGCAAGTATTTTCCCCGCTCCCGTCCCTTTCAACCATCGCGATCGGTAAACGATGTCCAAGAAACTACAGGTTGTCGAAACAAGTGTAAAATTGGCAGTGTAAGCTGCGCCACAGCTGCACAGTCACAAAGAAGATCAACTCATCTATAGAGAAAACGCAACAAGTCGAAATCATACTTCCAGCGGCAGTGAAAAGATATTAGAATCAAGAGGCAGTGGAAGATGAACAAGCAGAAGGTTTTTCCAGCAGCGTCAATGCAAAAGCGAAGACGGCGACGAGTGAGTCATGACTTGTAGCAGTGACGGATGATAAAGGAATATCCTAACGACCAATTAGACCGACGGATGCTGAGGGAAGAGCTGTTGTTGGGACGGAGAACAAGATGCAGGCAACTAATGTAGAGGTTTATTGAAAGTTAAGACGCCCAGTTTCGCCCTAGGTTTTGTTTCAGAAAACACGAGCAGAATATCTGTCGAAATCGATTTGCTCTCATGTAGAGGGCTGTTTTTTTTTGGACGCATAAGCTTCTCAACGAAATCGAAAGAATGATTTTGTACATCGGAGTGCCCCTGTCGTCGTTATAGTTATCGTTTTCATTATCGAAGTATAGAATCGCGCATCGTTATTTCTTTCTCTTTGCTCTTCTTGGGTGGTTACAATCACTCATACTCAACAATTGCGACACGCGCACATAGTATGAAATCAGCAACAGTACGGAAAAAAGATCAACGCAGATAGTAGCGCGAGTATCGACTGATTGCCTGACTGACTGACTGACTGACGTTCAAGTTTTAAGTAAGTTGTAAGCAAGACACAGAAAAAAGGTTAGTAGCGAAAGAAAATTAGTAGTTTATTACGAACGCCCATTTAATATTCCACAGCGTACTATAACCTGAAACTGAATCAGAAGAGAAAATGTCGGGCCTCTTTTCAAAGGCCGCGTCCTCTGGGGGGTTTTGGAAACCGCACACCTCCTTGATCGACTTCTGCGAGGTGAACTACGCACAGAGTCCCTGGGTAGCGGAATTTCACAACGCGTGGTCGTCACTCGTTCTGTCACTGATCTGTGTCGTATTTTGCGTCCGAATCGTTCGCATGCCTGCAGCCCTTCGCACGGAACAACGAGCCGCTGTATTACTGCAGGAGTACAAGGACACGGAGAATCCACTGCGAGTACATTACGAATTCTACCGAAAATTTATGACGTCGACGTGCACCTGGGGATTTCTGTTTTTTGTGGGCTTCGGCTCCTGCTTCCTGCATGTGACCCTGCAGCGATGGGCGCAGGCCATCGATGAACTGCCAATGATCTATGGCAACTCTTTGCTCATCTACCTCTTAGAGTGGCCCACTGTCACGCAATGGCGGAAGTACATGCTGAGCAGCGAGTCCTCTTCGGGGTGCGCGGATAAAAAGGCAGAAGATGTTGATGAGGTGAAGAGCAAGAAGTCTCAGCCTACTTCTACTTCTTCTAGGAGAAATGAAACTCCAGTACGACTGCGCAAGCCAAAGAGTAGCACAACTACTGGCAGAGTCTCAGCAAGTCCGCGATCCCGGTCGCGCAGTAGAGCCAGAGACAGTACAGCATCGACTAAGAAGCAGACTGCTGAAGATGAATCGGCTTCTGGCGTTTCTGACGGCGTCGCAACAAGTACCTCTAAAGCAAACAAGTACAAGAAAGGCGCCGCGACTACAATGTCTTGGTGCAACTTGAATGTCAAGGAGGCTTTCTTGCTGATTGTCCTCATCGGTGTTACAGTAGTAGCCACACTCGCGTACGCAGTCTATGAGTTCTACGAGGTTTTCTTCTCGCTTTACGCTCTTGGTGTAGTGTACATCTTTGCGAGAGGGCTCCTTTCGATTCCCGCAGAAATCACACGTGTCGAGGCAGCGAGCGGAGAGACTCGCACTCAGCTAGTTGCCTTCTTGAACCCTGAGATTGATTCTGCAACCACAAACAAAGAAGAGACAAGTAAGGAATCGCATGAGGAGGACGCCGACAGTCGTACAACAAAAGAACAAACTGCAACTTCTGCCACCACGACGTCTCTGACTTCTTCAACAATGGAGGTGAACAACTCTAGCCCTACTAGTGCGAGCAAGAACAAAATGAAAATATCAACATCGACCTCGCTCCGACCAGCCTATTACGCTCTGATTGGACATGCTTGTGCGCTCTACGGTTACGGGTTTTGGATGTGGGGTCTGGAATTTGCGTGGTGTCCGGAACTCCTTCAGACGTCGTTTTATCGTACGGTGCCCTACTATCACCCTGTATGGCATTTCAGTGCAGGTCTCGCAACGGCATTCATCAACCTCGCACTGATCGTACAGTACTGTGCTCGATTGCAGATTCCATGCGTCGTGTCCTGGCCTTCCTACAAACGCTTACCGTTAGTCGCAATCGATTTGGACTGGGTACGGACATCCGCTCCTCGAGTAGAGCTAGAGGCAGTTAGCGGGAAATAGTTGTAAGACTGAAGAACAGAGATAGGCGCAAAGAAACTACTTGACAGAACAAATAGTTTTCAAGAAATTGATGAGGAAAACGAACAAGTACGAGAAATTAAAGAACTGTTATTTCTACAATCTACATTTATTTAAGTACAATCTAATGAATATCTTCTTGATAATTACTTACGATCTTGCCCGTTGAGGATCACAAGATTATCAAGACAGGTTGTTTTGGATTCAAGCAAGTAATGAATGTTATTTGTACATCGACTAGAAATTGTTTGAATATGTGAGTTTTGACTGTATTCTTTGGATTATTTGCTACAAAGACGTTGAGGCCAGCGGTCTCTTTCGGGATCTCGATACAAAAAGTTTTTTTTTGAAACGAGAGTGGTTATTCTTTTAGTGAAAACTACATCCAATGTTTATGACGTACATTAGGTGCGAGACCTATTATCATTATTATAATTAGGTGCGAGGCTATGAAGCTTAGGAGATGTTCTTGCTCATGTCTTGGAAAAACAAAAAGTTGTATTAAAAAGCAAATACGAAGTGCAGCGCTAGGAGAGCCCTTTTTCTAAAAACGACAGAGAGCTTCAGGTCTTTGCAACACAAGTGTAAAGATGAAGTACGAAACTTTTGAGGTTGAACTGCACGAAAAAGTGTGCGATGTTCAGTTTTTGAATCATCTTCAGATGCCTCTCACTGGGTACTTATTTCGAAAGCCAAAGCCATCATGAATCTGAGCAGGAATCAAGCGAGGACGAGGAGAAGAAAAGGTGCTCCGGCAGCCTTGTTTGGCAGACTCGTTGTCAATGCAGCGTGTGCATTCAGTGTCGCTTCCGGTCATAATTTTGCTGCGACTCCTGAAGATGGTACACGACGACTTGCGCGCGTTCAGCAAAGGCCTGGTGAGGCTGAGGTAGCCCAATCAACTAATCCCGCACCTGCAAATCCTGCCACGCTAGTCGCAGATGCTGCGTGGCAGGTATGGCGAACTTGTGCGACCTACGTTGTGCCGCGCCTCATAGCCAACAGTGTCATGCAGGTGAATATTACGGAGGATGGTCATAGAGGTGATGTTCGCAGTAATTCGAGTTCAACAACAAGTGGCACAACGAGCATGGGTAGTCGTATTAGCGCGGCCGCTGCAACGAAAGCCCACGCTATAGACGAACCACGCAACGCAACAACCTTAGATAGAGCGCGACGAACTGCTATCGCTCCATTCTCTTCAGGCTCAATACCTTTTCCCGATATAGCTGCAAAAAATGGCGTAACAGCACTGACTGTAGTAGCAAACAACATTCTGACTCCACCTGCTAAGCAGACGATATCGATAGCAGCCTCAGGCTCAGCAACTCTACCCAAGAACCAATCATCGGACGAACCACCTCCTCCGACCCCGGTCGAGACCGTGATTGATGTAGTAAGGGACGCTGTAGAAGCATTTGCGAAGAATGTGATCGACACTGTCATCGCGCGGATTGGAGGTAAGGGCGACGAGGATGTGCTTCCCAAACCGATTCCAGATGCTACCCGGAACGCCTCTGAACTGATTGTGACTAAAAACTACCCTCTGGAATTTCACAAAGTCACCACGGAAGACGGATACATTCTGACTTTGTTTCGAATCCCGCACGGAAGGAGTGAGAACAGTGGAGGAGCACATCAACTACAGAATAAAGATGCTCTAGGACCACCTGTTCTTTTGCAGCATGGCTTGCTAGATTCTTGTGCCACGTGGGTAGTAAACGGGCCAGACCAGTCACTAGCCTTTATTCTTGCCGATAAGGGGTTCGATGTTTGGCTCGGAAATACGCGTGGAAGTACATGGAGTCTGGAACATGTGAATTTGACCACAATTGATTCCGCATATTGGGACTTTTCTTTTGATGACATTGCGAAATTCGACACCCCAGCAGTCATAGACTACATTTCGAAAACAGCAAACTCGCCAAAAGTGGGGTACGCAGGACATTCACAAGGAACGCTGCAAATGTTCTTGGCCCTTTCGATGCTCGGAGAGAAGTTTCAAAGCAAAATAGCGCACTACTCAGCGTTGGCCCCAGTTGGACGGGCGGGAAGCCAGCAGAGCTTGCTGATCACGTATTATTTGCTACGGAACATTATCCTGCTTTTTAGCAACAGAACTACTCTATCTCTATGCGTGTATTTTTATCTTTGTGCTGGATGAGAATGTCTTCAAGGCAGCCTTGACAAGTCGCACAAGTATTTCATCTCCCTCAACAGAAAGTTGGAGTCCAATTTTACAACTCACCAATCGACACCTCCTTACCTTCGCAGCGCCCTCATTGTCCTCCACGTGGACAAGATTTACTCGCTGCTTGGCAACCGTGCCTTTTTACCGAATAAGAGCTTCATTCGTTACATAGCTGGTCCTCTATGCAACTTCTCTCCGCTCGCTTGTGAGGATTTGCTGTTTCTCATCGTGGGCGAGGACAGTGATCCGACTGCGAATCTGAACAAGACTCGCGTGCCAGTGATGGTCTATAACTCGCCGGGTGGGACGAGCGTAAAGAACATGGTCCATTGGGCGGATCTGGTACGCCGAAGTGACTTAACCCTTTTCGACTACGGCTTTTTCGGAAACCTGTACCACTATGGTTCGGTAAACCCACCTGCGTACGATTTGACCGACATCGCAAATGTCAACATCTCGCTGTACAGTGGAGGCCGCGATGCGCTGGCAGACCCTGCTGACGTCGCGTTGCTCGTTGACCGACTGCGGCTAGCGGAGAAGAAGTCGGGAGGCACCGCGCGAATTTCCCGACAGAATTATCAGACCTCGTATCAGCACCTAGACTTCACATGGGGGATGAGCTGTGGCGAAACGATATACCCACTTATCGTTGAAGAAATGCAACAAGCATTTCAGCTAGCTGCTCCACCAACGTCGCTTTCAACACGTCCGTCGCTTTATAGAAATGAAGTCAATGAAGAGACTGAAGTTGAGGTGTTTGAATGAGCACGCATGGTGCATGGAGCGCAGAGCTTTAAGGGGCGCAAGAAGCTCCTCCTTTAGCTCCATGCTACTCCATGTGATCCATGCACTCCATGCCATGCGAGCTGTGAAACCTTATAAATTGCTCGGACATGATGCAGATAAATAAAAATACCCTAGGCATTCGTGCATTTTGACTTTCAATATTTTCCGTTGTGATCCCCGCTGGGAGATCGCAACCACAACAGAGTCCACCTTTCCATTTTCCTACCTGATTGCTGCCTCACCTGGTAGATCAACTTCAATCACAGATGCACGTTCCTTGTAATATCACTGTTGATGAGACAGCGACCTCTTAGCGCACCAGTGTAGTAAAGAAAAAAAGACGAATGAAAGTTTTCTAGTTTTACGAAAAAGATTTAGATTAGCACGAACACGACGACGTCAGCGTGTTTCTGCTCATGTCCGTTTTACAGGCACATGTAGTTACCTTCCTAAGATCTCTCTGGATCCATCGATCGAACTTGCACATGCCATGGTCTTGGGCAAGATTCTGATTTTTAAGCAGGTCCTGGTCTCAGATGTGATAAAAACAAACCGATCCTTCATATTCTTGATCTCAGCGATATGTTGCGGATCAAGTTAACGAAAATACAACAAGCAATTGCCACCTCGTCTCCACGCCAGATCATCATCTAAAAATCAACATCAGAGACGGCTCTGACGGATCAGATCATTGATTTCATGAGAGCTCTTGCACTAAAGCATTCGATCCAGATCATTCTGATGTGTTGTCTATGTTTGCTTCCAATCTATTTTCATTCTGTCTTCTCAATAATAACCTGACCAGTGCAGGTGGTTTTTTGTTGATGCTGCATATTATGCTTTCAAACTAACTGAAATTATGTTGTAATTGTATGCTTGCTTGACTCCATAGCGAAGGAGAGAGATGGAACTACACGACAAGCTACCCGACCACTAATAAATATTCATAATTGATGAAAAAAGACTTATAATAGTTGCAATCACGTCACGCTTACGGGGAGAGAAATATCATGTTTTCCTACAAGTTTCAGAACGTGCTTGGTAGCACGTATCAGGGTGGCAGCCTACAGTTTACAAGCGACGGGAACTGCCTCCTGAATCCGAGTGGGAATCGCACCCAGGTCACCGACTTGGTGAACAACCGCGCACTGACCTTGCCATGCGAGAACCGGAAGAACGCAAAAATCTTGGCACTTTCCAGTGACAACCGATTGCTGCTATCGGTGGATGAGGAAGGGCATTCACTTTTGATAAATTTCGCGAAGGCGACGGTTTTGCATAGGCTCAACTTTCGGTGCAAAGTGCGGGATGCTGCCTGGTCGCCGGACTGCGCATGGGTCGCCGTGACGCATGGTCGGCTTTTGGAGCTGTGGCGAGCGCCAACGCTCGAAACCGGCTGGCAGTTCGAGAAGTACCGCACTCTGGGTGGTCACAGAGACGACATCCGGAAAATCACTTGGTCGAGTGACTCTCTCTACCTCCTGACGGCTGGCGAGGACATGCAAGTGCGGTTGTACTCAGTGTTGGACCACGAAGGCGCCACGGGAGTCGTGGCGACGCCCATCGCGGCTCCGGCCAGTTCGACGAAGACGAAGAGCAAGAAAAGAAAAAATAGGCAAGGTGCGGACGAGGATGATGCTGAGGATGCAAACAGGCTTGCAGATGGAGAAAACCGTGAAGAGGACGGAGAGGAAAATGGCCCCGGGGCCGCTAGTACTTTCAAGCGACTCGGACGCTTAGGAAAATTGCTGGGACACAAGGCATCAAAGTCATATGGCGGTTTCAAGCCTGTGATTTTCGCAGAGTTGCGACAAGCTGTGCGAGGGTCGTTTTTCAGCGAAAACAAGGAGCACGTCATCTGCGTGTGTAAGGATGGCGTGGTCGCCACATGGCGGTTCAAAGTTGACGAAGCTGCGCTATCTTCAAGTAAGTCGAAAACGAGGGTTGATGAAGCCTCACTCGACGACTTTGATTGGAACAAGCACGAGAAGAAGGAGAATGGAGAGGAAGAAGAGCATTTGCAGATTGGCACTGCCGCATCTGCTTCATTCTCGGCTTTCCTGGCAAGAAGCCGCGACGCGATCAAGACGAAGAAAACCTACGACCCCGAAAATGACATCCTTTTGAAGCCCGGAGAATGGACCTGCGCTTCAAAGGTTTTCATGAACCTACCAAATGGTCAGAAAATCACGGAGACGGCTTTCAACATAAAAACGAATGTGGTGGTCGCTGGCCTCACCCAGGGCGTCTTTTCTCTCTACGAAGTCCTGCCTTCGCTCTCTTTACTGCACACGCTATCCATTGGCGGATACTCAGCAATCGACAGTATTGCTTTCAACAACACAGGAGAATGGGTGGCGCTTGGAAGCTCCGCAGCTGGACAGCTGCTAGTTTGGGAGTGGCAGTCTGAGACATATGTGCTGAAACAACAGGGCCACCACTGGGGTGTGCAGTGTTGCGCATTCGCACCAAGTGGTATTTCTATTTTCTCTTTTGTGCTCGTCAGCCGCACCACACTTGCTTTGGTTTGTAATAAAGAACTGTGACTTTTTCGTGACTCGTCTTGTAAGTAGTTCTTTTTGATATGATCGAAAACATAAATGAGATAATATTCGAATTTCATCCGTGTCATCTTCGACAACAATCCAAGTTATTCGCAATGCTGGCGCGAAAGCAGAGCTAACCAGTAACGCAGGACAGGGCGGAAGTGTCGGATCGCAACAGGGAGTTCTAGCGACTGGAGGGTACGACGGAAAGGTGAAGCTTTGGAATACCGTGTCCGGATTTAACTTCGTCACCTTTACCGAGCACACAGCAGAAGTTCGGGACATCATCTTTACACCACAGGCCAACGCCGTGATTTCCGCTTCAGCTGACGGGAGTGTGCGCGCATTTGACTTGCTCAGGTAAAGTTGATGACTATTTCAATTTCGTGGTTGAGTTTGGACGGATGAAAATTTAAGTTCTTGGATTTTCTTCATCATGATCATCGTGTTGATGTCCGACTTCTACTCTCAGTGAAACCACAGGATAGTACGCAGTTAGATTTTTTCCATTCGCTCAACTGCAGGTATCGAAATTTCCGCACCTTCGTATCTCCGCCTTCGGAGAAGAAGATTTTCGGATTTGAGTCCGTAGCGACCGATGGGGGCGGTGAAATCGTCGCAGCTGCCGCCAAGGGCGACACCTATTCCGTTCTCGTTTGGTCGATCCAAACGGGCCAGCTGCTAGACATTGTTACCGGTCATGAGGCGCCAGTCAGCTGTCTCCGATTCTCATCGAATCCAGCGAAGCCAGGCGAGCTCGCAACCGGGAGCTGGGATGGAAATCTCACTGTCTCCGACATTTTCAAGCGCGCAAAGGGTGCGGCGCCAGAGAAGTTGCAGTGCGGAGCATCAGTTTTGGCATTGGCGTACGACCCAAGAGGAAACAATATGATTGCCTGCTCGTCACTTGCGGGACATATCTCCTTCTGGGATGTGGAGCACGGATGCATCAGAGGCAGCGTGGAAGGTACATAGTTTTTGCATTTCTTCTTGATGTCACTAGTTGTTTGTTGAGGCCTTGATTACCGCTAGAACGACCGAGTAACCAATTACAAAATGATAGACATACATAGATCCTAGGTACTATTTTTCCTCAGAACCTTGCACTAACTTTTACCTACAACTTGTACTTTTAAAAACCATTCCCATGGATGAACTGGATGAATCGATCTTCCGATGTTATCGTTCTTCAGGTATCCGCGACGTCAAGTCTGGTCGAGATTCCAAGGGCGCAATGTCCGCTGTGAATAATCGTGGCAAGACGAAGAAAGACAAGTACAAGTTTAGTCTCGAGTTTGTCAACTTGAACCAGCACTTTTCCTCCATCGCCTACACGGCATCTGGCGCTTTACTTCTGGCTAGCAGTCGCAACAGCCCACATGTCTGTCTGTACTCAACTAGCGCTTACGAACTCGTCCAGCGATACACTCTGACGAATAACCAGAGCTTGACCGGCATCAAGGTGCTACTCAATAGCTCAAAAACAGTAGCTGACGGTGAGGCCTGGGCCGACTTCGACTTGAGCGACAGCGACGCCGACGACCATGTGCGAAAACAGAGGCGAATCAAGGACACGGAAGCTCTACCTGGTGTGGTGAACGGCGAGAAATCAAAAACGTACCTATAATTTTCTTTTCATACCATTTTTGTACTTTATTATTTAATAGAGTGAGGAAAGTAACGGGTTTCGAGTTGTTCGAGTTGCCACGAGTTGCTCGAGTTGCCGAAGCGAAGCGCTCCACTTCTGGAACGAGTTGCCACGAGTTGCCGGGAGAAACCTGGCCCATCGACGTGGGGCTAAGCAGGGCAGTGCGGGTGTGGAAGTGCTTGCTCGACATGCGGGCCGCCGTCTTCGCGACCTCCGTCGCAAAAGAAGGCCGGGGAGGCGCTGCCTCCTTCCGTTTGGGATCGATAGCGGCGCGCCGCTCTCGACTCGGTGACGGGGGGCAAGTGCCTTGCGCCCCCCCCTGTGGTGTAGTTAGGGGGTGCCATTGATGTATATTTATAGAAGCTAGGTATAGGCTTTCGCCCCGCGGCGTTGCGGTGTGAGCGAGGGGCTGCCGCCGGGGTGTGTTCGTGGCTGGCTTACAGCTGGAGGGTGCCGCTGTGAGTGACATTGGGAAAAATGCGGCGGGGGTTGATGTATTGGCGGGTAGCTGTGGGAGCGGTCTGGCGTTGGTGGGCAGCTGGGTGGGCTGGTGCGGTACATGCCGCACCCCAAGGGTCCCCGCGTTGGACCCTTTGCGGCCATTCGGCCGCCCCCCCCTTGGCTGTCTTCCCCTGGCGGATGCCTCTCCTGCCGGCCCGCAGTCCTCGCCTGGTAAAGCAAGCGTCTCAAGGGCGCACCAAGAAGAAAATCAAGGAGCAGAGACGCAGTTCGCATTTCCATACGCTCCTGCTAAGGTCTGTCGATGTCTCAGGAAGCTGCGCCCGAAGGGCGCCGCGCAAAAAGATAGGGTGGGCAACTCGAGCAACCCGAGCAAATCGGCCTGATACGGGTCAAAGATATCCTTACTCGATTAAAGATGATAACGAAAATTTACCGATAAGCGTTGGCATTCTGATTCTTGTTTGTCTACTTCGTCCGAAAAAGACACACCTCCTGTCATTTCCCACCTTTCCATCAAATACTTCCAGGTATTCGCAAAACCAATTTCACTGCTGGAATTGCGATTTTAGCATGGATGGAAAGAGTTTCGCAGTCGCAACATCACACGGCTTGCACCTGTACGCCATTGATAGCGGCACCGAGAGCGAGCTTTCTACCTACGGAACCGCGCTAGAGCGATTCCAACCGGCGATCTTGACTGAAAATGTGTCGATTCCTCGAATCTTGCAGGCACTGCGCGAGCAGGACCTGACGAAGGCTTTTATCTTGGCGTTAGCGCTGAACGACGCACAAGTGCTCCTGCAGTTGTACGACAGAATAGACCTGAAGAAGATGCCAGCCGTAGTGCAGAGTGTGGGTGGAGCGCTACTTCCCACTTTGCTGCACTTTCTGAGCTGCATGTTGCATCCGACGTGGGGCACTGTGAGCGTTGAACGGCACGTCTGCTGGCTCGAAGCTGTGCTCGAGACGCACATCTCAACGCTGTTGCAGTGGACTAGTGGCGGCAATAGGCCGCGTGAGCTTCCCAATACCAGTGTAAAGGGAACGAGCAGCGCGGGCGCTGCAAATGGTGATGTCGCCGCGACAAGCAGCGATCCTATCCTTATGAACACGAAAGTGCAAGTGGGAGAGGTGCAGGCGTTGCTTTTGCAGTGCTTGCAGGGTATGACGCAAAAGTTCACGAAATTACAGCAAGTCTTCGACAGAAATTCGCATGCTCTGACGTACCTCAGCGCCTGTGCTTTCGCGATTGCTGATGATGATGACGCTTGCCAAGAAGAACAGCAGGGAGAAAAGTGAGCGGAAGCTTCATTTTCCTCGCTATAAATCAATGCGAATGCGATATCAACATCTGTCTCCATTTAAGCCTTTTCAACAAAACTCAAAGAACTAATTTTTTCGATGTTGTGATGGTGATTGCACCAATTGATAGTGAAGAACCGCCTGTCGTGCTTGTGCCACAGGGACGGTGACAGTGTCCAATGCGCCTTTCGCGCTTTTTGACCTTACCAGTTTCAGGCGATTGTGGAGAAAGTTCTTTTTGTGTTTCGCAAATGCGCAAACTTGACGAGAGCTTATCTCCCAGGGCGTCGAAGGCTTAGGGCAAGGAAGTGAGTGAAAAAGCAAAGAACGAGTGAGGCGCTCGGTTAACCATGCTCTTCTGGGCTTAAATCTGAACGCATCTATGTATATATTATATAATATTATACTAATTCTATATTCATAACCTTGTTACCATCTAGAACAAATTGAAAATTTTCGTGCGAAACCCGAACGTTTCTATTGTGCGCCCACAATTTACTTCGAAAGCGAAACTACCATGTCTTCTTCTCATTCGCGCGTGCTATGCGAGTACTCCTACACCATTGCCGTACCGGTGCACTTCATGAGGTTTCTTTTAGAGATGGGGCGTTTTATCAAGGAGAGCTACGTCGCTCCTGAGGAGGACTACAAACTAGGATTACCTGTAGCAGATCCTCAGTTTGTAGAAAGGGGCGCGTGGGTGGAACACCCCAAGAGCAAGAGGCGGAGCGTTTTAAAACGACTACAACTGGATGAAACGGAGTTTCCCACCCGCAACTTGGTCACGGGGGCTTTCCAGAAGTGCATGCACATTACCGCCGCGAAGCAAGGTCTGAATAGACAGCAGTTCGAGGATCGGGCCATTTGGAGCATGCTGAAGGTGAGTGTCCTGCAGCCGACCAGTAGTAGTATTCATCTTTCTCGCGACCCGGCATCGGACGCAGTCGAATTTTTTACGCTGTACCAGGATTTTATGCTCCCTTTGCCCCGCTAAGCCAGCAGGCAGCAACGTCTTGCCAGCGCCAACCGACCAGCAGGAGGGCCCGACCACCGGAGGGAGGGCGCCCAAGAAGTGGGAGGACCCCAGCGATCGATGCGTCGTGTCTGCCCGTAGGCCTAAGGCGCTTTGGCGGGCGGCTGGACGCTTCCGCTCGAGCCCCGTCCGAAGCGCTAAAATGGACGCGAAGGAGGTGGTGGATGAACGGGGGTCGTCCGAATCGCTAGAATGGGGACCCTAGTCGCGTCCGAATCGCCAGAATGAAAAGCGAGGGGGTCAAGGTTGACCCCCTTTGGTACCAAAAAGCTACTTTTTTCTGCACCCTTTCCGAGGACGTTCAAGGGGAGGCCGGCTGCCACCTTCAGCCGACGCGCCACGCCAAGGGACACCCTGAGGCATAGGCCGACGCCTCTGCTCCTTGGTTGGATGATCCCAGTCCTCCTGACCAAGGTGCAACAAAGATGGCCGCCTCTCACTATTGTGGGGAGCGCCGGGCTCACAGAAGCAAGGAGTCCGGGAGGCCGTTCCTGAGGGTCCGACGAGCATCGGGCGGGATCGGCGGAAGGCGTCCGCTTGCTTTAGAAGCGAGAGCCCTGAGGGCTCTCGTGGGCATCCTACTACAGTGGGGCCTACAGCCCGCTCCCAACGGTTGGCTTGGTGGTGGGTAAACGCTTGAAGGCATTTTTAGTTCTTTTCTGTTTCTAGCGGTTTTCTGTTCAGTATTTGATGTGCTCGCATCACATGAAATGAATGGAAACTCTGTCATATTTTGGTGCATAAGTATAATGTACATCTAGGTTTTTTCTAAGATCAATAAATCCATTCTTACAGTGTCTGGACCACGTCCACCGCGTGACACAATGTGAATGACCGAGTGAGAACCTCTGCCGTGTTTGTCGCTGCAAAGGTGAGCCTGAGCGTGTACTCTTTAGCGTCAAATTCTGAGTGTGCTGGCCACTCATCGGTGTGATCGAAATCCGTTAGCTAATGTTGATCTCTCATTTTCCGTGATAGGGGGTAATGAAGCTACGCATGCCACAAAGCACAGAAGAGATCATGATCGTTCTAGTAGCGAGATTTGACACAACATTATCGGTTGACGGAAAAATATCGAGCGACCGTGAGTTAGTCGTACTGTATGACGCGTGAATGATCGGTTATTGACGTGCATAAGCGTAGCGGTGCGACGTTTCCACGATCTATCTCAAAACATCCATCGGAGCGTGACTTATCAGTGCTGAGGCCTCCTCATCTTCTTCATCAAATTCTGATCCTTTGCACTTTATATAGACACGTGCCTGCTAGATCCCCGCTTTCTGTCGGTCCGAGATAAGTACAACATGAAGATGAATTGGGTTTGCGGCTTCCTACTTGATTAATTATACTTCACGACCAGCAATCAACAATCATGAACACAGTATCGAAGACTTTTACTACAAGAACTTCTCTTGAGAACTCAGTCATTATAGTGCGACCACGACTGCAACACCATCACAATTCACTAAACAGCCCTGTGTGCGCCACTTCATCTCAATCCTTCAAAGGCCTTTAAAAAAGAGATGGAAGAAGCTTGGGCAATCGGTGGCAAGAGCTTGTTTGGGGATGATCAGGTGCACGATGAAGACAGCAGCTACGAGAGTGCAATCGCCGAGGCGTACGGATTCGTTGCTCACTCCTCGCGACCGGCGGCTACGAACACGGGCACCCAGCGGGTGGTTGTAGCGCTGGCCGCTGGCGACGAGAGCCGTAGGACTTGCAGCACAGCGGATGCCATTGCTAGCGGTGCAAGTAGCTCGAATTTCGCCGCGACAAATGTCGTGGGCAAGCTGCATTTGCACACAATCGCGGAAGAAGTTTCGTCCGATGAAGTTGAAGTTGAATCAATGGGGCATACCAAAGGCAGATGTGTCTCAAATATAACTAGTGCACCAAAGAACATGTTTGTGTTTGCGCCTGAAGGTGGGGATGTTGAGGGACGAGATGATGCTGCTGCCTTTTCCGATGTGCCATCAATCACGGAGTCTGACGACGCGCAAGAAAATGTGAGAGAAGCACCGGCCCACAGGCTTTGCTTGGCTGCGCCTCTTCCGCCAGTGGTAAAACGATCATCGGCCGCAGTAGAATCTTCTTCGGGTGAGAACACGCACGGCACTCTTCCACGTGCCTTCGCGCATATCGCAGAAGCATCCCTCCAACAGACGTCACGTGGAAGGGGTCTAGATGTGCAAGCTGTACTAGACGAAGCAGAGTCGACGCCGTCATCCGATATGGGGTCTGGGACTGCAGCCATTCAGCCCACAACTTCACCATTGTTATACACGTCAGAGGAGACATCAGGAGAAGAGAACGCTAGAAGCGGGCAAGATGTCCGACTTTCGCAAGCTGTTGCGACGAAAGTGCCATCCGCACAGCGAAGGAGCGTAGAAAACGGTAGAGACATCAAGACTATTGCAAAAGAAGATCCGGAAGATGGCCGAGGATCGATTCTACTTACGTTTGGAGGTGCCGTAATTTTGAGAAATAGTACATCGCGTGATAATAGTAAGATATCCGTAGCAATTTCTGACGCACCCCCTGCTCCTTCAGGTGCATCGTCCCGACGCCGCAGTAGTCACAGAATGTCAGCCGTTGCTGCCGGGCGAGGGTTCGCAGTAGAGGCTCCAGGTAGCAAATCACCCGATCGACGTAGTTCAGCCGCCAACCCGGGCGACCCTGCCTTACCGGGTCAAGAAAGGATGGACAGGCAAGAAGATACACATACAAATAATGATATGAGCACCGACGGAAGCACAAACTTGACCACAGGGGCAAGTGAGAATATCGGCAGAGTGTCACCTGTTCGCTCGTCTCTGCTAAGGAGAGGAAGTAGCAGACTTCTAGGAGCCGGTAGTCAAACAGCCTCTTACAACCAGCATGCACCTGTGACAATTAGGAACTCGCCTTCAGTACAGGAAAGCGCAACAGATAACGACGGTCAATCACCAACGCTGCCTCAAGACGGTGCAGAAAGTGCGTGGGTATCTGCGAACAGCGGGGGAAAAGGCAAGAAAAAAGAAGAGCAGGGGAGAACGCCGACATTATCAGAAAGCGCTAGGAATGGGCAACTAGTACAGGAGAATGACCGTGCCGTTGGCGCAGGAGTCGACGTTGAGGAACAGAAGGCAGACAAGGTAGACGTGCCAGCACAAAATCAGGAAAGCGCCTCGCCTGCAGACAAGGAGCAGCTTGCTGGAAAGATGAGGGCTAACGCTCTCCCGAGAAACTACGCTGCTGCAATGAGAATCGGCAGTGAAGCCACTAATCCGTTTCGAAAAGTCGTGACATCTCCGCTATCCACGCCGAGGCGTAACATACCGAATCTTGTTGATGGATCGACCAAGGGAGGAGAAGCGGACGGCGTTGGCGGAAATACTTATATTAAAGGGTCTAGCGGAGCAAAATTAGGTAAAAAAGGCAGTGGCATGGGAAAGGGCAAAATTTCGAAAGGGCCACTTCAGGACGAGTCTGCTGCTCGGCTAGCACGGCTGACGGCCGTGGAGGCGGATGGAGTGGCCGAAAGCAATAAAGGTTATGTTGAAATTGATGATCAAACGGGAGCACAGAGAAAAGGAGGCAAAGGTAGAATATCTTGTGATAGCGAAGGGCTAAGAACAAGTACCAGTATTGACATGAAAAAAGTCGAGGAGGCCGCTGATACGCGCAGCCCTACCGGAAAAAAAGGTCGCCTCTCGAAGGATGTTTCGGCAGGGGCTGCAACTCACGTAGCCAGGGCAGGTGCCTCTCCCGCCAGAGCCTCGGGATCATCACCCTCGCTTCGTGGTGCAGGGAAGCCGTCGATGAAAAGCAGCTCCGAAATAGACCGAGTCGTGGCCATCGCTTCGCCATCTGCTACGACAGACCGAGCGTTAGACCCTCCTCCAACCACTCCGGCAGTGGCGGGCGCGCCCTTCCCTGGCGCCACAACGTCATCACCTTCGCAAGGCAAGGGAATGGTCGTGAAGCGTCTGAGTGCCAAGGGAGCGGTGCAATCAGTGGCAGTTAGTAAGAGAGTCCACGAGCTCGGACTTTCAGATCACCCAGCCTTTGACAGCGTCCATCCTTCCACCGAGGTGACGACTTTGCACACGAGGGCGTCCACAGTTGCGAGTCCAGCAAGAAAAATTGAAGATAACGTTGCCAGGCAGAGCAGGTCAATGCCAGTCGAGTCGCCTAGCGCGGGTACCTCCACTACCGGCGGCCGGGCTTCTGAATTACAAGTAGTTGGAACGAGAGTGGGAGGAGAAGAAACCCTCCAGACAAAGGACGCAGTTGTTTCAGGACAAGTAACCGAGGAGGGCAACCTACTAAGGTCAAATAAACTTCGCGTCAAGATAAGCAACAAACTGGCGCCGGATGAAGCTGCTGCGATCAATGTGTCTAGCCGGGGTCGTCGGAGTCCGAGTCCCTTTGACCACACTAAAGCGGCAGGTCATCACGACTTTGAGGATGAGCTAGTAGAGGCTTCCTTGGATCATCACGTAAGATCCTCTGCCGCTGCCTCGATGAAAAAGCAAGCAACATCACTGCAAGAAAGCGCTGTGCTCATCGCGAAAGAAGCTGCGCACTCGAGTTCTTTGCTCACAGTCTCGAGTGCCGCGGTTGCTTTTCAGTCGCTCCGAAACTCTATTCACGCTGTCAGCTCGAGGGGAACGACGAGTAAAAATGACGCTTCCTCGTCTTTCTCCGATTTTCCATCTCAGCGGGGCTCCTCAGTGAAAATCACAGATAAACAAGACGCACAAGGAATCGATGACACGCGCACCAGTGGTGACACGGCTGTGCGCGAGAAGACACCAATGTCAACGGAAGTTCCTGAACATGTGGCGAGGTTGAGGAGTGTTCTCGCTATCGCTGAAGGACAAGCACTGGCTGCTGCGTCAAACAATGCGATTTCGCGAAGAGCTTGTCAAGCACGCGATGAAGCGATGATGCAGGAAAGATTAAGCGCCGTTGAAGAAGACCTGCGTCTACAGCATGTGCTTCTACACGAGCACATTCTAGGGACGCCATATCCTGCGGCCACTAAGTTACAACAAGCGGGTTCAGCTGGTTCTGGTGAAGCGACTCCAACAAGAGACTTTGCTGACAGTGTTGCGATTGGAACAAACACCGCATCCATGCAAGAGAAGTCAAAGGCAACAGAAGATGCGGGGGAAGCAGGAGATTACCAGTCGCGTCTGCCGACGACATCAAAGCTGCTTGCGGCTGTGTCTTCATCAGCGGTTACCGACACGGCAGACATTGAGCAACCACAGAACGTTCAGCCTGGAGTTGGCAAAGGCGAAGTAGACGCGACAATCGAAGTACTAGATGAAGATGCTGAGCAAGAGAAGATGGCTGTGCTAGGGTCTTCGACTAGCAACTCGACCAAGATGAAAAACGGCAAAACGGAATATTTTCAACACTCGTCGTTAGAGGAACAGATCATCATGGGTGTAGTAGAAGACAAAAATAGGGGCGAAGCTAGTGGAAAAGCAGTAAAGGAAGCTTCTGGAGGACTTGCTGAAGCTTCAGAAGCGGGTTGGCAACGCGAAAAGGCGATCCTCGAAGAGCGCTTATCGGCTATGGCCGCTGAACTAGCCAAAGCTCGGGGGTCGTCAACCGCGGAAGCCCCTGCGGCACCACAAGGTGATGAATCGACTCTGAATGACACAAAAAGCACGATTTTTGAGGGCGAAGATCGCGGTGAAGCTCCTCCTGTAGTAGTTGATGTGTCAGCGAAGAATATCGTAGACGACGAACAGGAAGAAGATCTTCACACCGCCTTTGGACTAGAAGATGACGAAGTAGCGGACGAGCACGAGCAACCAATGACAGATGTTGCCACTGCAAGTTTAGGAGAAACCGATGTCTTTGGTAATATGGGGGGACCTGGACATGATGAAATCGGTGCAGGAGAGGAAGCCGTCGATGAACATCAAGAGCAGCAGGATGAAGAAGAGCCTCGTCAGTATTCTCAACAGGGACGTGGCAGCGATCCTCTGGCAGGAAGTCCAGCTCCAACAAGCCCTGATGAGCCACCTACAGCTACGGGGACAATACTCGGCTCCAGGCGCACGACTACTAGAGCTGCAGAGGGTGGCGGTGCCCGAGTGGTGGAAGTCGAGGAGCCCCTGGTGCCGTTTGACACTCTTGCGCAGCACGAGGAGAAAAAGAGTCGTGGGATGGGCATGGCATTGCACGGTCATTCAAGCCTGCATACTTCGAAAGCCCCACGTGTGGGTGGATCGCTTCTCGTTGACGGAGCCGTCCTTGCCGTTGCTGCAGCGACAGTCACTGATTCGGTTGCGTCATCTGGACCTGCAACCACGAATGAAGCCTCGCCTTCGGGACATCATAGTAGTCCAAAGAAAATCTTGTCGAACCCCACAAGAAAAAGTCGTGGAAACACGCTGATGCTGAGCACTACTTCTTCTATTAGAAAAAGTATAACCAGATCAGGTGCAGCGGTGAATACTACTGAGACCACCGTTCCAGGTTGTACCTCACCAGGAGTCTCCATGACATCACAAATACTACAACTCTTTAGAGCCAGCGAAAATGATGATGCCGCGAAGACAAGAAGCTCTTCGTCACCGATTTCTACGGAGATGCAGCAGGCGCCGCCGGACATTTTCTTTCGCAGCCCGAGCCCTCCGCTAAGACGTCCAGGGAGGGGTGACAGACCGGAGGACAAAATGCCACAAGAAGCGTGGACCCAATGCAGCCTGGATGGCCGCTCGCGCAAGATGCGATGTATGCTTAGCGAACAGGTGCCGCATCCGCTTCACTTATTATACCATACTGCCAGTGCTGTAGCTGAAGAAAAAGACCAGGGTCTGCTTTCGATGCTTCGTGCTCGCGTTGAAGGTAGTTAGTTGTAGTTCTAGTTTTGATTACTCAATCTCAAATGACTCTCAAAAGATTTGAAAGCGAGTTAGATTTACAACTTAGAGATTCGTAGAGAGCGATAGAGAGTCTTGGTGCAAACGCGGCGGAACTTTTGATTTTGTACGCGCGCGCAAAAATAGTTGCAATGATTGAAGCAGCGTCGTCTACTCGTGTTTATCCATCTCATGTTGATGATCTATGTCCGGCTGTATAAGCGACCTCCCGGTACTAGGCATCGATCTTTGCCTACCTCAAGAATGAGGAAAGATTTTTTTACCTCGACCAAGTTGTAACTAAAACTTCTATCTTCATCGTCCAATCTTCAGGTTCTGCAGCGCCAGTTGATATCGATGTGGACGAAAAGCATGAGGCAGAAGCAAGGACTACCTACGCAGTTTCGAGCCTGTCGCGGTCTTCTGTGACGATTTTCCCTGACCGTGGACAAGAGGGGATACCAAATCCCCACGAGGTTCCTCCTCTCAAAGGCCGTGCTGATGTTTCCAGCGCAGCAGGAACTCTGTCGCCAGAAAAACGGCTACGGCAAGACGAGGAAGGAGCTGAACGAGTGACCACAGCCGTTACGCCCTCTGCGATGGAGCCGATTCTTACGTCACCAATCACGATAGGAGGCGTATTAGCAGGTGGAGCTGGAGGTCGTGTATTCGAAGCCGTTGGATCTAGTAGCATCAAGGTACTTGATAAACATCATCTGCTTTTTTCTGCTTCTCCAGCAGAAGAAGCAGAACGTATGACAAACAATGTGTCTTCGCGAGAAGAAGAATCAAGAAACACCGCTCGTGTGCTTCTTCAACCGCTGAAGCCTAGTGCGCTGACGGGATCCCCCACTCCGCACACTCGACCAGTGTCAAATTTGCGCGTTGAAGGCGTTACCAGCACCAGCTTTCCGCAACCACCTGCCTTAGCCGGATTCACATCGGCGCAGAAGACAGACGTAAACCAAGAAAAGCCAGCGACTGGTTGGGAATGGGTAAGCCCCAGTTTGCGCCTCGAACGTTCCGCGGCGCCGGATCTCAGCGCACTCCCGAAGTCGCCACTGTTGAGTGTAAAGAGCGTTGGCGGGAAACCGGAAGATTTTAAGGTTGGACTATACGGACACGCTGTAAGCACTGGGGCTCCAGCAGCAGGTGCAGGTGTAAATGCGGCAACAAGTAGCGGTAGAAATGCTTCATCCACGGTTCGTATTCAGCTTCCTGAACGCCGCAGTAGACCTGGTGGGGGTCGTGCTTCTCCCTCAGTGTCACCAGATACAATCACCTCAATGTTTCTTACCCGAGTGGAACAACGTATGGCCAGCGCTGCTGCAGATGCACGAAGTCAAAAAGATGAAGAGCAGAATATAAAAGAAAACGTGTCGCCAACGCTTCCGATTTCACTCTTTGAAGCCCATACTCAAGGCCTTGAAGACGAAGACGAAGATTTCTTGGGTACGGACCCTGAGAAAGAATCTCAGTTGTCGCTCTCAAGGAGAAGTGAGGGTGCATTACTGCGTTCGGCGAATGAGCATTCGTGCTAAGGAATGCAGCTGTTGATGACGTGGTAGGGAATTTCAAGAATAGTACTTTACGTTCTGTTTTCATGTGCGGTCGCATATGAAATCAAATATTCTTTGCGATAACTTTTGTTTGACTTCAATCTATGTAAAGTAAGTAAATTGTTTCTCCGGTGTTCATTCGAAAAACCTGATTTACCATATCACGCATATTGCATAACATAAGTACTTCTTATCTGCGTATTCCGCAAAGGCAAACGCGATATCAACTTGAAGAATTCCGTTTATGCCTCATGATCACATTCATAAATGTTTAGAATCAAGGACCGTTGTAACTGTCACTTGTCAACTTTCTGTTCATGCTAGGGCTCACATTTGTGCTTAAGAATCGGTACTATGATTTGGTTCATTCAAAATATTGAATGATGAATGACGAAAATACATGAGAAACCTCATTGCCAGTCCAAGAATGATCTTTCTTTGGAGCGCAATAGGTTACATTCGAATTCAATGATTTTCATCGGCCATCGCCATCATGATCCTTATTCCAACCATTACTTCGCTTGCGGCTTTGACCTCTTCACTTTGTCTCTATTTCGGACGGCTTGATGTTCGTCATGTACTTGCGGTGTTGTGCTGCCATCGTCCTTCTTGGAGAGAGTATGGTAAATATAGAAGTTGCAGTCGGTGTCGGTGAATCGTGTCCATGATGAAAAGCGGAACTTTTTGTAGGCGAGGGCGTGCTGGGTTGTTGTTGAATGATGTGCAGACAGACACAGTTCCAATAGATGAATCTTCCCCGATCCCGCCTTATCTTTATTATGCGTATTCAATTATTTTGGTTTTGCCCTCCTCCAATTCCAAATGCTGGTTGCGGTTGCCTACCGCTTTTAATATATTTATATATAAGAAATACACTCTCGTCCGTTTCAACTTTTTCTGCACTTCTAGACCTTTCCATGACCACCCCAACTCAAAAATATGGATATCGATATTTAGTAGTAGATTTATTACTTTTCCAACAGCAGAGCATGCTGTTATTTTTACTTTTCCAACTTCAAGAACTTCTTCATCTTCTTGTTCTTTCTGATTTCGGTTGTTGCGACTTTGAGCGCAAGTGTATTTATACCACAGCCGCTTGTCCTTTCGCGTTTCCTTGGTTGGTTTATTGTGATGGTTATTCTTCTTGTTGTTGTTAGCAACAAACTCATCAACTCATCTGTTGTGCTACAGCGTGGTGAGTCCTACATATACTAGTCGTGTCCCGTGTGTTCAGCGGTGGTTGAGAGAGGGGAGGACGAGGAAAAAAAGAGGGGCGAGAAGCTGCTAGTAGCGGCCAAACCCTGACATTCGAAACTCTGATCTTCCGAACTCTGAGGCGCCAAGCCCTGACATTCGAACGCTGAGGCGGCAAGCCCTGACATTGACAGGCCCGGCCACTTGCAAACGCCTCCCATCCCAAACGCTGACGCTCAAAATTCTGACCTTCCCAACTCTGAGGCGCCAAACCCTGACAGTCGAACCCTGAGGCGCCAAGCCCTGACATTGACAGGCGCGGCCACGTGCAAACGTATCCAATCGGCATCAATCCCGGGCTCTTCTATGAACTCCGAACAACGTTCGAAACCTCGCGGTCGCTGCTTGCCTTGGTATCGCGCGTTCGTCGGAGACATTACCCGGCTGAAACGCGCACGGCGGACACGTTTGAAGCCGTTAACGGCTGCGCGGCAGGCGTCGCCCCTGTCAGCCACTGAGGGCACGAGCCGGCAAGGAGGCCGCTGACGTTCAGCACCAAGAGGCGGCAAGCGCTGCCATTGGCCCGCGTGACTCTGAGAGCGAACCTTGCAACGCTGACACTGAGCGGGAGCCCTTGACTCGCTGGAGCCGCTGACTTCCCAAACTCTGACTCTCGAAACTCTGACCTTCTGAACTCTGAGGCGCCAAACCCTGACACTCGAACACTGAGGCGCCAAGCCCTGACATTGACAAGCCCGGCCACTTGCAAACGTATCCGCTCCCAAGCTCTGACGCTCAAAACTCTGACTTTCCGAACTCGGAGGCGCCAAGCCCTGACATTCGAACTCTGAGGCGCCAAACCCTGACATTGACAGGCAAGGCCACTGGCAAGCGTGTTTCCTCTCAAACTCTGACGCGCAAAACTCTGACCTGCCGAACTCTGAGGCGCCAAACCCTGACGCTCGAACTCTGAGGCGCCAAGTCCTGGAATTGCCGTGCTGGGTGACTTGCGAACGCCTCCAAAACCCTGACACGCAAAACCCTGGGACTCGTTGGCGCGTTAGTTTGCAACCCTGGCAACCAAACCCTGACATTTGTGCCTTTTTCGCCAAATCTGAGATTCAAAACCCTGGCATGCACGGGCTCAAAGCCCTGAGATTTTGCGGTTAGTGGCGGACCCTGAGACTCCCTGGCTTCCGCCTTAAAACCCTGGGGGCCTTGGCCTTTGTTTCCGCCCCCCTTGAGATTCCCCTTGATTCGCCTTAAAACCCTGACCACGGGCCCCGATTTTTGTCGATTGTTAATAAAGCGGGAACTCGCAATAACAATTTTGATTTTCCGTAGTGGTCAACCCTCGGTCGATTTGCTACTGTGCCTACTAGTACTAGTTCCGTCTTCATCAACATCGATGTGCATCTGCATCTGATCTGCTGTTGTAGCACAATTTTCGTTTTCCTTTCTTGATCTTCTATCCGGATAGATTGAGAGAACAAAATTAGACCTTCGATACGGCAGTGGAAGACTAGTATTGCGAGTCAGTCGTGGAAGTGCCACAGCGTTTTCACGAAGATGCCAGACTTCACAGGAAAACCCAACCAGTCAAATTGGGCTAACCGCAGCGTCGACGTGGATTGTGTTGGGCGAACAGCACAGCCAGAAGCTGCGGCGTCGGGGAATGCAGCCAGCACGAAGCAAGGCCGTGCAGGCGCAGCGTCGTCGTCTACTGCCGCAAGTTTGGGGGAGCATTCTTCGTCGGTAATTACTCTTCGCAGCGTGCAGAAAATGAACTTACCCAACGTCGGTCATAAGTCTGATCAACACAGAGATGAGGGTGGAAAGCACAGCAATAGCGCCGATGTTCTGTTTGAGGAACCGCAACATGACAGGGCATCCACCTCCACAACGTCTGGCGGTGATGCCGACGACCGGTCGACAGTGTCATCAGGCGAAGTGCTGTTCCTGGATCACGACCATAATGTTACCAACGTCTTCCGAATGTCCTCAGGTGCCAGTACGCAAACAGGGACGAGAGGTACAGGGAAGGCAACAACTAGTGTGTGCATAACAGATGCAAGAACTACGTCATCTTCAATTTCGGGGGAAGAAATGAATCGCACAGCAAGCGATTTTCATGTCGTTCTTGACGTTGCTGTAACAGTGCGTGGCGCGGCTGGCGCAAGGAGCAATGTGAAAATCCACAGAGAACGTGAGAAGGCGATGAAAAATGCAGCAGCACGAGGAGCGGTCGAAAGTTCTACGCATCAAGAACATAGAATCCACAACGGTTCAGATTGTCCAGTGGATCATCCGGAGCCAGAAGCAATTGATCAGACGAAACAGCAAGTGGCAGGCGAGAAGATTAGTAAAGAACCGATGGGACAACGACTAGCAGAAGCAGCGGCCGACGCGCCACCAGTCCGTTGCTTACCGGTACCAAGGGGTCTACTTAATATTCCCATGCTACCCGAGTGCGAGCCCGCAAGGCTTGCAAGTAGTAGAGCGAGACGATCACGAGCTCCAGCACATGCAAACCGTCCAAGAAATACCATACCAGATGAGGAAACGGAGAGCAGTATTGAAGAAGAGGACGGTGATGAAGATTGTGCGACGCCTTCAGCGCGACTGCCGGTCGAATCTTCTGCGAGGCAGATCAGACGAGACCGGCGTGCAGCTATGCGTCTTCTAATCGACCCGAACTATCATAGACGCTTATCGATGTCGAGTCAGAACGGGGCAGGAGCAGAGAACGCGGGCCGCGCTGGAGCGCCTCCTCCACTATCTTCTGGTTCTGGAAGTGCAGTTTTCTTTCGATCCTCTCTGACAGATCGTTGGGATCTGCAGACCGCTGCAAGTCCCGCCGCGGTGCGCGGCAGAGCGCGACGACCGCTGCAGCCGAGGGAAGCAGTGGCAGAGTATGGACGATGCTACAAGGAACAAAATCCTAACTACTCTGCTGCTTCCCAGATCCACTATAGCTGCATGTTCAAATCCGTCTTCACACCCGAAAAAAAACCACCGCAGAAACGCAGATCTGCAAGTCGCGACGCAAGCCATGCAGCTGCGTCTCGCAATGAGGCTCACGACGAAGGTTCTAACAAGGCAGGCCAGAGCAGCGCAGCGCGAGAGAGTGAGGACGGGCAAGCCGCCGGCTCAGGCACCAAGAAGAAAGCTAAACAGTAAGGAGTAACTTGTGATGGTACGTAGAAAATATGATGATCATGAAATCGCATTAACATTCGTTTAGATATGTAATAATAATTGAGTGGCTACTAGAATTACAAATGCTCTTCACGTGCGTAGGCGCGATAAATAAAAAGTTTAGAGACGGACACATTGCCATCCCACCTTCGTTTCTGATAGGAATCTAAAATTCTTTTTTCAAGTCCAAAACTTCCCTATTCCCATGCACAGATGAACCAATGTATAGTAGTAGCACAAGCATCATTTAGAATCATTTACAAAAACCTAAGCCGCAACGTTGATCATCTTGTTTCTTCACGCCATGCTTTAGACTATGACTATCGACTGTGCATGTTTTTCTTTCTGTAGCAAATAGCGTGACCAAATGCTCGTGCAACCGCCTACTCGGACCTCCAGCCAGCAAAAGCGTCCACAGAACGTAGCTAGAAGGGGATCAGATGTTAATGTTTCCCTACTCGATATAAGAGAAAACAGGATGCCAATTTAGTAAAGAGTAGAAATTTTTAAATGTGGGCTCCCGCTCGAAAAAATTTTCAGTAAGTTCTCCCGACACGACCAGTTTATCATAATGCCTTTCAACTACTTACTTCTGTTTAATATCTATGTCCCCCGCCCAGGCCCACCTCCTGCTCTGACACACGTGCAACTTCGTTGTCAATCTTGCGGACTTGTCATTGTAGTGACATTCATCGTTTCCAGCTCCTTCAGAACGAGAAAAGTACAAAAGGTTTTTATTCCTCCATAGATTAGCAGCTTACATACATTTAAATTTCATGATAATCACATCATCTTGATACTGATAAAGCAGTCGAAATTCTTGTCATCAGCCGTTACTCATTTTCGTTGTCATAGATAAGGAAACTACTACCCCTCACGAAATAGACTTCGTCGATCAGTGTGCGAGTAGTTCTTCTTATGCTGGATTTCATCATCATTCTTATTTACAATAACCATTTCCACGACGACGTCTTCGACTTCGTCTTCTTGATCCGGTGCAACAGCGACAAGATGAGCTTCGCTGGCAACATTAAAGCTAATGCTGAAAAAAGGGAGAATCCATCCAGTAGTGTGAGAAAGTGTTGCATCCTCGTTCTTGTATTAGTACTAGACGTGGTGGTATTGCTGTAGTTGTAGTAGCAGCAGTACTAGCACTTCGGTTTCCGAGACGAATTTTCGTCCTGCAATAGAGATAGAGTGGCCAACTGCACAGACTTCATTTACTTGGTCGTAATGACGAATCCCTAACCTCTGTGATAGTAATGCTTCAAAAGAACATGGACGATTGTTTTGGAGCTCGCCGTCAGACAAGTGAGGCCGACAGCAACAGTGGAGACGCGTCAATGGTTCGCGTGTCTTTTAACGTCGGTTCTACTGAGATTATCTTGTCGGTCTGAAAGAGACTCAGTGATGGAGATCTGTCGAAAAAGTTACCTGGTGAACAAAGGATTGATTGATTGATTGATTGATTGATTGACTGAGCCACTTTGGCTCAAGGTTTCCCCGCACCTTGTTGCCGTTGTTCTAAGTCGGGAGGTTAGGTCGGGAGGTGGCGACACTTGACTAACTGTTAAGTATGTAATGGGCGATGTTGGCGCCTCCCATTTTGTAACCATTTACTCCACACGAGTGCTCGCCCCACTCCGTGGAAAACAAGAATGATGAAGGGTCTGCTCGATTCGACAAGGCCGCTGATCGCAATGGAGGTGCTAGAACAGTGAGACCTGTGCCCGGCCTTGGAGCGCAGACCAATTGCGAGGTCCCCTAGCATCGGCGGCCTGAGCCGCGCGACTTAGCATCTCTCCGCCTGTGAAGAGTCGACACGGAGAAGAGTTAAGCAGAGTAGCCCTCTCCCCCGCCCTACGCAAACTACTAGTAATTGGACAGAGCTCAAGTGTAGAACAGATCTCTCGCTTTGGCGCTGGGGAGTATTTGTGCCCTGGCTGTTAGGTTTGGAAGAAGAACGTCATAAGCAGAGGCTGACGAAGTGAAACCTTCACCCTGATGGCCCCGAAATTATTAGAAGATCGCATCCCCCCACGGTGAGCATCCGGCTTGCGGGCCTAGCCCAACACGGCCTCCTCGCACCAGTTGCAGTATTGTACTGTCGGGGCCCTTGCGTCTTCCAATGACTCCGTGTCGGGAGACGCGATGGGTGGAGGGTAGCGGGCTTCTCCGGCGGTGGAGAAGTGCGGCGAGAGCCGGTTCAGCATGCATCACGGTCCCTGGCGCGGGCCAGCATGGTAGATCGCGAACGAGGGTGGATGGTCTGGCCATGTGCCCGCGTGACTTTGTCCAGGGATCGGCTCGGAGTGCGGTTCTCTTCCTCAGCTGGGTCGTGAGGGCTCACCCTTCATTAGCCCGACACAGCGTAAGCAAAGCGGGCAGAGTCCAAAGACAGCCGCAGCTAATTTGCGCTTGAGGTTCCTGGTAACGGACTACGCTAGGCGACTCGCCTCTGGTCTTTTGCTATGGTTGATCTTTTGTGGGCTAGGTCAGCGGGAACGCAGTCGTGCTTGCACAGTCTAGAGTTGGCCCTGGGTCTGTTTGTTTCTCCGTTATCCAGCGCCGCTGCTCGTTAGAATGCCGCATATAGTTGATTGATTGACTGACTGCTTGATTGACTGACAGAGTTGGCCCTGGGTCTGTTTGTTTCTCCGTTATCCAGCGCCGCTGCTCGTTAGAATGCCGCATATAGTTGATTGATTGACTGACTGCTTGATTGACTGACAGAGTTGGCCCTGGGTCTGTTTGTTCCTCCGTTACCCAGCATCGCCGCTCGTTAGACGGGCGCATATAGTTGACTGATTGCTTGACTGTTGAAGAGCATCCTCGGTCTGTTTAGTACCTGAAGTACGTCAAATCGGTCCAGGTCCTTGTCGTTCTGGAATCCTCAATCAATTCGTATTAGTCCTCTCATCCATGATGAAACTCCAGTCAGCTCAACTGAATCAGGTCAAGTGGCTTTATCGGTGCTGGAATGTACATGCCCATCAGCGATTCCTCTGTCTGCGTCTGTCCAGCGATTCCGCTGCATTACCCCGCACACGGTCTACCTTCCATCATGCCTTGCTTTCAACGCCCGGCAGAGTCCGCATCTCGACGTTTTCGGTCATCCTCCTGAATAAAGTTTTACGTTTTCATATGATTTCTGACTATATGAATGCGTGCGTGAATACAAGAAGAAGTTTTGATACATCATAATCGCAGACAAAGAGGAGTAAAAGAAGTGACGGATTTTCAATCATCATAGATGCTGCCTTTTGTGTGCTGCTGAAATAGTACAAATTGTGAAACACCTCTCGTCTTCGAGAGGAATATGAAAATAGAAGAGCAAATGCAAAATTATGAGGAATAAGAGCAAGCGTGACACTAAGGACCCCTCTGACGAGGTTGGTCTAGACCAGCTGTTTCGAGCGGATGACACACGTGCAGAAGATGATGACTATGTAGATGACGTTTTAGGCGAAGATGATGAAGACATTTTGACTGGAGTCGAAGACACTGGGTTTCTCGAAGTGGTGAAAACAGTGGTGGATATCGACCTTGGAAACGGAGAGCAGCAACAACGAAGCGATGTAGCGCCTGCCGTTCAGGAAGATCTTGAGTCCCGTCTGATGCAAGAGCTTCAGGCAAATGTGACAGCGGCAACTGGAACAGCGTCGGTCGCGGATCAGGGAAGTGTAGCAAAACTGGAGATGGACCGAAGTTGCACGAGCAACGTGGTCCCAGCCGACGCACCATCCAACACGCATGCCCTGGCCGGAGCTTACGATCCGGTACCGGACAAAACACAGGAGCGTGAGCTTGCCTTGTCTAGGTTCCTTGCTGACGACAGCACAACTGATGTGGACATTTTGCAGGGGTCGACGAGCAACGCATGCGCTAGCATCGGCCGCTCGTCGTTGATGACGAGTACAACGACTAGTGCCAATGCCAAAAGCGCGGCTCCTGCAAGCGGGAGCGATAACGGGGGTTCAAGTTCAACAGGAAGAGGAAACTCTACGGCACCAGTGGCTATGACCACCTTGACGCCTGTGTCAAAGGAAAATCCAAGCGCGAACGCTGGTTCGCCAGCGAAGACGCCAATGGGGTTATTCTCATCTTTTCTTGTAGAAGAGCTGCCGCGAACTAACAACATTCGGCTCAGCAGGAAGGAACAAGCCGAATTGCGAAACCGGAGCACCAGTACAACTTCGGCAGCCGATGTTGGCGGTGGGAACAAAGGAAATAACGGGGAAGAGGAGCAGCATGACCAACTCGTTCAGGATGCGCTTGCGAAGCTGCGCAGGGTATTGAACCGGTCCTCACCCGCAAAGCCGAACGACGAGAAGAACATGAAAGGTCGCGGGTCCAGTTCTCGGACGGGACGAGCGATTGCGGTGAACAACGAGGCTGACGAGGAGGAAGAAGAAGAGGATAGGGAGAGCGATGAGGACGAAGACGACGAAAGCGATACCAGCACCGATGACGAGAATAACGGCTTGTCTGAGTATAAGAGCTTCAACCGCTTGAAACTGAACGCAAAGTACGTCGAAGAGCGGTTACTTGAGGCCGAGAGGGCGCGGGGGACAGGCAGAAATGATGCGGCGGACTCTCTCGACGGTGGCCTTGATGCTCGCAAGATGCGTACTTCGGGACAGGACTATTTCCTCAGTTTAGACCCGGATGTCGAGCGTATTGTGGCAGCAGTGGAGAAACATGAGGATGAGAAGATGCGTGCTAGGAAAAGCTCCACTCTGAACTCTTTCCTGCCAGGCGACAATTCCTCTCCTCGTCCAGCGAGTACCGGAGTTTCACCAAGAGACTTGTCGCGTGATATCCTGGAGCACCCTGGCCCAAACAGTCCCAAGCGAATGAGCGCCACGTTTGCCGCTGGTTTCGCGTCAGCCTATAGCCCAGACGGGAGCTCGAAGAGTGGCATTCAGTCGCTGTTGGCGGGTAGTCCCGCAGGAGGTAAAGTGGTTAGCACATCGGCGACAACAATGTTCGGCGAACCAGGAACAGAAAAGGGCCAGTTCTCCGATGCAAACCTTCCAGAAAGGCCAATCAGCCCGAATGAGGAAGACATAGCAGCAGTTCTCGGAAAACTGAATCAGAGTCTCACGAGTTTCAAGGACGTCGGCGATTTCGGAAGTGTAGTATCACCATCGAAAAAAGACGACGAAGCGAATGAATTTGCAGAAGACGGTGACGACGTGGAAGGTCCAGAAAAGCCGGGAGAGAATGATGGGTATCTGCATAGAATGATTGTGACAAATCACGACATGGAATGTGCTTGATGTGATAATTTGTTTTTCTGCGAGTTTTAAGTATTCACTATGCAGAATCAGACTATTGCTCAAACCACACCAATATTGAAAAACGACGGGGACATGGACATGCACATGTGCTAGAAGTGCTCGAACTCCAACAAAGACAAACTAACTACAGACCTTCTCCTGGTAAGCGTGTTGATTTAGTCGACGACGTTCTGGAAAGTTTGGAAAGTTGTAAGTCCGCGGTAGACAAGATCCTTCAGGAGGCCACCGCGACACGCCCGATATTTAAGGGTGCTGGCGCTGCAGAGCGGGACGAGGCCGTGGAGAAACTAGCAGAGCAGTTGCGCGATAATGCTCAAGGCAAACCAGCTACACCAGGACGCATAGCAAGGCGAGCCAGAGTGGACCGCCTTGTGCAACAGGTGCTGCAAAAGGAAAAACAAACAGAAGTTGACGCAGAACAGAGCAAGTACGCAGTTAAAGTTGTCACTGCGGAAGAGAGGGAGAAACAGAAGTTGGAGGTACGATATCAATCTAGGCTATGCTGACATCAAGTACTTGTAATTTCACAAATCCAAAACAAAAAATCAATCAGGGTAGTTGTTTTCAAAAGACTTCAATTCTTGGCGTCCTTCGTCTTCCTCAAAATCGAAATCAAAAATTAGACATTGCGTGCGGAGCAGGCTGCTGCAGCGGTCGAGCAAGAGCGAAAGCGCAAGAGGCGGACTGAGCTGAACAAAGTGAAGAAGAAGGCTAGCGAAAAAGTCTTGGCGTACTTCGAAACGAAGTATCCTGTAATGTCGGAGGTGGTATCAAGCTTTGAGAACTGGAAGCAAACGGGTAGCGATGCAATCGCAGAACTCATCTGGTCCGACACCTCCATCCCGGCAGAGCGTTTCACCAAACTCAAGTCCTATCAGAAGATCAACCACTTTGTCGGTACTTCTTCTGTTTTCATCTCTTCTTGTTCGTCGCAGTTATTCTTAATATTGCACTAAAAGCAGTGCTCTACCTCTACAGTACCACTGGCTCTAGGCGGGTTTGTGAGTCACTTCATGATGTAAGTACTTGTAGCTGGTGTTATTGTTAGGATATACTGGTCACCAACTTGGCCAAGCTCATCTATCTACCTCATGCTGCAACCGCAAGTCAACATCATCTACTACATTTAATCTTTTCATCTCGTGCAGGAATGTGTGCTATTACACGCAAAAACAACCTTGGTCGTAATTTGATTCGCATGAAGAAGTACTATCCGAAGGAATACAAGTTTTTCCCGGACACGTGGATTCTTCCTACCGATATGTCCGATTTCAAGGCGCAGTTTCAGAACCAATCGAAGAACAAGACCTACATCATCAAGCCCGACAACGGGTGTCAGGGACGAGGCATCTTCTTGACGCGAGAATGGCCGAGTCACATCGACATGACTATGCCTCTAGTGGCGCAGAAATATCTGGCGAAGCCTTTGTTACTTGACGGACACAAGTTCGATTTGCGGCTTTACGTACTCGTCACGGGCTGCGATCCGCTGCGGATTTACATCCACGAGAAGGGACTTGTTCGTCTTGCTTCGGAGCGGTATGTTGCGCCCAAGAGCAAGAACCTGGACAAGCAGATGGTACACTTGACGAATTACTCGATCAACGCTAAGAACCCGAAATTCGAGGAGAACGACGACGTCGACGACGGACGCACGGGCCATAAACGTAGTTTGACGGCGGTAATCGCGTATCTCGCAGAGCAGGGCTGGGACACGGACAAACTGTTTGCGGAGATTGAGGAATTGATTGTCAAAACCCTGATTTCGATCCAACCTTCGCTGCGACATGTCTATCGGAGTTGCCAACCAGAAGACGTGGAGAACAACAACATGTGTTTCGAAATCTTGGGCTTTGACGTGATGATCGACTCCAAGGGAAAGCCGTGGCTGCTGGAGGTGAATCACGCTCCAAGTTTTGCGACAGAAAGCGAGGTAGACCGAGATGCGAAGTACAACGTTTTGCGTGACACTTTTGCCATGCTGCAGTTGAATCCGGACCGTCGGAAGCGCTATCGCAAAGAGATGCTTGCGCGTGCAGAGGCACGAGTGATGGGCGCCCCGGTCCTACGTGGCGGCAAGCTTACCGGAAACCGCTTTGTCTCCGGTGTGCAGGCAGCGGTGGCTGCGAGCAAAGAACAAAAAGAGTCCAACAGCGCAGCCTCATCACCCGAGAAGGTGGGGACAGCCGCTACCGAGCAAGATGATGCGAATCCCTCTGCATCCGGGACAGCAACGGAGAACAAAGATAGCGGCAGCAATAGTGATACAAATGTAGAAGGGCAAGCGGTGCAAGTCTTGTCAGGCAATAATGCAGACGCACTGATCGGGAGCACGGCTTCATTGGGCGATGGCGGCGTCGCTGCACCGATCACTACTACAACGCTATCGCCCGGCAAACAAAGGACTAATGGGAACGCTGGAGCAGGGAATGGCTCAACGGCAGAACCCACTACCTTGGCGTCGGGAGATGGCAAAGCCGTTGCGATGGTGGCTGAGAAGCCTTCCATAGCTTTCGGTAGCACGATGTCTCGCGGCAGTTACGAGTCGCCCGAGAAGACCACCCTCACAAAAAGAGGCCGAGGACACAACAAGAATAAAGAGGATGGGGAGCAACTCCCACAGTGGCCAACAGTTGCTTTTCCGATTCTCAAGGAGCTGGATCGCTGTGAGGAGGTGAATGCAGTGCTCGAAACCACGCAATTTCGCAAGCTCTATCCGCCGCCAAGCATTCATGATTTTGTGAATCACTACGGAAAGTATGTAGATACCGCGTTCGACATCTGGGAAACGCTCACGGGAAGCAATAGTCGTCGCTACCGCTGCTTGGATTGGATCGACGACCAGTTGGCAGCCGCACAAAAAAGACTTGAGGCTGAGAAAAGCGGAAAAAACAGTCAGAAGAAGCCGTCAGTGAAAGAAAAGCTGGAAAAAGAACTGGAAGCGACGCAAGACGAGATTAGTACTCATTGTTCGTAAATATAGTCATTTCAATTTCTTGAAATGTAATATTTTGCTTGCATTTGTATTTGAATTCGTTGTTGTGCCAAAGCGTCAAGTTTGTGTGATCAACAAGAAATATTATAACGAACTCAAAAAACACCGCAATCTCACGTACTTATAATATTGTTGTTCAGATCGTCGCGCGCAGAGCTTGCGATCTCGTGCGCGGTCGGTAGGAGCCTGCTTGCCGCCATCTGCATCTGGTCCCTTGGCGAATGCTACAAAGCACCCGATAACTATCATCAGCAACATCAAGTCTGGGGAAGGGGATCAGAAAGAAGGCGACGGAACTGTTGAAGGAAGTGCGGACGCGAACGGGGACGAGCCGTCGACGACGGACTTGCTTAGCCAAGTTGCTAATGGTTCCGCGAAGAGCGGCAGCGAGGAGGGAACGCCCACTAATGGTGGCACTAAGGGGCAGGGACTATCTTCGACTTTGGGATTGGTGGTATCGGGGCAAGGTATGTCTGCGGGCTCGCAAGCGGAGCGCCCGGCGACGTCTGCGCTAGACGATACAGACGCCTCTCCAGGAACAATCGCGAGCATTGTGGCCGACCGCTTGCGAAAAACGATGCTGTCACGAGGACATGCAGGCGTTGCTGGCCAGGCAGGAATCGCCCCAGGTTCGGCGGGAAATCCATCGACAATACCCTTGGTTGATGTATTGAAGAATCAGCCGCTGGTGAAGGTCGATGTTGCTATGCGAAATGGCGGGCCTCTTGTCGTACCAAACCCCTTGGATGCAAACACGCTACTAGCAGGTGCAAAAATTGTTCCCCCGGCATCGACTGTAACTACCGTAACACCGCCAACAGCACCTACCGTGAAGTCATTAGCAGTTGTGGATGCACCCGCGGTGCCAACGGCGGCAGACGGTACGAAGGCAACGGAAGGAAAAAAGACCACCTCAAGGTAAAAGGCCTCCGCAGCCTTGTTGAAGTTCAAGTTTAACTTCGTAAGCAGCTCTTTATATAATACCGCCCACGTGCCCCCGGCGTGTACACACGCCGGGGCAGGGCGGAAGGGTCTTGCAAATGATACGAGTTACATAAAATCCATACGGCCTACCGGCGTGCTACGAATTACGTAAAGCGCGGCGGGCTATGGAATAAGCTAAGCAGCTACATGCTACAAGCTGCTACGTGCTACGTAAACACTCACCCAGGAAGCACCCGAAACGCCCAAAAGAAAATACTTCAAACGAATGAAGTAAACGAGTAACCGAATACATTTGCCGAGAGTCAAATACTTAAGCAGATCACTCCGGGCCTGCTGTTTTCGGTTCTCCTTCTCAGCGTAGTGGCCGGGTGAAGCACTCCGATCGACTCCGCCCACCGTGAGAGCCTCGCGCGCTCCCTGGCCAAGGTTTTGGGCGTGGGCCCCCTACTCTTGGAGTGTGTTGCGTCTCCAGCATGGCAGTGCCGCGAGGGGGGCCGCAGGCCTGTTGTTTTCGGTTCTCAGCATAGTCTCGCTATATAGTATTTATATTAGAGTAGTTTATTATAGAACGGATGTAGGATGGACTTGGATGGATCGGATGGACCCCCCTGATTCTTCCGATCCTACTTGAGATGGTGGGAAGTCCATCCGATCCATCCGATCCATCCCATCCCGGACCTGGCACCCCTATAAACTGCTCTATAATATATATTTATATGCTCCAGGGTTCAGGGGAGCAGCCTCCCCCTAGCGTAGGGGGGGCGTGGATCCCCGGACCCCTTTTGAAGACTTGTGCCGGGGGTGGAAGGCTTGCAAAGGGGTCCAAGGGTGGACCCCCTCCGCTCCCTCCAGCTGCCTGCGTGTACCCTACAGACTTCCTACGTGCTTTGTCGCCGCAGCAGTGCGTCGGTTGTGGAAGGTCTCCGAAGGCGGCAAAACGCGCAAGGTTGGACCCCCTGGGCCGTGTGGCCTGTACCCTCCGGGCCCTTGGTCATCGGCTTGCTTGCTCTTGAGACCGTGGCCGCCTTCGGCGGCCTTCTACCCCGGAGGCCTCCAGCCTGCGAGGTTCAGCAGAGGCCAGGCGGTCCCTTTGGAACATGCAGAGAGGCGCAAGGGGACGCCCGCGCCCGGTTTTGACGCCTTCCACCCTAAGAATCCGCGAAAAGCAGCGCGGAAAAGAGCGCGCAAGCGCCACCAAAGGGCCAACCACAGGGGGGGGGCGTGCGTCCCTGTGTCATATATTTAGTTACATTTTCGCTCTCGGCTTCAAGTTCGTAACTGAAATGGTCAACGATTGAAAACGATGCTGAGTAACGAATTCTCGTACTTCTTCTTGTTCTTGTACTTGAGCTACTTTTTGAACGACCTTCAGCATTGCTTCTCTTTCAGGTATGCTCATTTGAAGATTGGTGACGTGGTGCAAGTGTTGACAAACCTAGGCTGGGAGAAGGTCGTCGTCCGGCGAAAGCTGGAGAACGGCCGCCTAGATATTTTGTTCCAGGATGGAGAGACGATGCATGATGTGATGCCTCGTCTCCACGATAAGGTGTTAGGATCTTCTGGCGCTTTGAATAGTACGACAAGGTCTTCGGGTGCCGGTCAGCGAAACCCCAGCTCTTCTGGATACGGAAATCAAAACAGTGGTGGACTCTTAGCAACCGGCGTCGGCCGCCTTTCGCGCCAAAATCACACGCGTTCTGCACATCTGACACCTCTCAGAGCGGGCGGGAGTAAACCGGCCACGGCAATGAGCATATCGGCGGCCACCTCCTCCAAGCTGGACGGCGAAGGGGACAGCATATTAACACACGGAAAGGACGCGGCAATTTCCTCAGGCGAGGGAACAGGCGTTGACTCCGGTGCGCCAACAGCGCCTCCTCCACTACCTACAAAGGGTGAACAAATGTCCGCGAGTACCACAACACAGGGACCACCGTCAGGCGCGACGAGTAGTTCAGAAGCTCAGTCAACATCGGCTTCGGCGCCGCCAGCGAGTTCCACTATTTTTCTCGCCCCACTAGCAGGCCCTGCAACTCCTGCAGCTGTCGGAGGGGTTCCTACTTCGTCGGCTGACCAAACAAGCAGCGACCCTAAGTACTCCCACTTCATTCAGATTCTATCAGAGCCCAGCAAGACGCCAATGAAAGTTGGGAATCGCGGGGCAGGAGCGCAAACGCCAAGCTCAGGACAGCGCAGGACTACGACTAGCATTAGTTATGCGAGCGGGACGCCGGGAGCCCTAGGGCCTTCGGCGCCTGCGTTGATTATCAGTAACAGCAGTTCTTTTTCTGCTGCACCAAGCACTCCAGCTCGAAACGAACAGAATACCACTGCCAGTACAAGTACACCAACACCGGGTACCCCTGCTGATGGTCGTACCACATCTGCCAATTCAGGTGGGGTGCCAGCAGTTGGAGGAGCCGGCGTTGTGGGCGTGGGAGTGACCCCGAGTGCTAGTGGTCCGTCGACGTCACAAAGTCCTGGGAATCCACCACTCTTACCAGCTGCAAATCTCACAGCACCAACCGCTGGACCACCTAGTGCGCCTAGTAGTCCTCTCAACCGCGGCGCCACCGCTAGCAATCCGGCTCCCAATGCACTAACTTCCTCAGGTGGTCCAACATCTTCACAGCTTAATGCTTCTGCCTCGGCGCCGAACTTTCACAGCTCTTCTAGCACAAGTGCGGGAGACTCGTCAAATTCTGCAGCGGCAGTAGGAGCCTCGCCTGTGGCCGTAGACAATTCGCAGCAGACCTTGACCCAGCATCTGATGGATCCTCGCTTTTTTGGTACAGCTTTTCGTGGCTTGTCCTCTTCGAGTAACACAGGCACTGCTTCCTCGCAGGCTCGGCCTGCGAAGTCAGCAGCTTTCAACGTTGCTTCTAACCTGTTTGTAAAGCCGATGATGCATCGCGGTGCGCCGTTGCACACGCAAACGGCAGCCCCACCGAGCAGTGTGTTGGATCCGAACCAGAGTCCCGCTGGTTCCGCTGCGGGTGGCGCCTCTTCGGGTACTACCATGATTTCCGGTGGTAACGGTGGCGTGCCAGCTGGAAGTGCGACTGCTGTTTCCATGCCGACTACGCCCTCTGGTGCTCACGGCGTGCCTCCGGCCAGCACACTAACGCACCAATATCACCAGTACAGCGTGAGTGCGCTTGGAACAAGTGGAGTCGGGGTGGCGGCCCATTTGAAGGTCAGCTGTAGCCCGAGCACGCCACAGCTCTACGCACGGCACTCTTCCCGAACTGGAAATCGGACGAAAACGCTTAACCAGATCGGGTCGAACATCATGCGCAGTCCGGACCGAAACTCCGTGTGGCGTCAATCTGGTTCGAATAATTTTCAAAGTCCTGATCCCAAATTAAGAAATCAAGATATTGTCAATAAAGAAAAATTTTTGATTCAGTCGGAAGCACTCATACGGCTCACACGAGGTAAGTAATTCCAACAGAGAGAATGTACGCGTGATATAGATACTTCATGTTCATATTCTCGTACCAAAATTTTGCCTAACTTACATGCTGGTCAAGTGCGATTGACAGTGAACTGCACAGCATCTAACTTATGCTCTGAGTACCGGCGCAGTGGGCGGGAGTCAGGCGAGTCATTTCCTCGAAATGAACCAGCACAAGGCTCCTCGAAATTTGTGGTCGATGCCAGCGGCAAACAGCCATGTGCGTCGTGCAAGGCACTGAAACTCCTTGTGAACAACCAAAGGGTAAGTTTCGTAATTTTGTTAGTACATAATTGATCGGGACATTAAAGAAGAGACTTGCTAACATATGAATAGATTCCATTCAGTAGGCTTCGCCTGCGTTAGCTTATGCTTAAACATTTTCAAAGAAAAAGTGAATCTGGAGACTGAATAAGAGATTGATAAAAATGAGTAGAACAACAACAAGAGCACACGCTTATGTAGGTGGTGGTCGAATTCTTAAGACTGTAATGAAAATTGGTTCAAATTCAAAAATTGAAAACAAGAAACCGAGATCGTAGCACCATATTATAGTCTAGTAGAAATTTATTCTTTTAAGTAGTCTAGATCAAAGGATACAGTTACAGCATTACGATTATCGTAAGCGGGACACTGCTGCAAATGAATAAGTCAACATGTAACAGCTAATATCATCTTTTTCCCACGTAAGATTCCATCTTCTATGACATATTCCATTGAAAAAACACTTCACACAACGGACAGGAAAACTGCACGACTACATATACATGCATGTACTCTGTAACCTAGTCTTAAAGACATAGACAAGATTCTAATTGGACAAAAAAGATAAGTAAGATAGACGAATCAACTGAAATAATGAACGGGAAATAGATGCACATGTAGATTTACAAGAAAATACAATTACAAATAGATGATTGATGATCCTTTTGCTTTTCTTCTTCTTGATGCGGAACCGACACGAAGCAAAGCCAGTTGATGAAAGTTGGGCACAGCCATCATTCTCAACAGTTATATACTACGTAGGATGTTGCTTGTTGGTACTGCATGGGAGAAGATACACCACGGAAATCATGAGTTTTTATGCAGATGATCGACCGACATGCCATATTCATCTAGAAGAGGCTGGGGGATCTCTGGGGAATCTTCCCTCTGTGAAGACACGACTTTGCGATCGTCACATAGACATTGACCAGTATATTTTTCAGAATTGTAAGAGGTATTACCAAAAAGAACAAATGTTGAACATCATGAAGTCATCGAGCCGCAAATGCAACTGCTGTACCAAAAGCTCACCTTGGAAGAAAGCGAAACAAGACTACAAATTGATGACACTCGCAGACTTCGTCTGTCAGGCGAAAGATGTGGGGAGTCGCGTGTGCCCTTTGTGTTCGGAATCCCAAACTTGCTTCTGGATGGTAGAAATTTCCCATCGTAAGATTTTGTTCGTCTGATCTTCAATCAAGCGATGTCATTCTCCACGGAGGCGGTGGTGATGTAAAGTTGGATCATGTTTTTGTTGTTCCTGCGGGTTTCATTTCATGGTAAATATCCTTCCTTATTTAGTACCTTCCACCATGTAGAGTATAGCTATAGATGCATCTTCTGTGTTCGTCCTTTCTCCTTCCAAAGTTAACCTCTTGGGAACAGGGGAAAGCTGTTAGCTTCTCCATAAATATCGTGCAAAAAATTTATGCTTTACACTCTCATCTGTTAGCTTCTCAATATCGTGCAAATTAATGCTTTACACTCTTTGGATAAAGATATCATTTCATGATATGTTATGAACAAGTAGGACAAGGATAGCGCAGGACATGGGTATGTTGACGTGTTCCGTCGTGCTCTGGTTGTGGATGCCGCCTCTATCTGGTCTGCTGTGGTAGTACACTGATGTGTAGTGCTGGTATACGTATATAGAGCTAAAGGCAAACGTGAAAGGCATCCATTCCACTTATACCTGCTTCCCGAAATGTCTTCTTGTTTATGTTTTTGAGTACACCACGAGTTTTAGAAACTAACCCATACTTATATGGTGATAGATACTTGCTATTTGCTCGACTCGACAAAGCAATATGCCGTGTCAGCAGGAGCTACCAGACAATTAGTAGAATCTTCAAATTCAATTATATTTTGGGAATAAGTTTATAGAGATAAGACGCGGCGAGATCGCGCAGAGACGTCATCAGCATGATGGAAGAATCTGCTGCTTCTGCTTCCGCTGGTCCTTCCGTGGTTAAGAGACAGCGAAAGGTCTCTGCCGTTGCAGATGAAGGAAAGAAGCAGGATGGCGAATCGGAACAGCGTGGAGGGAGAGGTAGAAACTATTCGTAAAATCCGATTCTTGCATTGCCGCCGTTCTTCTAGTCGGTGGCATCATGTGAAATGAGTGTGTGAGAGCGGCTAGAATTGACTGCAGTCGTACATGTAGTTGAATCCGAATCCTAAGTAAGCATATTACGACCACAATTCACATTGTTCTTTTACCAAAATACAAGGTGAAGCTGAAGCTAGTACTACTATATACAGAGTAGCTTATAGCACGCATGGTGCATGGAGTAGCATGGAGTGCATGGAGCGCAGAGCTTTAAGGGGCGCAAGAAGCTCCCCCTTTAGCTCCATGCTACTCCATGTGATCCATGCACTCCATGCCATGCGTGCTGTGAAACCTTATAAATTGCTCTGCGTATAATCGACACATTGTTCACCTACTAGGCGCTCCTGCACTTGCCAGCAAGGCGGCGGTCGCTGCAAATGCTAAAGTTGAGACTGCCGTGAGGGCTTCGACCAGTAGTTTCCAGCCTGCGACTGCGAGGACAATCAACCTTGTATCATCTCCCAATGGTCAGTCTTGTCAATTACAGGAATTACATGGGAGCGCAATTGGTATCAAAAAGGCCGATACCAAGCGGGCATCTTCACTTGCTTCCGTTGGCGCAGAGTCTGGTCCCGCGCGAAGTGCGGAACCGGAAATCGAGGAAGGTGACTGGGTACGAGTCACCAAGAAGAAGCATCCATTGGCCAATATGGACGCCGGGTACGTTGTCGAAGTGCGCCGTGAGCAGAAGAAAAACAAGAAGGGGACAGTCGTCAAAACTGTGCCTGTCGAGTACGTAAGAAAAATTTACTGCATTCATTCTTAGTATTCGTCTTGTTCATCTTCAGGATCAGAATCAGATATAGTACCTTTGCTTGTAGTACCTTAACGTTAACCTTACACTTACAGTCTGTGTCTCCTGCTAGAGTGAAAAACTAGAATATTGATCTTCAGTCATGTACAGGTTGTTATCGTTCCGAACATTTTGGCCCTGCAAAGTAGCGCAATGGCAGGCGCAGGCCTACGAAAGTACAAAGAGCACACGTTGGATCCCAAGATTGTGGTTCGAACAACGGCAAACGAACTGATCGAAGAAAAGCTGTACCATTGTCTCGGCCTCGAGCGCGATCATCTGGATGAAGGAGAGGATCAAGATCATGAGGAGGACGATGACGCGGAAGATTACACTATAACACATGGTGAGTCAAGAACGGTTGGAACAGTTGACGTAAACAACGAACAGTCGTTGAAGAAGGAGCAGGGTGCTGTTCGTGTTGAGCACACCGAGGATTGTGCCCCTCTAGAAGCGACCAGAGCCGGTGAGTCGAAATTACCGTATTTTGGTCAGCAAGAAAAGTCGCCGAGGGCGAATGCAGAAGAAGCCGCGGAACAGAAGACCACTGATCATGGAGCAGGAGGTACTTCCTTGGATCGTTTTCGTTGATGTTTTTCATCGACAATGAGAATATGTTGTATATCAGTCGGTTGCTAATAATTCTGCTCTTGGTAGTTGTAGTAGTTCTAGATCTAGAAGATGACCGTCAGGAGCGAATCTAAGTATCTGACAACACAACAGCTGGTGCGTCGTCGGCAGCTGCAGCTGTTGAGGAGAATGGTCTGAAGCAGCCTGTAACACCACCTGTCGGAACCGGTGCAGGTCTCTTCGTGAAGAAGCCATCAGCACAAAGATTGGAATCTTCTGAGAAAAAAGCACCGTTGTCGGCCAGCAAGATGGACAAGGTGCTAAGTGCACCTAAAAGTGCTAGCCGTGCAGCCAGTGAGGGTGTGCTGATCGGGAAGCAGTTGGTAGAGCGCGTTGTGCCATACAGCACTGCGACACCCCGCGTCGGCCGCAGTTCTCGGGGTGGCAGATATAATCGCAGCCCAGTGCCGAACTCGGCACATCGTCGAACGCCTGGGGCCGAGTGGATGCTTCCCTCAAGACACTCGAGTGCGCGAAAGAGAAAGCAGGAAGAACTCGATGAAATTATGGGGAGTAAGAGCCGTCGCAAGCGGGGACGTTCGTTGCTTTCGTCTGACGAGGAGGACGAAGCTGGTGACGAGGATGAATTATTCCAGACCAGAGTTTCCATTTGTTCCAACGGAGGCACCAACCAGACTGAGCAAAACCTCGCAGTTTCATCTGTCCACCATCAGGACATCGACCCAGCCAGAAAAAGTCTGGTTTTTGACGACACGGAGGAAGACGACATTGAAATGCAGCCTGTGCAGCAACAGGACAGTGCATTCGGGTCCGCGTCTCTCCGTAAGGGAACGAAAGCGTCTCGGAAGCCTTCAGGTATTCCTTCATCAGGATCCAAGAAACACTCCGCTTTGTTCGCCCGCGGTGGCGTCTTTGGGCGCGGCGCAACCATCCGCGGTCGCGACCGCACAGCCGTGGTCATACCTCGAAGTGAGGGAAAACAGGTGTCCAGTGCCAAACGCGTGCTAAACTTACGGGAAGATGAGGATATGGATTTACTGGACGCACACCATCCGCCTATGCATGACAGCGGTATGTGTCCTCCCTCAAGTGTTGGACCTTCTGCTATGATGCCGGGGGGTATAACAAACGCATCTGCAGCAACTTTTTCTAGCTCTCCTTCCCTCGCACCAGGCTCGTCTTCGTCTACTTTATTTGGTACTACCTTTACTTGCTCGATCTCGCTCTCGGGAGAGCCACAGGAGCACCACGAACCCGGAGGTCACATCATCGAACTAACAACCGGAGAGACAGTGTCATCTCGTCTGTTTGAAGACGATTTAGTGGTGCCGCCCGGGAGTAATGGGGCAGAGCGGGAGAGTACCTCCAGCATGGACGTTGATGAAGGCGCCAAACCGTCCTTGTTTTCTCACCAGGCGGCTCCCGTCAAATCTGTATCTGCGCGAGAGGAAGTCCCACCCACTCAGCTTCCATCCGCGCTGGAGGGAACGGAAGCATATAGTGAACGCCGCGACAGTCAATGTAAAAGTTCCGCGACAACATCAACGAGAATGCCAGCTCCATTAGCCTCAGCAACCCCTGCGAATCTGGAAGCATCTCCAGTTTTTTCTTCGAGCGCCATTAACGCTCCTATGGCTATGGCGTTACAGTCGACAACAGCGAATTCGGAGCACAATGGATCTCGCGGGTCGACGGTTAACGACCGCGAAGCACGACGCTTTTGTGAGCGGTACACAGTCCTTGAAGAGGTTCGCCCAGATCTCGAGACTTCTGATGGTGAGGCGCTACCTTTACCAGAGCCCGTCGAACTCGATATGCTCCCGCCAGAAGGCGCGGCTGCTGCCGGAGACTCTTCTACTTCCGTGAATGTCGAGGTAGCAGGCGCAGTAGATATCGATGCCGTTCCTGATCATACCAAGACCCATGGGAGCATCGCTGCTGGTATTAGTAGCTCATCCAGCGCTGCGCTTCGACCTTGTGGCGCTGCATCTGGTGTCGCAGGAGAACACGACGGCTCCGGCAGCATAGAAGACAGTGCGCGGAGCCGTGTAAGAGGTGGCTTTGACGAGGAGTCGAATCCTGACGTGCACTGGAAATTGAAGCAAATAGATGAGGCACGTGCGCGCAGAGAAAGCCGCGAACAGCGAGGTGCAAGAACAATCGGGGAGTTCTCACTCTCGCTTACTGCACAACCAAGGACCGCATGCATCACTAGGCTAGCTGAACCGGAACCGCAGGACATCAAAACCGCAGAGCCAGAGCCGGCCGAAGAAAATAAAATGAATCTTCCGACAGCGTCTTTGAAGCGCCCACGCTCGGAAATCGAAAGCGGAGAGGGCGCACTGACAGCGAAAGCCACTTCATTGTCTTTTGGTGGGAAAGTCGCTGTCTCGGTCCTCTCTAATACCGATTTACAACGAGTGGCGAGGCCAAGGGTCGAGAGCGTCGATGCTTCACGTCGTGGCCAGCGATTCAGCTGCGTCAGCAGCAGAAGCAGCGAGATCGATACCACGAACATCGACAGCGATCTATTTTTTTCGGATGTCGCGTCTTTGCCTCCAGTGAACCCACTAGCAAAGAAGCTGAAGCATGGTGTTTCGATTGCGAAAGTATCTTCAGGACCCAGGTCGCCCCTCCGTGGTGGCGTTGGTGCACGCGCAGCAAATTCTACTGGTGGCAACATCATTCCACCATCTCCCCGCAAACCTAGTAAAGGGGACGCGGCTCTCCTTCGAGTGGCCGGAAGGAAGATGAAGGAGCAGAACATGTCAACATCTTCATCAAGTGGTCAAGCGAATCTTCAGATGAAGATAAATTCCTCGCCTCGTTCTGGTAGTAATGCATCTCGTGGGCGGTCGACTGGTGATGCTGCTTCGGCTGATGCGACTGTTGCCGCTTCGACATCTTCAGGACTTGCGGACTTTCAGAGAAAAATGGACAGCCTATTAGGAACTACTACTACTAGTGCATCGCAGCATGTCAACAAGCCTGAAGTTGTGTCATCTGCAGGTCCGTCCTCGACCGCACCAGTAGTTCAAGGCAGAAGCAGTGGAACAGGCCCAGGCGGCGTTGCTCATGGGGGCACACTTCGCAGCGCGCCGCAGCATGGTGCTAGCTTTCAGCCATTGCGTAAGCAGGTTGCGCAAACAAATAAGTTGTTGGCACATCAGGGAAAGATGGAGGTGATCAAGGCAAAGAGGGCTGCGCCTGCTGAGGCTTTGAGCCGGCGTACCATACAGGCCAGACTTAAGAACGCTATTAGCCAAATGGGAAGCGGAGTTCCGTTGTCTGGCGCTGGCGGTTCAGGCATGATGGGCAATAAGGCGTCTAGCCACCCTTGTTCTTCTCATTCCACTTCCAGTGCGGGTGCGGCGCGACCTCTCACGGGTGGTTCGCGAGTGCTCGGCGGAGGATGTTCGACGAAAAACAGTATCCTGCGGCAGGCAGCAGAAGAACAGCAGCGGCAGCTCCAGCACCGAGGCAGGACTACAAAAGGAAGCGTGGTCGCGGACTATGTTCAAGAGCAAAGTGAAACCAAGAACCATGACCCCCACCATCTTGACTCTTCTTCGAAGATTCCGACAGTGAAGGAGCTGGAGGCTGCGTCACAGAAGATTGCCGATGTTTACAATGCGTCACTTTTGCAAGCCACAACAGACGGACCCAGCGAACGCTTCAAGCTGCGAGAGTATCGTAGGGATCAGCTACAACAAGCATCCGGTGTCCCTGCTCCCATCCTTGCGTGGCTCGAGCGCCTAGACCAAATTCGAATTTGCGGGAACATGGTCTTCTTCACTCTGAACAAGTCCAGCGCTGCGATGCGCTCATGAAATATGTACGTATTTTCATAAGAAACACACGCTCACGCATATTACATAAAAGACTCTGCAAGTCCCACTGGAGATCGTGATGTACTTACATGTGATCGCGAAATCGCACTCGCAAAAGACTTCACCTGCCAAAGTTGCTGGTTATAGCTTCAGTGAAGGCTAGGAGAGGTTCCTATCTGAGGTTCCTATAAAGACCTATCTCATCTTCCAACTACGCGAATATCATTTAGATGATTTGAATTTAGGAGGAAGTTATCATTTACCATATTGTAGTTCAACGCAACATCATTTTGATGACCACAGAGGTTGCAGAAGACTCGATTGCTTGACTTGGGTGTGCTGAAAGTGGTTGTCCACCTCGGAAAACACATCAGAAATCTACTTGCTCATTCACGAAGGCCTAAAAAACTAAAACTAATTCCACTAATCCGACCAGAAGTACCACGACATCAGTCAGATCATAAATGGTATGACATCATTCAATCGATCCATCACTCTTTCGCTGGTGAGGATGGTGGAAGAGCATCCCTGATCGATGAAAGAAGCACTGCTGAAATCTTCACTTATTTCACCTCCGAAAACCGAACCTGGTCGTGGACAACTCGCGTAGACGTACAGAGAAATATACAGAGAATTTGTAGAATAGTCCTTCCTGAATTTGATACAAGAATTATATAAGATTAGAAGATCCCCGTCGGCTTTCGAAGAAGTTATCGAAACATCGATAAATTATAGTTTGGTCTAGTACAACTAGCCTACTCGTGTGCGAGTTCAACTGTAGTTCCCGCTGTAATTATTCGGAATCTCAGATACAGGACGTTGTTCATGTTGATGATACAACAGAGGTAAGACCACGCAAGTCATAAGTTTCTTTGATACCATACAGACAGAAGCAGGATTGTAACTAATTTTTGACTCGCCTTTGCGGTAATTTCAAGAAAATAGCTGCAATAAGAATTAGTTGTATTTAAATTGATCTTTTGGTTTCGCGTTGGAGGACAACATCAACAGCATCACCCATCACCAGTCTCGTTCAACATACCCACTACAAGCGGCTCTACTCTTCAGCCACATCATCATCTTATCTACATTGCGGTGGTCTAGTGTCCATGTTTTTTGGTACGTGGAATGTACTCATGAGCATCTATAAATTTAAACCATCACGTGAGGGAGGACGCCCGATCTTAATCGTCCGTCTAAAGACTTCTGTCGAGAGAAAAACACGTTCCGCAGTATCATCATGTGCTGGTGGAAGATGTTATTACCTTTTTCAACCTCTTCCATGATCTCACCCTTTCTTTTCTCATGGTAAGAACGTAGCACACATCAACTCGAGGTCAATACCGAACGGCTATTGATCGCCGTCCGAATGCCGCCAATGAGCGTTAAGACTGGCACAATGACGTCTGTGGAAGTCACACTTCACTGCTATCATGAGTTTCCCATGGTGGATATTTGTTGAACACGTAGTACAGGATCAGCACGATGATCACCCGTAATGAGTTGTTTCTAAGCGCAAGGCATGCAAAAGAAAAGACAAAGAGACCGAGGAGAGAAAGAGGACTGCGATATGCAATAAGACGATTGAACGTCATCCGCGAGAGGAAAAGTAAATCTCTCTGTTGTCGAATGATATTACATTCCCACTTTTCATAGTTGAAGACAGACCACAAAAGGCATAGTGAATTTCAGATTTTGTCAGGGTGTTTCAGTAAAATGAAAGATGTAGATATTTATATTTTTTTTATATATAATACTAGTCGTATCCCGTGTGTTCAGCGGAGGTTGAGAGGGGAGAAGGCTAGTGAGAGAGGAGTGAAGGCTGCTAGTGGCGGCAAAGACGTGGAGAGAAGTCTGCCCGCGAGGATCGACGCGTCTGTGACTTGATGGAAGGGGAGCTCCAGCTGGGGCAAGCGGGACGTCGATCTCGCTGAAGTGTGGCGCTTTGCTTCCGCAATGCCCAATATCCGAAACGTCATAGACCCGACACTCATCGACTAACACCCGGCAACGCTTGCAGCCTTTTGGCCGGTGCTTGCCTCCGCGCGTCCACTGCTTTACCCGTCAAAGACGAGCAACCGCCTCGAAATCCTGCGAAAAAGGCCACAGACGGGCCCACCGCCGTCGCAACGGTCACCGATTGCTGTGGCCAGCGAAAGGCGGCGGGCCCGCACGGTATCAGCGCATCGCTGGACATGGTGCCCCACCATGCCGCAGCTGTGGCGTAGTTGCTTGCAGCGGCGCGGCCCTGCAGCCTCTTGATGCAGTGCGCTTCCGGACGTGCGCCGCGTTCGTCGGAGACATTACACGGACCAAGCGCGCACGGCGGAGGGACACGATGGAAGCCGCTAACGGCTCTGCGGCGGTCGTCGCTCTTGTCGGCGCCGTCCCTCTCGGCGCGGCGAAGCCACCACGCACCCAGGCCTTGCATTTTTGGACAGGTCGGGCCCTCTGACTGCCTCCATCCGCCGTGCCAAGTGCGGCAGTCCAGTCTTGTCCTGGTGGCGCTATCTCGGTCTCTGCGCGTCGTGTTCTTGGATGTAGTGCAGCGACGGCGTGGCGCCAATGTATTGTCTTCCGCTATTCAATTAAGCGGCCCCCGCCCGCATCCCGTGCCACTCTGTCGCCGGACGAGGGTCTGCCCGGGAAACAGCCGGCATCGGTTTACCTTATTCTGTGTAGCTCACAGTCTCAGCATTGCTCACAATCTCAGTGCATCCGGCAACCATTCCAAGCGCCTGCTGAGTGTTCGCCTTAAATAAGCCCTGACTTTGAAAACTCTGACTTTCAGCACTCTGAGGCGGCAAGCCCTGACGTTGCGAGTTACTTAACCACCCCAAGCGCCTGCTGCGTATTCGCTTTACACTCTGACTCTGAAAAAGAAAACTCTGACTTTCAGCACTCTGAGGCGGCAAGCCCTGCCGTTGAGAGTTGAGGAGGCAAGCCCTGACATTGAGAGCTGAAAGGAGCGCGCAGCCCTTTTGTTTGCTTTAAACTCTGACTTTCTTTGAAAACTCTGACTTTCAGCACTCTGAGGCGGCAAGCCTTGGCGTTAAGAGTTGAGGAGGCAAGACTTGACGTTGAGAGTTGAGAGGAGCGCGCAACCCCGAGGGGGCGTATCCTGAGGCGCGCGCGTGATAATTGCAAAACGAAAAGTGCCCAAAAATCTGACATGCAAAACCTTGGCAAGAGATTACGCGTTCGCAACCCTCAGGGGTCAACCCTGACATTTGTGCAGTTTTTTGCCAACTCTGGGACTCAAAACCTTGGGAAGGACTCAAAATTTTGAGACTTCGCCGTCGGTGGCGAACGCTGTGACCTTAGGCCTTGCGCCTTAAACTCGGGGAGTCGTGGCTTTTGTTTTCGCCCCCCTTGAGATTCACCTTGCAGCGCCTTAAAACCTTGACAACGGACCCCGTCTTTTGTCGATTATTAATAAAGAAGGAGGCAGTTTTTAAGTTGAAGATGAGCGCCAGCGTCAAGAAGGTGTGGCGTCTGTGAAAGCCAAAACTTGTTTACTACTACTTGGATGGAGCTCGAACTTCTTTAAGTGAACAGTCTCAGTCTACTACTCGTCTATTAATTATGCATGGGTGCTACCGATACAATTATCATATAGCAGAGTAGTTTATAGCACGCATGGCGCATGGAGTAGCATGGAGTGCATGGAGCGCAGAGCTTGAAGGGGCGCAAGAAGCTCCCCCTTTAGCTCCATGCTCCTCCATGTGATCCATGCACTCCATGCCATGCGAGCTGTGGGGCCTTATATATAAAATTGCTCTGATATTATATGTTCCAGGGCTCAGGGCTGGAGGCCCCCCCCCGATCTAACTTTTTGAGGGGGGGGGGCCTGCCAGCCCCGGCCCCTCTTTTCGAGGGGCTGCCGGGCGGGAAGGCCTCAAAGCGCCCGCTTCTGACCCCTTCCCGCTTCTTGCTTGTGCCCTAGAGCGCCACCAAACCGGAGGACGTTGAAGCTGGCGAAGGAGGCAAGGCAGGGCCCCGCTGCCTTGTTGCGTGTACCCTACAGACCTGGCAAAGGTGGCAAAGGCAGGGCCCCGCTGCCTTGTTGCGTGTACCCTNGGCAAAGGCAGGGCCCCGCTGCCTTGTTGCGTGTACCCTACAGACCTGGCAAAGGTGGCAAAGGCAGGGCCCCACTGCCTCGTTGCATGTACCCGACAGGCCTGGCAAAGGTGGCAAAGGCAGGGCTCCGCTGCCTTGTTGCGTGTACCCCACAGACCTGGCAAAGGCAGAGCCCCCCAGCCTTGTTGCATGTACCCTACAGACCTGGCAAAGATGGCAAGGCTGGCGCCCTCTGGCGTGTTGCGGTACCCGACAGAGCTGGCAGAGGAGGCAAGGCGGGACCCACCCCCTTGGCGTGCGGCATGTGGCCAACCATACAGACCGCGCAAAGGTGGCCAGGCTGGGCCCCACTGGCGTGGTCCACCACAGATCCATCCACAGGGGGGGGCCTCCCTCCCTGGTGCGTATATATATTCTCATAACAAACTTCGAAATCATCTAAATCTAGAATTTTTGGTGAGATTCGTATTTCATAGCGTGTTGTCGCTTCCTTTCTGCACCTGTTAAATCATAAGAGAGTTTTGTGTAAGCGCTATTAACGTGCTTTCGTTTTAATCTTTCTTTGTCTTGTCGTGATGTAGTTCGTTTTTATAATCAAAATCATGATTACTTTGATGTCGAAATAGATGCATGCTGGGAAATAATATATATTGTGTTATTGTTTTTCTAGTAGACTAAGTAGTTTTTTGATAACTATGGCTATGCCTATGGCACATGCATGGAAAGCGTGGTTCACAATTAGAAAAGTGCTGTTCTCCTGCTGTTGCTGATAATTGCACGAGTGCGCCAATTCTGCAACAGGGCGACAGACTTTGTCTTTTCGATCACCATGCTGCCGATATTGATGTGTGAAGAAGAGCGTGCAGACGAGGCTAAATTAGTGACAGAGTGCGAAGCTTCTCGTGCGAACGTTTGGCAATCCGAGCTTCAACATGTTCGCAAGCACGCATTTTCTGCGATGGTAAACGAAGGACAATCCGAGCTTCAAGAGGGGAAGCGCGCAGCTTCTATGTTGGAAAGTGAAGGTCCTGGCCGTGACCACGACCACGACGACAAAAATAAAGATGTAGCAGCGGCAGATGACGCGGCGGCAGGAGATACCAGTACGCAGCTTCCACTCCCACAGGCTTTGCTTACGATCTCCAGTCGGCACTCCACCACCACAACACTGCTAGCCACATGGCCAGATATGCTCGCAAACAACACAACGACGGAAGTTCTGGACCATCATCACCCAGGATTGCTCGGGCTTGAAGCGCTAACCGACTGCAGCAGCGGACCCAGTGGAGGTGTGGAATCCATGAAAAAAAATACGATTTTTCACCCTGAAGAAGCACGCAGAGATCATGAAGATGTCCCGCGGACGAGGTCGAACACCCGCTCACCAGGAGACGAGCACGAAGGCCACATGAACTTTGCAGACACAATACCAGTTAATGGGTCTGGCACCATCAATGTACTAGTACATCATGATGTAGAGCCAAATCATGATCAGGCTCTTCTAGGTAAAAACGAACGAATTGAAGAGCGGCCACGTGTTGCTGAGGAGGAGGACGATGGAGGATGTTCTTCTGTTGTTGAGGGAGTCGTAAAAATAGACACAGATCAGAAAGGCAGCTCCAGCGCCCATGCTGAAGAAGGCGACAAAGAAAACGCGTTGATGTCTTCCGGACGTGAATCCAATGCAACGCTAGTAGACCAGCATTTGCTGGCGCAGCATGAACTCGGGCGCGCTCTCACTTTCCACGATTGCTCACGAAAAACCGAGGATATGCCGATTGGATCCTGCTTTGAAGTCGAGACTGAAGCTGAACCTGAAGGTGAAGTGATCTTCTTAAACTGTGGCGAAAAAGAGCGGCGCGCACTTGTCTGTTTCGGCGGCCCCGAAGATACTCGGGGCGTATTGGATTCAGCCCGCAACAGCATAGGAGTGGATGTCGTTGTTCGAAATCAACAAGAACAGAATGGCGGGCAATGTCTAGACAGGGGCACTGTTTTCGACTGCAGCGTGGAGCTAGACGAGGTACATCATTCCGCTGGAAGTGGCAGGCCAGAGAGCGCAGGTAGAGAGAGTGCGCTCGTAACAACGGAAATCGGCTCATCGCATGAAGCAATGGCTAGAAATTCAGCAAGTGTGCCAACGGCGAATGATGGCAGTGGTGGCGGATCTTGCTACGACTCCCTGGGTGAGCACTACGTCAATGGCATGGACGGCGCACGTTCGGGACTCCTTTCTTCATCATCGCCAGTTACGTCTGGTGCGACTGTCAGTAAAAAACCAGCTGAATATGTGACGCCCATGGAGACTTTGGAGTCCGGAGTAAAACAGACTCATCAACATAATTCGAGTGAGCTAAAAGCGAGATCACGGATGCAGCAGGCAAGCGTAATCAGCGACACAATCGCCACAACTGCAGGGTCTTCGTACAACAACCAGCATTATGGCCGCGGTTTTCTCAGCATTAGTTGTAGTTCCATTTTTTCTCGAAAAATTTGAGAATCCGAAGTAGAGTACAATCTTGCATGTCTTATTTTTTTGATTGAGGCTGATTTCGTCTTCCTAGTTGTTCTTTTCTCTCTAAAAGCATTATGCTGCGGGCGTCGGTGACTCCTACCATTTTCGGCAATACAGTCCACCTACGCCGTCGCCAACACTCGGAGAAAGTTGTTTACCGAGCACGACATCGCCGGAGCAAGACCTCTCGCCTCGTCGCAGTTTTCGAAACAAAAAGCGGGAGCGAAAATTGGACTTCGGTATTTCGAGCAGAAATGAGGACTTGGCACTTGATTGGACAGTGAGGACAGGTCGCAGAAGTCCTAATGCTGATACCAAGCGGAAAAAATCTGGCGTAATGATACATCACCATCATGCACAACACCACGCATCAAATGATCATGATGCCTCAGGAGGTCTTCAAGATGGTTCAGTGGGAGGTCAGCACATTTCGTCCAAGCGAGTCCACGGGAAAACAAGCTTTCACCACGATCAGAACTACGAGACGCAGCGTCTGCTTTCATCTTCATATCAAGAGGGGGACCACTCGACCAAATTGAAAATGCACAAAACTAGCATGTTTGTCAATCACGTAGCTGCAACTGGAAGCGGCAGCGGGACCGCAACGATGCTGGAAGGTTCGGTCTGGAATACACGGGAGTCAACTTCTACGCAGAACAGCTATCTCCCGACCACGAAGTATAGTCATTCGGGTTCATCTCGTTGTGGGCCGACAGCCATACCTACGGGAATGCAGCTTTTAATGTCTGGACATAGGGATGGAACGACGCAGTACCACGGTCGCATGCCCCATACAGCAATCGCACCACTAGGTGGAGCAAATTACGAAACGCATTTCCCTGCGCAGAATCTTGTAGAAGCACAACATCAACATCAGGCCCCAGCGAAGAAAAGCAACCGACGTACGATGGCATCATCTTCAATGCACCAGGGCGACGAAAGCGTGCATGTCTACAACAACTCGACAGGCTTCGGTGTAGTAGACAAGAACGTTGTCAGAGGTCGTTTTGCTAGAGAGAGCGAACATCAAGGGGGTCGATCTCGAGCACGCCCTGTTGTACCCTCACCCGCCTCGAGGTACAGCAGCAGTACCACAGCGACCGGTGACCTTGAGGATCTGGAAGCGGATGATGGCGCCAACTTTCGCGTATCAGACAACAGCACCAGAAACAACGGTAAAGATAACCTCGAAGCGAATACGGCGAGTTATGCGGCGAGCGGTGGGCTCGCTCCTTTCATTCAAAATGCGAAGGTTCGCAACAGCGGCAAAGCAAAGTCTCTCTCTGGCTACATGCAACATCTTTTACCAAGTGCGAGTAAGCACAGCAAGAGCGGTAAAGGATCGAAGATGACGAATAACATCAACCTCATTGGTTCTCTCGAGGAAGCAACCACTGCTCAAGGCCAGAGAGAGAGGCAATCTTCGAGCGGGGGCCTCTTACGGGTGAGTCACCATGTCCACAAACTCGGAAGCCACAAGCTCTACGCTCGCAACAGCAAGCAGCCGCGCGTCATTCACTTCAGCAGTACTCGACGAAGCAGTGCCGCCTCTGCGCCTGACGCGGTCGAAGACTTGCTCTATCCCGCTTCTGAAACGTGTTGCGCGTTGTTCAAGAATAAGAGAATGCAGCCCATAGTTTTGGTCGTTTGCGCAGGCTTGTGCATTCTGGCAGGTTTTTTGTTGGCAGCAGCGATGCAAAGAATAGTTCTGGTTAGCAACCAACTCAGCACAGCACAGCAGCAGCAGCTGCATGCGCACAGCCGCCGGATACATCAAGGTAGTGACGATGCAACTACTGCGGGAGCGTCCGTTAGTGCTTCTCCCACTGCTGCGTCGGCTTCTCGTTCTCCCGCCGCGGCAAGTAGCGGAATTCCCGCCCCCGGTACGCCTCCTACTACTGGCGATTCAGTGGAGCACCAAGTGCGCTCTCTGCCATCTCACTCTCCAAAAGCTTACCAACCGAAAATGTCTCCACCACCGAGTCCCTCTCCGAGCCCGGGGCCCCAGGGAAGTCCTCGACCTCGTGCACTCCATGTGAACACGACAAAAGCGGCTAGAGGTAGCAGAAGTCCGTACCAAGTGCAGTACAGTCTCCAGCATCATGGGGGAAAAAACTCGCATCAGGCCTTCTCGCAATTCCTTTATGCTAATACGTAGCCAGAGCCAGTTCAAGAGAGAAAAACTAGTCTTTGACCGCGAGTAGCAGTAGGGTGGCACAGCGCCACGCTGAACCTAAATCAAAATAAGTATAAGAATGATGACGTTCCTCCATCTTCATGATGGGCATGACGAGTTTCCAATGTCACGGATCAGAACTGTAAAAGAGGGTTGGGTTCAAAGATGATGAAGATGAAATAACTCAAGAAAAAAAGCGAGGTTACCTATCGTCTTCTCTTCATGATTTGTCGGGTGGGAGCACCGGTTCGTATGGCTTACCTGCAAGCGGATCCCGCGCGAAGGGTGAAGCACCAGATACTAGACGACCATCACCCTCATACTCGCCTGAGGAGCCCAACAGTCCAACTACTGCGACTGCAACGCGTCGTCCTCTCGACTTGCAACTGCGTGCGACGATCGCGCTACAACCTCCCGGAAAATTGGTGCGCGGCAAAAGCGATCCGGTGGGAGGTCGCTTGAACAATTTTTTGGCTACCTTTGGAGGCAATGCAGAGAATCCAACCTCCACAACGAGCACCGGGGCGTACGACAGTCTACGAGGAAGCGGTGATGCAAGTGTCAGCGGGAGTGAACTGACTGCGGAAAGACCATTTGCTATATCTTCGCCGCTGCAACACAATGGGCGCTCATCTGGGGGGCACATACCACGGCGACGGTCGCATCATCACATCGCACCGGTTACCCAGAACATTACAGCTGGCTCCCTTGCGGGATCGCCGGTAAATCTGGCGAAGTCACGAAGCGCAGGAGGTGCGGAGGGAGGTAAGAGGCATACACAAAATTCAACGTCTACTAGTACAAGCGCCTACTATGTTGCGCCAATGCCGGGCGAAAGACCTATTCCTGGAGACGACTCTCAAACCTCATCATTGAACTTTCCGCCCGCAACATCGGAGGAGCCGCACTCGCCGCCACTGCCCTGGCTCATCACGCCCAGCACCGTTCTTGCCGACGAGGAAGACGCACGAGACACTTTGTTATACGGACTTGGTGGCGAGGAGTCAGGTCGCTCCGCTACTCCTACTGACCCAGAGCACGATGCGGAATTTCTTGGCGATGAGGATAGTGTGGTGGTTGTTCGGGATACAGCTAATAGCGCAAACAACACGAAAGTCGGACAGGGCAGGTTAGCAGGGACAGAAGCCCAGCAACATCCTGCTCGACGCTTTTTCAATCGCAGGACATCACGGCATCCATCTTCCGCCTTCAGCGAAGGTAGCGCAGATGTCCCAGTGTCGGGGAACATGAGATGGAAGCGACACGTATATGCTGAAAGTGGATGGCCCGGCTATGCAAAAGGGGAGAGAGCTCTACCAAATGCAGACCTCGACGTTCTTCAGGAGGGACACGCAGCAACGACTGGGGACCTCGCCTCTTTTGACTACAACGCCCTAGAGGGAGAGAATGCGGAACAGGATTCGATAACTGCTGCTGATGTAGCATTACAAATAAATGAGAAGCTTCTCGCTGATCTTGACATGAAAAGCATGTTGATCGCACCTGCGAACTCCGATAACCGCTCTTATCCTGTTGTGATTGATGGAAAGACCATGCCGATCACAGAGATAAGGAAGCACTCTGCTGGTGCAAGCGGAGAAACAGATGGTGACATGATTGAAGGCAATTACACTCGCTCGGGTACCGCTAACTACAAGCAAGAACAAGTACAACACGACCAGCATAGAAATGCGCTTTATGTCGAAGATGACAAGGACAGCAACTACACGAGATCTACCACAACAGACGGTGAATCTGAGGGACAGAGCATGAATCAAAAGCGTCCAACAACAACTGACTTTGGTTATGATCGTGATCATGATCAGACTCGTGGACGTGCAGCACCTCAGCGGCGTCACACGGAGCTGACCGGCTTGGGCGATTCGGCTCCCTCAAGCCGTGAGCTTGGCCTTCTTGCAACCGATTCCGACGAGAGGGAGAGCCCTATCGTGCCGCCGCCATCGCCACGAACTCCGAGAGCTGTGAAAACGCCGCTTCTAGTTGACCCTGCATATTTACCGGACTTTGCAAGGCACCCGCATCCGAGGTTGGCTTGATCCTATGCAGTCTTCTTTTGTAGTGGAAAGAGTAACAAGTACATAAGTATTTAATTAGGTGAAGAAGTTTGAGCAACAACACGGTTACTCTACGTATTGTGGGAATTCCAGAAAACTCAAAAGCAAATACTTTCACTCCGTAGTGTAATCAGCCCCTTTTCGTCATATTGGTATTTTGGATCCTCGTCATATCCACAGCGTATTCTCGAGATTGGCGCGTAACCTTTCTCATTCGTCGTGTTTTTTTGAATTTTTTTGTACCCGTCTGTTTCATTTTTTCAAAAAATGAAGTTGAAGATCAAGATAAGTAACTTAGTTGGTGGCTGCGGGATGGCGTACGCACTGACGGATCGTGGTTTAAAAAAATATTTCAGCTATGTTTACTTTGATGAAGATGCACACTTTGGTTTCTTGTTCTTCCTGCGCTTCAGATCTACTTCTAAATTTAAGTAACTCCCTTCAAGTTCAAATTCAGTCTTCTTATGATTCATATGATATAAGTTTTACAATAACAATCGTCCAGCAACCTAGTCCTAGATAGATGAAGTTGAAGATCAGAATTGTATTGTTCGGATTGCAAGTTCATCCTCTCGATTTTCTTGCATTTCCGTTCTTCATCTTGAGCATGTCTACTATTGTCATATGGTAGGTGAAACTTTCTTTTTACCGCTAAGTAGACGTAGAGTGTTTTGTATGGAAGAAAGACACCTGTAGAAGGATTCGTGAAATAAAAAATTCAAATGCAAAACTACACCCTTTGGTTTAATCTGCTCCGCAGGCATGGACGCGTGTGCAGAAGGAGCAAAGTTGAAATATGCACCGACATCGTTTAGCGTCGTCGTATTAATGTCATGCTTCCTTACATGTCACCTCCACGTCGTGCGCGCAGAGAAATAGACGTAACTGCGTAAATGCGGGATGAACTCCGAATAATTCTTTTTCTTCTACAATGTGAAATTTTGATTTCGCTATTGTAAAAAGATCAACAAGATACAGTCTGACAAACGTAGCATAAATATCCTGGGCGACCTTTTTCGCATAAAAGTAAAACGAAAATGAACAGTATTAACATACAAAAACCACACGTGAAACTACAATTATAGTGCTAGAGTAAAGTGACCATCATAGTACTTAATAGACATCACACATTATCGCAACATGCATTTACGCGCTTGGCGCCACAGCGCACCGCTTTCTGTACAATAACAGGAGGTTATTTTTGTCGGCTGAAAGGACCAAGACGACTATGGACGCACACGTAGGTGTAACTAGAGGCACAGCAGCAAGGATAGGCTCGCTTGCACGTGTGCAGTACATCAAGATATGACTTTACGTATAAATCAGAATGAAGAGTTCTTCTCCATTTGGAGTTGTATTTTCAATTCACTGTGGTACTGGTATCTAAAAGAACGAAACAAACTTCTGGCTTGCAGCTGAGGCTACCTTTGAGCCTGAGCCGCCCGCGTCGCGTGCTGATGTGTCTCTCTTGGGGCCAATCAAGAGGCATGTCATGTCCTGTACTCTCTCTCCCAAATGTAACTTTAGTAAGTACAAGATCTGATCAGAATTGACAAATGCAGAAAATTTTATGTTTCGGCGGCAAGATCATTTTTTTCGGAAGGCAGGTTGACGACTTCAATCAAATACTAGTAGAACGCGTCTTTTCCTTTGAACAGATTATTGCGGTGCGTTGCCATCAAGTTCGAGCTTATTCGCGCTCCTCATGCTTGTATGTTTGTCTGCCGTACAGATTTCATATTCCTGGCAAAAATTTGAATAAATTATGTCATCGAGATCGACCACCACGACGACGACGGACGTTGAATGAAAAGAATAGAGAGAGTGCGGTTAGTTCACTACCACGAGAAGCATCGAGGTTCTACATATGTAGGTCCGATTGAGATTGAAAGCAACAGCAATAGATGTTGAACTTCTTGTTCTACTTACTTACGCTCGACGGTCTTGATGTGCGTCTACCTCGAATTGCGGAATATTTATTATAGACATATTGACTCTCTCACCAGGCGGTATTTGAATTTATGAGAAGATTGATAGATGATATGAACTGTCTTTGCTTGCATAGAAATTGTAAATAGAAAGGATTACGATCATGGTCGAGGCTAAGGCTATGGAAAGTGTTACTGCACCTCCTGCTGCAACGGCGGCTGTGGCAGCCGATGAAAGTAACACTGAGGATGCAGCCTCCAGCACCACTGGGGCCGTCGCCGAAAGTCTCCAGAAGAAAGCGGATTTGAGTTATTACTTTGCCCATGGGCGACCGCGAGAGGACCTCACGGAAGCAAAGAAACTGGAGGGGAAAAACATGGGAAACATTGACGCGCAAGGAAACGCCATACCTGAGCCGATTACAGACGAAAGCGACGAGCGCTTTTTTAAGCGACAGCTTCCTGACACGCGAATTGAAATGCTGAAAAAATATGTCTTCGAAGACGCTGGCAAGGACGTCAAGATGCACGTCGATTTCGGCGATAAAGACATTCTGATAAAGGGCGAGACATCTGTACTACTACAACTACACGATCCCTAATTATACTATGGATAGATGAAGTACAACAGGTAGAGAATAGACTGTAGTTATCGCAAAAATCACGTTCTCTCAAGGAAGTTGTTGGTTTGGGCAAATTTTGGTTTTCAGAGATATTACAACTAGACAGGCTTTTCTTTAACCTAAGTCCTACATCCTATAGGTACATTACAATGAAGATGGCTTGGGTATAAGAGTCGACGTCATGTTTGCAGAACGCAAGAAGCTGTATAGATTTTTAGTGCAGGACCAGCCGTTCTATGCTGCGATAAACCCCGATCGCGCAACCTACCGCGTGAGCAGTGACAAGACGCGTCTCGTGTTCCGTCTGCCAAAAGTGATACCCGACCAAACGTGGCCCACGCTGTTGGAGAAGAAAATGAGCCAGCACACAGGATGGGAGTGAGGCGGTTCCTTTTATTGCTAGACGCCGCTTCTTGATATCGTTAATCATGACATGACGCAGTTTCCTGGAAGTTTTGTATGAAAAAATGGCTGCTGCACAGGACGAGCTGCTAGAGGAGGGCGCCAGCAGTGGATCGATTACCTAAACTGAAAAGAGGTAGAGGTAGGTGACGTGCCTGTGCGTAAAACTACTACTACTTGCTTCTTGAGATAATAGGCTTTATCGGGCAGCAGGCTCCTTTCCCTCACGACCAAAACATCTTCTGGCCGAGACCGCACTCAACCCTAGTACGCGGCTCCTTGCCTCATCGCACAAAAGTTACAGACCTCCAAGTCGCTCCCCATTTTCTTCATCTTTCACTGCGTTGGCCCTAGGATGACCAGTGTGAACGTAAATGCTCGAACACCTCGCTTCAACAAACTATACAACAAGTAGGCCTCTACTGCTGTCCTTCCGGTGGCGACGAGCCCTCTGACACCCACTCATGTGTCTTCGATGCGTGTTCGTGCTATGTCTCATTTCGTGAAGAAAAAATGAGTCAGGCGGTTCTGGTGTGTCCTTGACCTGCTGTTTTCTCGTACGTCATCGTGTCATTGATCCCACGTTGTGCCGGCCAAAGTTGCCACACGCGACAAAAGTTGCTCACAGTGTCTACTGCGCTGGCAAAAATACAGATCAACAAAGTTCGAAGGTCTGGGGCTCACGGATCCTTACAAGAATTCAATATCCTCGCTGGAGATCATCAAAACCCCGCGCTGTACGATTTAGATGGTGAGGAAGGCGCATTTGGAGGAAAGCGAAAGCCGGGTCAGGCCTAAATAAAGTTGTGTTTCGAAAACTACCTGACGAGACAGATGCACATCAGCACGAAGCCGGCACAAAGAACACGACGAATACCATGTTGCTGTTCATCGTCAATACGGCAAGAAGCGCTTTAACATGAAAAATTAAGAACAGTAGTCGGGCGACGGAAAGGAGAAAGTCGTTTACGCATCGTCAACACAACACCAGAGATTTTGTTGTAAAAATGCGACAGCAGGAACAGTGACAGTGTAGTTGTTCGTGTTGTTCTCGCTCCCAGCTCCTCCTAGCGAAGACAATTTGCTGAATTGTGTCTGGGTTTGGTTGTCACCGTATGATGTCCTGCTCAGCACTCTGACTTTTTCCTCAACTTCTCCTGCAGAAATACTGGCGCCTGCAGCTCCAAGATCAGAATTTCTGGAATTAGCTCCGCGGATCAGATTGTCTCTCTTGTAAGTATCTATCATCTTCATATTACCGTTTCTGATTTCTCGATCACAAGGAACAGTGATCTTCAGGATAAACCACTACAGCGACGAATGAAGGACAAATGAACATCTCCTACAGATATTCAAACACCGACGAACATCACTCAGTCCTATCGTGGATGAAATGAAACTGTCTTGCTCTTGGTGAAGACGAAAATATTAATGATTTTCAGACTAGGATTGACTTTATTGACGCGACATCACTAACCACTGCTGCACATCTGCGACTACAATAGAACCATCGCCATCACTGCATCTAAGTGTAAAAATTACCACGATCACCATTCGGCACTACAACAGCCTTCCATTTCTGTACTCTTTGCGTACTGGTCTTATCATGTCCACCCATTTCTTCAGAACGACGATGGACAAGACTTCTGCAAAAAGATGGTTTTACTGCTTCGAAGGTCTACAATTAAGAACAGAGTATCTTCAACAGCTTCAGGGTTGTAGAACGCACAATCACGGAGTTACGTACAATCACGGAGTTACGTAGAAAAGAGAAATCAGTACCAGCACATTTTCTACTAGTTGAGAAACTCTACTATATCAGAATCAGCAGTAGCGTCTTGAAGACAACAGCAACAGCACTCAACATGACGACCTACGAGATCATGTAGGATTTTCGGTCTTCCTCGTCTTCACTAGGAGCTGCTGCAGATACCAGTTTTTGACCACGACATCCTGATCGTCAAACCCATCAGCAGCAAATATTTGACAACAAGAGCACAAAGTCGAAGAGTATATCACAGCGTTATAGCAGAGTAGTCATCAGCTTCATCATACTTCTCTACGCATTTAAAAACAAGAATGCATCGTGGTGGTATGGGTGGTCGTGAACGTAGTCCGCGTCGTGGGCGCAGCCGCGAGCGAGGTAATCCGGGAAGCCGCTACACGGGGGGCGGAGGTGGCGGCTATGGAGGTGGCTACGGGGGCGGTTACAGCAGTGGGCCGCCAGCAGGTCCACCGGGAGGAAGTACGTACGGCGGCTACGCCGGCGGCCGCAGCGGAGGTTATGCAAGCTTCGGCGGTGCCGGTTCGTATCACCCAGGTGGGGCGGGCTACGTGCCACCGGGGCCGCCGGGCCGTGGTGCCGGAAGTCATAACAAGCTCTGCGAGGATAATTTCAATCCGCTGTACCCGCAAGGACGTCCCAACAGTTTGCGCTTGCTGGTACCAAACTACGCGCAAAAGGCAATTATTGGCGTTCAAGGAGCAAATGTTCGGAGTATTGGCTCTTCGACGGGTGTTTTCCTCAATGTTTCCAGCCAACCCTTCACGACTACAGACAACTGCACCGATCACATTGTCTCTATTTCGCCGAGACTCAAGGTAACTCTACTTATAATGTATTTACATGCCCGCTGCGCTGGGCATAGGTTAACACTTACTACTTAGCAACTAGACAGATAAGACAAACGAAGCAAGCCGTTAAGTCATCAAGCTAGCGACGCGCGGCTGGCTTAGAATGAACCAGCATGGACGCCGGCCATTGCTCAGCCAGCTGGCTAGCTAATGCTAAGCTAACAAGCTGGAGGGGCTATGGCTAAGCTAGCAGATTAGCCTTGGCGAGGCTGCTAGGTAGCAAGCTGGTCATGGCTAGGCTAACAGGCTAGCTATGCCGGGCTAAGCTAGCAGGGTGGCCATGGCTAGGCTAGCAAGCTGGCAATGGCTGAGCTAGCGCCAAGCCAGCGCTCTTGCGGGATAATATGGCTAACCTAGCAAGCTGGCAATGGCTATCTATGAATGCAGCGAGCGCGCTGGCTATGGCTAAACAGCTAGAAAGCTAGACCAGGCTAAGCAGCTAGCAAACTGGCTAGGGCCAAGCAGCTAGCAGGCTAGCCCCAGCTATGGCTAAGCCGCTAGCAAGCTTCTTAGCTATGGATAAGCAGAGAGCAGGCTAGACATGGCTAAGCAGCTAGCAAGCTAGCTACGGCTAACATAGCAAGCTAGCGCGCTACTGCTAAGATAGCAGGCAAGCTATCCTATAGATACTATTGCTATGCTAGCAAGCTTGCTAGCTATGACTGAGCTAGCAAGTGGAGGCCCTTAAGCGGTGGCCCTTAAGGAAGGGCCTAATATTAACCCAATTTTATTACATACAAGGGCCCCCTTAAGAAGCTCCCTTAAAAGGGTCGCTTTTATTTGCCCTTAAGGGAGCTCTATAATAGTATCTCGTATAAGCTATATCGAATTGTGAGTTTCGCGAAATTCTGCATTCCTTGCCCGAGAGTCTGGCTTTTTTTTGAGCATGAAGACAGACGAAAGACGGCCGCAAGACGATGATTTTTCTATGCTTGAGACGATGAGAGAGACAAAGAAGCCAGGCAAAGAACGTAGACGAAGAAGCGAGTCGATCTCGATGCATTTGATTGCCGTCTTTTTGTTAACTCTCTCTCTGTTTTCGATCCGTCGGCACTTCGTCGACGACTGTTCTGCTTTCTGCTTTTTTAGGCGTTACATGTAAGGCGTAGAGTGACGCAAGGCGTTTAGTTACTCTGCTGATGGTCTAGCATGCGCATGCTCCCGCTTCTGCGTTGCGTTCTGCCATTTTTTTTCATAGGAAACAGAAAAAAAATCTCTGCTATCTTATCAAAAAAACTAAAGTCGGCGCTTTCGTTAGTTTTCGTCTCCGCTCTGCGTCTCTGCGTCGTGTTTCTCTCTCGGTCGAAACGCTTCCAGTTTCCATGGCCCAGCCCTCTAAGGCTCTCCCCCTTTCAGGTCTATGATCTGCTGACGCAGTTGGTAGCCGCAGCACCCGCCAAGGAGTGCGCGACGTCAGCCACCGCCCACAAGGGTGGCGATGCCTCTGCGCTGAAACTCGTGCGCAGTATGGGCGAAAATAAATCGCAAGTCCATACTGATTTGCTCACGGTGCCGGACGTGCTCCGCCGCGATTTTTTGGAGAAGTATGAAAGTGAAAAGCTGGGCGCTGCTTCGTACCAACCACCCCAAGCCCCTAGCCCTACGGATTTGCCTACTTCCGATCCCTCTGCGCTTTCTTCGTCAGAGCTCCCAGCGAGCTCAAGCGGCTGCTGCCGGTAAGTGTCGAAGTCTTTGCCTGAGAAGCTGCCCCATACGTAACCGAAAAGCTTGAAGGGAATTCGTCGCAGACATTCATACCCCGCCGCACTTCCATACCCAGCAGGTTCTTCGTCCGATACCAACATCGACGCGGAAGCACTCAAGCAAAGAACAAGAACGAACCAGCTTCGCGATTAGCGAATCGCCCAAGGCTACCTACCACGACGATGAAAAGCGCTAGCACGAGCAAAGCCATGAAGGCCCAAGGCGTTGGGGAAAAGCCTCCCCCTGTAAAGAAAATGGCGAAAGTGGGCAACCCATCTACGCCGAACCGCTTCGAAGCAGAAAACGTTGCTGGAAGTGTTGGGTTTTATTTTTAAAAACGGCACAGGGGAGGCCAGGAGGGTTTTTATTAGTTCCCGCTGATTGGTGGCGGGCTCGTGGTTGGAGTAGGTTGGGAAGGAGTTCACGCCGGCACTTGGTCTTGTGTCTGGCGTGTGTGCGGGGCAGGGGTCTTGGAGGCGTTGGGGAGGGTGGCCTGGCCTTGTTTGGCTTGCTTGCTCTTGCTCGAGTCGCTCCCGGGGTTTGCTGCTGCGTTGGGCCCTTTGTGTTGCTCCAGGGCCGGCGAGATCGCCTTCGTGAAGGTTTGCCCTCAGTTTCGACGGAGCTCGCCTGCGTAGGTTGCTGCGGGTGTCTGCTTTGGGAAAGTTTTCAAAGTATAAAACTTGCCCAAAAATGTCGGGTCTTTCTGTCTGTGGGTTCCGTAGGCTATGCGTAAGGATTTCCAGGCTTTTGAAAGTTTTTGGGTTTTTGCAGTTTTTTGGCCAAAATGTCGCGCGTTTTTTTGGCTTTTTTTTCATGAAAAAACTTCTTCGGAAAAGTCTCGCGTTTTTTTCTTAAGTAGAAAAAAGGGCAGAAGTTTTTACGCTTTTTCTTGTCAGTTTGAAGCCCAGGAGGGTTCGGCGGGTGAGGTGTGGCGGTCGGTTCTCTGGTGTTGTGGGTTGGTCCTCTGTCGTATCCGAGCAGGGTGGGACGTGTTGCACCTGGTTAGGAAAGGGCGGGGGCTCGCAGGAGTTGACTTGAGAGGGCTGACCGGCCCGCGGGAGTTGGGTTTCTGACTCTTTTTGGGGTTGCTTTGGTGGGCTTGTGCTTGTGAGTGCAAGCTAAAAAATGAAAAAAAGTCCGCGCGTTTTTTGGAGATGGGTTCGCTTCGAGGCGGTTCTGGATAGAAACCCAATGAAAAAAACACAAAGCAATCGAAACAAGCAGCGGCGAAGGCTGCCAAAGTACCGAAGAAAGCTGCCAAAACACCGGGGAAGGCTGTCAAAAAAATGATGGCCATGGAAGCGGAGTAGCTTGCTACACAACTTCCCCACTGTGGCTCGCATCGTTTTCGAAAGCCAACGATAGGCGCACTCTCGTCGGCTTCTGACTTTAGAACGCAAGGCACCACTTCAGTAAAATCAAAGCAAATCGATCAAGTTCGAGAATCAAAGAGCGGCCGCAGGGTTGATGGCTTTCATTTTCCATCCATCCAAGTAGAGGCCTCCGAGCAATATAGAAAAAGCACGCAGGTAATGCGTACTTACAGGAACAGTAAGCGAGTACCTCGCTCGGTGGCGTGATATATTAGAAAAAGCGCCAGTAAATCACTGCGAGCGCTATCCTTTAGCTTTACGAATTGCATGGAGAGTCCCCAGACGGACCCAGATTCAACTATGGCGCCACAGTTGTGACGAACTTCGCACACGGTTAAGAATCAAGACCAACACGAACGCCAAAGCAAGCAAATGACACGGCGCCAAATTAATAGGGCCTGCCGCACAATCAAAGGAGAAGCCTTCTCACACCAGCGCGCGGCGTTTGCATTATCTGGCTAACGCGTCTAGCACTGCGCGCGTGTTCTCTTGCATTTTTTGCAAGCGACGCCATCGGCGTCGACAGTTCAGCCGATGCACTGCGCGCGACATGAGAGGAGCTAAACCGGACAAAAAAGCAAAACACTAAGGCCACAGAGTGCGCTAGAGTTGCGCGCTTCATTGTTATGCCATCGAGGTCGGGCTTGGTCTCTCTGTTGCTCTCTATGCATCGAATTCAAATGCTCCGCGTTTTCTTCTGCTTTCTTGTCATGTCTTTGCTGCAAGTCATGCCATCGGCGTGCTTTTTCCGGGGCAAAAGATGCCGCACATGCGCCGGCGCCAGCTGAACGGGAACGACCACGGAGACACTTGCGGCACGTTTTTTTTTTGGAATTGGATACTTACCAAAGAAAACAGAACACCAGCCCAGCAATGAATGCTGCTGGGATGATCTTCACGGGCGCGAGCACTATCCACGCAGGAGCATGAAGCACGTGAACACTTTGGAAAGTGGGCACTACTGTGCTACCATCAACCACATCGCGCCAAGGTTTTTGCTGCTTCGTCAGTGTTAGCGTGTAAGATTCTCACCGCATCGATCTACTTCTAACTCGTGAGCCAGCGAAGTCGTGCTTCTTAAGCACTCGCCTCGCTGATAGCAATCAGTCTGAAAGTGAAAACCAGGGGAACCAACCAGAACCAAGTCCGTCGCTCGCTTTGGACTATGCTACTGCTTTAGCCGCTGCGGGATTCGATAAGCCACGGCCACGAGCTCAAAGCGATAAGCGCAGCGCTTTTCTTACGGTAGAAGGCAGAAGCCCTGCAGCAGTGCAGCACTTTGGCCCCCCTTCAGGCTACCCTGTTGCGCGGTTTTTGTATCGTGGAGAAGCATGGACAAGCTTCCCCGCGACGGTTTCGCCAATATCTGAAACAGTGCGACCCGCTATATTCTCAATTCGTTTGGCGCAAGCCGGCCAAAGTGCTGGCTTATCGAATCCAGGCAGTCTGTACGTGCTACAAGTTTGCTCACTCTCTATTAATAAACTCGCTAGCCCAGTCCTCTCCTTTAGGTGTTCCTTCTGTGTGAGGCGCTCTAGCAAGTTCTCTCTCGATCGTGGGGTGGTCGCTGTTTTTGTTTTTCTGATTCGCTCAGCCTCCAAGATTGTTCCAATTCTTGCTGCCAGCTGCAGGCTCTTCGAGGTTTTCACTGCATTGGACAAGCAACACGAACACAGTGGCAAGAGCTAGGCCAAGCCTCTCGCGTATACTGGTCAAAATTTTCGAGCGGGTGCGTTGTCTCAATCTGGTGCGAATTATCTTGCGCGCAAGAGTTTGCGGCTCCTTCAATAATGTCGCACCCAGCAACTGTCTGCAGCAGCACCAGACCCGTCGGGTTCTGAACGTAGTGGCCTTTCTTCTGCTGCGTAGCAGTTTTCAACTTTTTCAGCAGTATACTGATGGGGCTTCGGCTATTGCGTGGCCACTGTGTGACTGACTGAAGACGCGGCGCATATCTCTCACGCGCGTCGCGTGCAGTCAGGTCGCGCCGCCTGGGTTCTTTTCAGTTGATTCGTGTGAAGGCTCACGGCTCTGACGCGTGCAGCCCTCTGGCGATACTTTCACGCGTGACGCTTGTCGCCAAAGCAGCGCACTGACTTCTGTAAGTATAGCTCCCTTCAGTTCGGACCCACGTTCTTGCTGCCAATCGTTGGCCGCTTCCAGAAAGTAGCGGGTACGTAAGTTTATCCCTTCTGGTCTCTGCAGTATTTCCCTCCTCCCTCTTCTTCCCCTTTTTCCTTAAAGTCATGCACTTTGCCAGTATGTCAGAGCCTGGCGGTCTCGTTTTCTACGTCTAGACCTTATACTTACACGAGACAGCCCGGAGTGACTTAATAAACTTAACAGCAGCGCAGGGATGTCGTCACCCCTGCGCTAGCCTGTGATAGATTTCTATAACGAAACTCTATAATAGAAATTGAAACTCTTTAAGGGATGCAATTTTCTTAAGGAAGCTCCTCAATGAGGCCCCCTTAAGGAAAAGGCTTGGTCTTAAAAAATTGCTAACGCTATAAATACTAATATTTATAAGTATAGACTTTCGCTTTCCTTGACCAATTTTGCTTATCGATGTCAACGTCCCGGTCGTGTAACAAGTGCATTAAGAACGCTTGTATGTGATTGGACTTGGAGGCTGAGTATTGCAGACGCTGCTAATTATTTATCCACATCCACCTCCACGTGGTTTTTCTCTTGCCGAATTCGAAGCATCTTTCTAGCTCCTTGTGCTGTATCTTCACCCATGATTTCTCAATTTCCTTCTGCTCAGTTGCCAACGTACATCCATGCAATTGACCAATGCGCGGACGCCATGAAGAAGGTGATGTCGTTTGCGTTTCCGCACACCGATCAAGACAAGGGCGAGTACAAGTGTATTTGCCTGGCGCCGTCAAAGATGATGGGTCTGGTTGTAGGCAAGCAGGGTGATCGTATCAAACATATTCGCTCTAGCCTGGGCATCGATGTGCAGTTGAGTGCACCTGTCCCCAATCAGTTCGATGGAGAAATCACGCTCGTCGGAAAACTCGAGCCTATCGGGAAGGCGATCTTTCTCCTCAACGACGTTTTTCAGGTACTGCATACACATGAAGATGACAAAGATATTAACACGAAGGTCATGAAGATGAAGAAGACGGACGAAGAGTGAGTCATCTGCTTCTCCAAGTCTAATAAATATTTTCTTCTGGTCTGGCGTTGATATGTTTTTGATATTCGAACAAATCAAGCAACTCTTCATCAACAAGAACAAGAAGGACGTTTGCAAATGTAAAACATGGAAGATTTATAAATATCCATTATGTTCAGCCGCATTATTCCGATTTTCCAGTCTTACAAATTGCAATTATGCAGGTATATTACGACGACAGATCGCAAGAGGATCAGCGCAAGATGCAGATTACTGAAAGTGAGCGAGACCGTGCTACTCGTCACGATCCTCCGGTGGCGCGATCGGGAAGCACTGAGCGCGGGGAGGTACTTCTTTAGTCATATTGGAGACCGCCGCGACGATGTGAAAGACGTGCGCGAAATCTTTGCGAAAAGTTGCCGGGGCTGGTCTTCGTTGTCTCTTTGCTTGAAAGGCCAAACCAGGCGCCGAAGCGCCTGGCGCTGCTTTTCGTTTGTTCTGTGTTTCGTCGTTGGTGGCAGCCCCGGCGCTGGTTCGTTGTGGACCGCTCGCATGCCGCTGGCATCGGCGCCGCCCCGGGTGCAGGCGTGGCGCGGTTGTGTGAGCCCCCTGAAGCGTAGGACACCGGGGCGGAGGACAGGGGAAACACAGGCGGGGGAGCAGTGTCACCATAAGCCGGCGGCGGCCATCTTTCCCCGCTTGAACACCTCCAGCGGCTTCCCGTCTCTTCTGTCACTTTAGAAAAAAAAAAATCTTGGCGAAAAGTTCGCGAAATCTTTGAAAAATCTTCGCGGAATCTTTCCGAAAAGATAGACGCATGAAGTTCCAACATGGTCAAGACTTGTAAACTGTCCGCAAACATGTCGCGAAGATTCTGGAGTTTTCGTCTTCCGTGTTTTTTTGATGAAGACACGAAAGTGAACCGCCAAGAACAAACTCGCGACAAATTGCAGCGGGAGCGCATAAGACTCCGCGTCTTCTGTGTCTGCTTTGTGTGGTCTTTCTGTTTCTCTCTCCAGAGCTGTGCCGCCTTTTGGGTTGTGCATTTGTTTGGGAATTTGTCGGGCGGCTGCGTCGCAGGCTGGCTCGTTGGCTTGTGGTGCTCTCAGTGCAGTGGCTGGGCTGGTCGTGTGTTGGTTCTGTCGGCTCTGCTTTCAGAGGCTTAGCAGACGCCGCGCGAAGTGGACAGGCGTGAAAGCGGCGCGCGTGAGCCCCGGCAACTTTTCGCCAAGATTCTCCGCCGTCGGCAGTCTTCGGGCGCGGCGGTCTCCAAGTCATATTCATTATTTTCACTTGTGCTTCTCATATTCCGACTTCATCATACATAGAGCGACTTTAGAAATATGTCCACCTCCATCATCTCTTCGCAGGGCCAGGGTGAGCCCGCGCGCACGGAAAAAGGTGAGGGTGAGGACAACGATTCAGCGGCAAAAAAGGGAGAGCAAAACGGTGTGCAACGGAGTAAGGAAGCTGCTTCTGCAACAACGAGCGGTGGCGATCCGAGCTTGAAAGATGTTGAGGAGAGCGAAAATTCCACCTCGTCGCGGCCACGAGAAGAGCGTGGAAAGAAGACACGCGGCCCGCGTGATGGACCCCGCGATCGCGACCAGCAGCGTTCTCGGGATGCTGATGATGACGAACTGAGGAATATTCGCATTGGTTCGCCGTCGTCCTCCGAAATGATGATTCGAGGCAAGAGCAGCAGGCAGGAGGGGGCCGCTGGAAATCAAGACGATCATGGTGAACTTGAAGATGACAAGGATGAGAATTCCACCTCTAGGAAAAGATCCAGGCGAGAGGATCGTAAGGAAGGTGTAGCTCGATCTACAGGTACAGGGGATCGACGTGAAGGCAATTACAACACTGGAACAGGAGTAAATCGGGAAAATTCTACCAAAAAGAGTAGGATGAGTACATCGCGCGGTCGCGAGAAAGCCTCTCCTTCCCCCGCACGCCGCAACGTTATGTACCTGGATCCACGTGAATACTAAGAAGGGAGAAACTTCCCGGAATCTTCCCAGAATCTTTCCCATCTTCTCGCTAGCAATGGCCTCGGAATCTTTCCAGAAACTCACCCCAGTCACGACTGGGGAACTTTTCCGGAAACTTCCAAGAACCTTCTCAGAATCTTCCCAGAAACTTCCGAAAAGCCACAAAAGTGGCGAAGTTTCTGGAAAGTTTCCGCGAAGTTGCTGCCTTCGGGATTCGCGTGGCTGCATGTTTCTAACAACGCGAGCAGACAGCCGCCACGCTTAAATGGCTTAGCGGTGGCTTCGCACATTCCCGAGATTCCAACGAAAGAGCAGAGCATGTCGGAAATACGCCTCAGTGTGCCCGAGTTGCCCACCAAGTTCTTCATGTTCGATTCGAGCAGCTACTTTTACTCGGACCTACAGGCGCGAGTCGAGAAAAGCGGTCTCGGCATCCTTACAACAATAGAAACTGCAGAGAACTCCGAGCAGCTCCTTGTTCGCGCCACAGAGGGCATCATGCCCTACGTCCTCGCTCAAATCCTCGAACGTGTTAGAATCGAATGCCAATCCTCCTAAAGCCACGACAACGCTTGAACAATTACTAGGAGGAGACAGACAGAAGAAATCGAGGAAATGCGAACTACGAGGTCGTTCTTGTGTTTTCGTGATTACATAGACACACAAAATAAATTGACTTCTTCAGGAACAAGAACACTTTTTTTGGAGAAATATAGTGATAACCTTCTTGTTCATCTACTTAGCGTTAGCTACGCATCGATCACATTGATCCTTGTCCTCTATGACTTCCCCCGAAGACGACACATACATCAGCCAAGGAGAAGCAGGAAGGTGACACGTAGTGATAAATCGAAGATTTTCAAAATTCAGAGTATTAGAACAAGTACTACCTAGAAGTCCATCGCCAGTTATATTTTTACCTATCACTACAAGTACAACTACTGGTCGAAAGCATAATCCAACCAACTCTCTGTCCTGTATCTTCAGAATCGCACAGCGAGCCAGCAGGCAAGTAACTACTATTTTGAGATGAAGACAACAAGATAATGATTCTGAGAGGCGCCCCCTCTCGTCAGGATTGAGGTAAAAAACAATTTGCAGATTTTGATGAAACATCTTCGCGAACATAACCAAGTAGATCCAGAAGTCTTTAAATTTGAGCCCCTTGACCATGACCCCTCTTTTGATTTAGCAAAACCTTTGGATCGGCTCAATTCTTTGTTACCACCCTTGTCCTTGTCGAAAGTTGAATTTGAATGTCAATACCCATAAGAATTGTGAATCCGTCTCAAAAATACCCATTTGATTCAACGATTTTTGGTCGCGTATTATACCTGAGGACAGCACACATACACTCTCTCCTCGATTGTTACGGACGACCGCGGGTCGTTGTGTGCGGCCTTTCGCACGACTCCCTCGTGGTCGTGGTCATCTGTCTTCAGATGATATAATTGGAGCTGGGCCGTCTTGCTGTTTGAGCAGAAATATGACTGTCGATCTCGATTTGTATGGGAGATGATCGATATCACAAAATATAGTGGATCATGAATTTCACCAATGCATCGCTGATCGTGATTCATCCTAAGTCGCTAGATCCTTACAATTTTCGCCAGATAGATCTGCTTGCCAGCTCCAAAAATCACTTGGTGCGGCTCAGAGAAGAAGAACAAGATGTACAGGCATGAAATCTTCCATGTTGTTGTGCGACTAATCAGATCCAAAACCATTATTTTTCAAACATGTCGTCCGTGGACTACTACGCACTATAAGATTTTTAATAGCTGTTGGGAGCTGCAAAACCAACGTCTTTTCCTGTCACCATTGGAATAGTACGGAAGGAATACCAAATATCAAGCAGAAGTGATCTATTCTTGTCAGGACGACCATGTACAATTTTGATTTTCAGCTTCCAAGAAGACAAGCACTACCATCCCTGGTCTTGTATTGATTCGTTTTATTCATATTCATTGGCAAGAATTATACCTCATCTCTCGAGATCGAGATCATGAAGATAATCTTACTAAATTAGTGCATGAACAACAACTCATGTTAGCATGTGCATCTGGTATTTGTTCAATTATGTTGTTTGAATAATCAAAGACACGAGGACATTTACGTGTCTATCCTCGCGAAAGCGACTTGAAAACTATAGTATACATCTGCAAACACAATGAGCGATTGACATTTGTAGCTTGAATATTCAAGAATCACAAAATGGTGGACACAAGCAAGTGCAAGAGGATATTCGACACGAATTTTGGTGTACGATTGTTTGCACAACGTGATTTCACCATTGGTGAGACCGTTTTGCGAGAAGCACCCCTTGTTACAGGCACTAAATGGACCTCAAATTGCGTTGGCTGCGGGAAGGAGTTATGTCTAGAGCAAGGAGAGGGTCGACTTTCAGGACACGGTGATGAAGTTGAAGACCCGGAGCCGTGCAGTGGGTGTGGGCGTGCGCATTTCTGTTCTGCAGAGTGCGCGTTTGAGCACGAGGAGGAATGTCATAGCTTCGAATGCTGTTTCTGGAGCGCACATGGTGACACTCCGGTGACACCGGATGAGTGTCTCCTAATTCGCACGTTAGGCTTGCAGGATGATGATCACATTCGCAAGTTTCTCACTCAGGAAAGTCATCTGCGGGAGTTGGTTCCGAGCTTGTGTCTGACCCATAGAAAAACAGATGGAGGAAATGATGGCATTACGAAAAAGAGACGTAGATCATCAACTCCAAGTCCGACTTCTTGTACAACTTCGACGATGCAGGAACAGGATGGCGGAGCACGACGAGATGGCTTGGCGACCTCTTCGCAACCTCGGGAGGAGGATTTAGTTGACTATTTCTCAAACTTTGTTGTCAAGGGCTTGAACGAAGCTGGACTTGCTTCAGATGTTATGGCAAAATGGAGGAGGCCGCTTGCTACACAAATGATTGTCGCGGCAAACGAACAAGAAACGCTAGAGCAGTCTCCACGTAGTAGTTCTGATGCGTCCTCAGACGCGTCCACCGCAGAGCCATTGAGCCCGGATGTTGATGAAGACCTCGAGGTTGGGGAAGGTCAAGTGCTGAACGCGGGAGCGAGGAGCTGCAAAGTGGAAGAAGAACATGTAGTAGATGCAAAGTTGTCTTCTGTTGGTCGTGAGATCGATGCTGAAGGAGAGCAGCTGAAACTTTTAGATGTCGTGGCTAATGTTTGGGCTCGATTGCATATTAACCATTTCGCCATCGGGAGTCACGAAATTGTTGTGGGGGGAAAGGCCATGAAGAGGTCTAGGACGAATAAGGACGTTGGAGGGCTCGGCGGTGTCTTCGTCGATATGGCATTGCTGGAGCATAGCTGTCAACCGAACTGCACACGCGTTTTCGTAGATCACGGCGCAGCCGAAGTGCGGGCGATTGAGAGAATCCGAAAGGGGGACTTTCTTAGCCATTGCTACGTCCCCTGCACGTGGCCGACTACAGAGCGGGCGGACCGACTTCGCGACGGAAAATGCATTGCGCGCTGCGCGTGTGCAAAATGTAACAAGATGTACAGCGTGTGCAAAAAAGTGAAGAGTCAGAGAGAGCGCGATGAAACTAAAAAGGGTAAGGCGGCGCTACGTAGCGATTTTCTGGACTTCATGGTGCAAGATATGTGCTATGCTGCGAAAGCCCAAGAGCATGCGAAAGAGGTTCGCAGTCTGCATGAGCGTTTGAGAGATGTGGAAGCAAGACTGGCTGTATTGAAGGCCGGCGGTACTAGTACCTCCGCGTCACCAACCGCAACATCTCCTTCGGAGCAAATACTAGTGGAGCCAGGAAATGCTGAAGAACTAAAGGACAACTACAAAAACGAATTGCAAGACGTGCTAAGGGAAGTTTGGCGGTGCGCTGAATTCGAGAAAAAAATGCGGTCGGTACTGGAGCTGCAGCTACCAGAGTTACAGGCGACCTCAAGAGGCGCTGAAGTGTGTGCCTCCTTGCCAGAGTTGGTGGTAACGCTTTTCGCGGTGCGAGCGAAATTGTTTATGTTACAGGTATGGCTTCAGTTTCAGTATTAGCATTTGAAAATTGATATATTGTAGACTCACTCTACTATCAGAGTCGGTCGGTGTCTGTTTAATACAACACGACAAGGTACCGCCACCGCCTCATGTACGAGGCAAATAGAAATACTTATACAATATATAACCTTGTTTCCTCGTTACTCCTAACAATATCTTCTTGTGGTAGTTGTCGCTATTGTCGAATAGAATGCATTATATTCACTAGAATAACAAAAACTGACTCTACAACAATGACTCATTAATTTCCGGAAGAAGATTACTTAGCACGATCTCCAGCAAGAGGTTTCCTAGGATACTTGTTATGACACGGAGTGATTGCGATGTTGCCAGTTATTTTTCCTCTAAAACCGGGTGCGGAACAGATGGAGTCCGGAGCGCCAATACTGAAAATGGCAACTAGCTGCATGAGCGCTTGCCGGTTTGCTTCCGCCGCCTTAAGCCTATCGGACCTGCCAACGGCTCATCTCGCGCGCGCGGAGCTGCGGGAGATACGTAGAGATGCAGCCTCGTTCCTTCGACAGCTGATCCTCATGTTGTCCGACTCGTTGTTTGATTTGGATATAGCGGCGGACGAGGACCCAGTGGTGACATTGCTGATGATAAATCTTTCTTTCTTGCCGGCACTACGGCCCGGCGACGATGAAGACCCAGATCTTGCAAAATACTTTATTGGAAAAAAGGAACAGCGTTCTTGTTCTAGAACAAGCTTTGATGCTTCACCGTCTTACTGGTTCAGGAAGGCGTGGGAGGACTGTCGCGAAGAACAAGAAACCATGGTGCCTGACGATGCTGCATCATCAGCCGCAGGCCAACAAAACGCAACAGAAAATGCATGGACGCAACGAAGCGACTCGACCTTTGTTTCAGCAGCAGAAGTCGCGCGTCTCCATCTGGTCCCTGAAAGACAAAGAGTGTGCATTTTGTTGGAAAATTTGATTCAGGCGGACAGCAACTTTGTGAGAGCCGTTTATCGGATACATGAAATTGCGACACCAGCAGAAGAACAAGACGACTCCTCGTCCTGCTCGTCCTCCTCGTCTGATGAAGATAATCAAGTCGTCTGGCATTGAAGCACGGCGTCTACTTTATCATAGTCAAGACAATTTTAGTTTTTGTCTCGTCCAAAAATTTGTTCTACAAGTACATTGCATTATAATCTGGACGATGTTTTTCTGTACCCCACTCTCGCTTTAAGGTCGTGAGGACACTATTCGTTACCTCGAACATCATTTTGATTTCCTCAGCCTCACACACCATAGGTTTACGTCCAACCAAGCAAGGAGTACATCCGTAAGGTGGACCGAACGCCGTAGAGCTGTCCAAATGAGTCCCACCGCATACTTCCCCCTGTTATAAGGCTGATTCTTGTCGCTCTCCTTGATGCGTGACGCGTGACGCGTGACGCGTGACGCGTCACGCGTCACGCGTCACGCGTCCCACGTCACGCCTCCTATATGAGGCGTGACGTGGGAGGCGTGACGTGGGAGGCGTCACGCGTCACGCGTCACGCGTCGCCCCGAAGCCGCCCACGGATCTATCAAGGATCCACGGATCTATCAAGGATCCGCGGAGCGATCGAAGGTCCACGGTTCTTGCAGCGGATCACTCAAGGATCCACGGATCTCTCAAGGATCCACGGATCTCTCAAGGATCCACGGATCTTTCAAGGATCCACGGATCTTTCAAGGATCCCCGGATCTTTCAAGGATCCACAGATCTTGCAAGGATCCGCGGAGCTTTCAAGGATCCACGGATCTTGCAAGGATCCGCGGATCTTTCAAGGATCCACAGATCTCTCAAGGATCCACGGATCTTGCAAGGATCCCCGGATCTTTCAAGGATCCACGGATGGGATCTCTCAAGGATCCACGGATCTCTCAAGGATCCACGGATCTTTCAAGGATCCCCGGATCTTTCAAGGATCCCCGGATCTTTCAAGGATCCACGGATCTTTCAAGGATCCACGGATCTTTCAAGGATCCACGGATCTTTCAAGGATCCACGGATCTTTCAAGGATCCACGGATCTATCAAGGATCCGCGGAGCGATCGAAGGTCCACGGTTCTTTCAACGGATCACTCAAGGATCCACGGATCTCTCAAGGATCCACGGATCTCTCAAGGATCCACGGATCTTTCAAGGATCCACGGATCTTGCAAGGATCCACAGATCTTGCAAGGATCCGCGGATCTTTCAAGGATCCGCGGATCTTTCAAGGATCCACGGATCTTCCAAGGATCCACGGATCTTTCAAGGATCCCCGGATCTTTCAAGGATCCCCGGATCTTTCAAGGATCCACGGATCTCGCAAGGATCCGCGGATCTTTCAAGGATCCCCGGATCTTTCAAGGATCCCCGGATCTCTCAAGGATCCCCGGATCTTTCAAGGATCCGCGGATCTTTCAAGGATCCGCGGAGGGATCTTTCAAGGATCCGCGGATCTCTCAAGGATCCGCAGATCTTTCAAGGATCCCCGGATCTTTCAAGGATCCCCGGCTCTTTCGATCGAAGATCTCTCAAGGATCCGCGGATCTATCAAAGATCCACGGATCTATCAAGGATCCGCGGAGCTATCAAGGATCCGCGGAGTGTATCAAAGATCCGCGGATCTATCAAGGATCCACCGATCTATCCAGGACCCGCGGATCTATCAAGGATCCACGGATCTATCAAAAAAAGATCCGCCGAGCGATCGAAGATCCGCGGATCTATCAAGGATCCACCGATCTAGCAAGGATCCACGGGCCTCATATAAGTTAGCGATAATCTAGATTCGTCAAAATCAAGCCCCTCCTGCCCGTTGTTGCGTGCTGCGTGACGGTTGAAATTGAGGGCATACATTTCATCCCTCCCGAAGCTCTGGGCGTGACGCGGTGGGCGTCACGCGTCACGAAACAGCTCTACGGCGTTCAGTAAGTCCCACGGAGTACATCCCGGCGACTTTTTTTTCTTGTGCTTCGCAAAAGCTAACACGCTCCACGAGCCGCCGCTTCGACCTTTAGTTGTTATCATCCCAGTGAAGATCAAGGTGACTTCGTTTCATCGACACAGCAAATCTTTGTCTGAAATGAGTGACAATCTCATTTGAGGGATGAACAACAAGGGCAAAGGTTACAATGTTGACTTGCAAAGCTTTTTTCTTCTGCTTCTGTTACGCGAGCTACGTCCATGATCACACATGTTATCACACTCACTCATTTCCAAAATAGACAGTATATCGACGCTGCGTGGTGTTATTCTTATTTGCGAAGAACAAACGGGAGTTGTATATCGCCTGGAGTTCATGTTCGAAACAATAATTCGAAAAAATATCGGTTGTACAAGAACATGAACTATCGGAAATAATTTAAGATTTCAGATGAAGATGACTGTCGGTGTCATTGTCAAGCGTCGAGAATAAGAGAGCATCAAGATCAGCAGCACAATCAAAGTGCTACTCGATCTATTCGGAAATTAAAGTTTTCGTGCGATTCTTTCTCGGCCTCCGTTATTGTGGTTTGTTGTCTATGTCGGCGTTGGGAGTCTCGCTCAAAGATTCTTGATCGCCAGAGGCCTGCATTTGAATCACTGTAATTGGTGTGACAGAAGCGCAAGGTAAAACAAGTACAACCCTCTAAAAGTGATTTCCTTGTTGATGTTTTTATCTTTCTCTCCCAGCACCCAATCCATACGCGTCACATGAGCAAGTGGTCGACTTTTGAATTTGGATGAATATTCGAGTATGAGTGCAGGAGAAATCGTAAATCCTCGTCAACATCACGAACTCTAGCTCCTGTTCCTGCGAAGATATTCATATTTTGAATTTGATGAATATTTTTTTTCCTAGTAGAAAAATTACAAAAAAATTAATAGAAAGTAGTGCCCCCTCAGCAAGCATTTATCAGTCTGAAAATCGAATGTGCAAAAACAGTGTTTCAGCGTCGTACATTCACGTGTTGGATAAGGTGCTGGTGAACGATCCCGTAAACCGGATGTGTTTTTGGAGTTTCTGTCGTGAAGATGAACAAATTAATAACCTTAACCATGCCAGAAAGGGTTGATTGCTGTTAAGGGGAACAAAAGCATAGAGGTATGCATCGATATGACAATCACTAGCTTACTCGTCAGTTACGGTCGCCGAAGGGTGTTGCCCAGAGGCAAAGCAGAATTCACATGCTCACTTGTGACGAGAAGGACTGCTCCGGACGTTTTTGGTCGTGGCCGTCGACCTGAATCAACCTAAACTACTATTCGGATTTTTCGTAACAGGGACGGCGCTATTCGCGACATCTTGAGCATCCTCATCGGCGACGAACATGAAGCAGCTTCCCTTTTCCGCATCCACCGCACTGGGATCCAGCAGAGAAATGCCGCAAGTCTCCGACTACACAGCAGGTGAAGTCAGCGAGGACGTATACCCATCACCCGCTCGGAAAGGTGCACTTCATCACGGGGTCCGAGTAGGAAAATGCGAGACGGAAGACACACCTCCAGATTTTACCCCTCTGGAGAATTCTGGCGATTCACCCCACCTTGGCTCTGCCGCTTTACGGCAGCGAGATGGATACTTGATGAACACAAGTAAGGACAGCTCGGCATCTTTCGCTGAGTTACTTACTTGGAGTGGGGACCGTGATCGACCTTCTTCGGGACAGGGGCGTCGCGGAGGTGGTCAGGACTTCGAATCTGGGGTCTTCCCCTTACAACCATCGCAGCTAATGGTAAGCGATCATGATCTCCCACAGAGGCCTGGTGTCGAGCTTGGGAATGTTGGTTTTTTGCGTCTGCCACAAGACGTTCACCGCCCCGCATCCTCAGGGAGCGTACGTGCTGGCCTACAGCGTGCGAATATGCAGGGAGACCAACAATTGACAGATTCGAACAGCGCTAGTACACAAAGCTTTGAGGTGAAGCGGCATTTCTTCTTCAACACGTGGTGGTCCATGCTGCTCGTACCACTCACCTTTCTCGCGATTCTGGTGCTGTGGCTACCAATAAAGTACCTAATAGTAGCCTTCGTATTGGAATTTTTTTTCGGTTGCGTCATCCGCTCGCTGTTGATTGCTTTCCACTTCTTGGTAATTCGTCCTCTGAAACTGTACCACTATCGCAAGAGAGGACGAGCTACTCTTGTAAAAATCGCACCTTGCACAACTCGCACGCGTGCGGCCGTCCTGCAGAAGCACTTCCGGCTTCGTCCCATCTATCTGACCGACGATTCGTGTGAAATCCCACCACCCGAAGGTGCCAAGATCAGCTCCTCTGGAGTGTTGGACATTCGCCACACGCGTTCTCGGCAGCCTTCTCCCATAGACGCTCATCCGCCAACACCGCGTCGCTCGCCAAGAGGAGTTCTCGCTCGACGTGCAGGTGAAGAACCCGATGACACCCGACAGTTTCTATCATCTAACCCAGAAGCTATATTATCTGTCGAAGAAAAAGCATCACTCCTTGCGTCGTCGCGCAGCAGCAGGTCGCGATATCAAGAAAGCGAGACCCTGTTGCCTCCGAGCTCCGGTTTACACTTACCCACCCCAGCTACAGGTTCTCTGTTAGGAGGCATGGAAATGACAAGCCACAATCGCGATATTTTCACAGTTGAGGACGAGGATGACAATGATATCGCATTGCGAAAGCGTGTGTACCGGTATCGCACTGCTGTTGTGCAGTACTTCATGCAAACAGCGAACGGGCATCGCAGCGTCTACTACCTTGAGAACCCCGCGGATTGCAAATTGAAGAAGTATGATTCTGGCACCTCCGTAAGACACGATGTTCCGAGAAGTAGGTTGAGTACGACGAAGAGGAATAGCACTTCTAGGAGTAGTACAACAGGCATTTCTTCGACTACCGCTTCTACGGGTGGGGCAAGTTGTATGCCACCGCCACCTGGTAGTTGCATATGTGTGCGATGCGTGCTCCAGGAGTTGGATCGTTCACGGCCTGGGTGGATGGGATTGCGGTTGCGCGTGCTTTTGGCTAAGCTTCGGAGTGCGTTCTGGTACGGCAGATGGGATCGGTTTGCGCGCTTAGCGCCTTCTCCCGCCCGCGACATCGACGAGGGTGACGCTCTAGAGATGGAGCTTCACCGATTCCCCGCATCTCCATGTCGTGGATCACCTTCTACCAATCAAGCGAGAAATCAAAATAGAGATACGTCTGCTCCTGCTTCAGCTTCTGTCGGTGATCTTTCGCAACCCGCGTTGTCTTCTTTGGATAAAGAAGCTCCGTCGTACTCGTTGCTTCAGCAAAAATTCCACCAAATTTTGGGCACAACAGGTACTTCTATCTCGTCCGGCAATAATTCAGCATTCTCCAGTAGTTCATCCACCGCTCCGACTAGCGGAGGAGAAGAGCAAGAGGCTGGAATATCCTCTTCATGTTTGAGAGAATATTCGGAGGAACCAGATGAGCTATCACAAGGCGGAATACTGAGTTGCGAAGAACAAGAGATCGAGGATGAAGGTTTGATTCCCGTTCGCCGTGATTTTCCAGTAAGCGCTTTTCGGTCTGCCGGGCGTCGTCGGCTCTCGTCGAAGAAGAAGAGGAACAGCAGACGTGAACTACACAAGGAACAGGCTAGCTTTTCATCCGCTACTTTCTCATCTTCTTCGCTGGCTGGTAAGGATGGTTCAGGGTCACTGGCGCGGACAAAACGTCATTATCTCGACGGATACGACATGCCAGGCAGTTTCGCGCATGATTATCTTATGACCATGCTTCACGTCTTTCTTGCCATGGTGCATGTCGACCCACTGTCAAGGGGCTCTTTGTCCATTTGCCGGCTGTTCACGGATGCGAGTTTCTTTTCTGTCTTGCCCTTCCGAAGCGAGCTGTTCATGGTAGGGTTTTTCTATCAAAACTCGTCGGTCTATGCAGACCGTCTCGAAGCAGAGCAGGCGCGGCAAAAGCTCCAAGAAGCACAAACGCAACAGCAACAAAGCCTGGGTCGGCCGCTCGCTAGCTCGAAGTCTAGTCCATCATCGAGCAAGCCAATTTCATCGAATTCGATAACTGCGTTAGAAACCACCTCGCTGGTAGGAAAAGCTCAGCGTTCTCATGTGTTTCATGATGCAACGATACACTCGAGTAGCAGCAAAACGACTCTGGCTTCTTCTAGCGCAAGTTCTCTAGGTTCATTGCTTCACGCCAGCGATGCATTTGGCGGCCCTGGTTCAGCTGCTTCCAGTCGTGATGGGGCAGGGGTCGCAGGTAGGACCAAACTCCGGACGAAACAATGCGATAAGGAGTCGTATCTTAGGCACTACTGGATGTTTCCCAGACGGCAGGCCCCGGAGTCTCTCCAAAAGCAGTTTGACAGTGGTGGCGAAGCTGCAGTACAAAATTACGTGGACACCCACCTTGACGACGCGGAAGAGCTGGGCCGGATGTTGATTGCAGATCCGGAAAACACAAAGGTGCTAGTGCATCTTCATGGAGGTACTTTTCGACTATGCATTCTTGTGAAGATCAACGACAGGATTGCATGTACTTATATATAAAAATATGAATTTATCAGGTGGTTTCATTCTATCATTTTTGCAAATGCAACAGTGACGTTCGCACCGGATCAACATCAGAATCAGGTCTACTTCCATTCCAATACTCAGGTGGTATGTTTTTCTGTGATGCAGACAGTGCAATGACAGTCTTCATGGCTTGGCTGTGCCGGTCTTGCAATGTCCCATGTCTTCTCGCGAATTTTCGCCGTCCGCCCACAGTCGACGTGGCGACGACGGTGAGCGATGCTACTCATTTGGTAACAGAATACTTGCACCATCAGTGCGGTATACCAATGGAGAATATCAGCATCATTGGAGACAGTGCCGGAGGTCAGCTTGCCCTGCAGGTCGTCTTGCGGCTGCTGCGTGCACGAGAAAAAGGGAGTCGACCACAACTGTCAGCAATAAGCATGTTGTCGTCGCAGCATCATGAACAAACTGAAGGAAGAGATTTCTATGCTCCTGAAGAGCGATTGCAATGGCAGGTTGCTTCGTGCGAGCGCGTTTTGGACCGTCTGATTGTTTTGTCGCCCTGGTGCGACCAAGGAGCTGACGAGTCGAACACGCCGAGCTTCAACTCCAATCGACACTGCGACATGATCCATCCCGAAACCATCAAGTACATCGGCTCGTGTGTCGCAGCTGCGTGCAACCGTCAACCAAACGACCCAGTTCTTAGCGCCTTCTACGCTCCGGAATTTGACAGGCCAAGAACATGGGGTGCAACAGGCTCGAATAACGAAGATGAAGGAGCGTTCGAGTTTTTCGACGCTATGCCGCCATTATTGATTCAGTCAGGGGAAACGGAGGCTCTGCGGGACGTGCACGTGAACCTCGCGGAGCGCCTATCAGCCGCTGGCGCTGCTGATGTTACCCTGCAAGTCTTTCAGGATGCGGCTCACATTGGTCACCTTCTCTACGCATTTCATCCTGTAGCACTGCGTGCGCTTTACGAAATAAAGGCGTTTCTGCAAGATGCCTAGCAGGATGACAACAGCTGGATGTGTCTCCCTTTGTGCTAGGCGTGTGCGGCTTGCGCCGAGAATCTTCCTCTCTCGAGGCATAGCCGACAAAAGCGCATCTCTGCGACGATCAAAGAGACGCGATGAAAAGCAGAAACTTCTTGAACTAAGTACTTATTTACAGCAGCCACATACTGAGCCAGTGCCAGAGCTTGTCAGAGGACGTCAAATCACTACCACTTTCGAGACTTTCAAACTCATCTTTCGATTCGTCATGAACATGCAATGCCGTAATTTTGCAACATCGTCCCAGACATACCTCATCACGATTTAGTCATCCCCTTTCTCCCACTCTCTCCTCGTTATCGACACGGTCATATGAGAACACAGGTCGGAGTACTAGGCTCAACCACGACCTCCACTGTTGGTGTTAGTCATTAACTCAGCGTCCTTGGGGTAAAAAAGAACTCGTTTTGATCACTAGTAAGCTGCACACACATAACTTGGCAACCCACAGGAGGATCATGAGTTTTGTTTCTTGAAATAAGAATGCACAGATCGCGTGTTGACATTCTCAATCAGTGGCATCATTCAGAAGAGCGTACGGCCGGGAGCGATGTCGGTTGTCGAAGCAATCGACGGTTCCTGGTACCGGACGCAACGAATCATAGCATTTCGTTGTTGGGTTAGAGGTAATAATTTTCCACAAGCATAATATCTGACAAGGCCCTCGCGTATTTTCCATTTGTTCTTATTCTTTTTTATCTTGTCCTCTTCAGGACACGACGCGACTTATCGACGGGAGGTGCGTTTGCTAATGCGAGTAAGTAGGTACCTAAAGTGCACCATATCCATAGGTTCATTGGACAGAGTCGATGGGTGTACTTAGCTTTAATGCTGTAAATATTGTTGTATCTTCCTGAGACATAAAACAAAAAAATCAAAATGTAAAAATTTGAACCACCACTAGTTGTAAGGAACAAGATGGTAGCCATAAATAGCAATTGATGTATGAACAACATTGATTGTTATTTGACATTTTTTTTTTTTCTAAAGCCGGGTGCATTATGGGTATAAGAGCTCTGACGTTCTAATGTTTTGTTTTCCTGTACCAGTTGCACTGGCATGTTGATATTCCTTGCTTGAAGATCCCAGCTTGACGTCTTTCTCTCTCTCTCTTCTTGACTTTTCTAATTTTGACGCGATGCCTCCAGGACTCTTGTTCTAACAAGACAAGAGGCGCGAGATTAGGATTACCTGAGCGGTGTGATCATGTACTTCCGTGCTACGACTTATTTGATCAGCAACCGGTCATCGAGACAGGGCATCCAAAACAGACAACACGCTCGTCTGGAAGACTGGCAACAGCTTCCAGGGTCGCCCTCCGAGATGCAAACTTCCTCCGGGTTTCTACTAGTTCTCTGTATCTATACTAGACTTCAGCGCCCGTTAGCTCTCCCTCCACTAGAATCCTCCACCTCCTTCGAGCGTTTCCTTCGCCACGACGCGCCTCCCCCGCTCCTCTTCCGCCAGCTCGCGACGCTTTCCTGGCGAAGTGGTCCGCGCCAGAGGAGTCGGAACAGAGGCGCCACGGAATTTAACAGAGGAGGCCGCTTCTGTCTCTGAGGTTTTTGAGATGTCTCAAGGTTTGCCTGCTTTTGAATTTAGTGCAAGGCTCTGGATTGGGAGCCCTAAGTGTGAAGCTTCGCGCGTAAGTCAGTCTCGGAGGTGGAGACTTGGGGCGAGATTGGTGGAAGCTTTTGGCTTGCAGCTTGAAGCTCGCGGCCGCTTTCAGTGTGAAGATTTGAGCTTCAGCAAAGCTCGAGGCGTAGGGCTTCGGGCTTGGCGCTTTGATTTTGAAGCTTTGGACCCGAGCGAAGTGCTGGGCTTGAAGGGTTTGGCATGAAGTCTTGGATCTGAGATCTTGTGTCTGAAGTTTTGGACTTAAGATCTTGGATTCGAGGCTTTGGGTTGGAAGTGTTGAGCTTCAAGCGCTTGGTGTGAAGGCTTGGCTTTGAAATTTTGGGCTTAAAGCCTTGGACGCGAAATTTTGGGCTTGAAGTTTGGGGCTTGAGGCATTGAGCCTGAGGCTTTGGGCTGGGGTTTTTGGATTTGGGGTCTTGATCTTGAAAAATTTGAGAAGTTTGAAATTTAATTTTGGTTGACAAAGTCAGCACTGTGCGGCTTTTGCGCTCTGGGATTGAATTCGCTGGATTTGGGACTCAAATCCCCAAACTTTTGATTTTAAACAGTTTCGCTGTTCCTCAACTTCCTGGCTTCGAATTTCTCAAATTTCGAAGCTTTCCGCGCTATTTTGTCGCTTTGGGATTGAATTCGCTGGGTTTGAATTTCTCAAATCCCAAAGCTTTTGACTTTCGGCATTTTTCTGAAATTCAACCTCTTGGCTTCGAATTTCTCAAATTTCGAAGCTTTCCGCGTTAATTTGTTGCTCTCTTTGGGACGGCTTAAATTCGCTGGATTTGAATTTCTCCAATCCCAAAGCTTTCAACTTTAGGCAGTTTCCCTGAGGTTCAACTTCTTGGCTTCGAATTTCTCAAATTTCGAAGCTTTTCGCGCTATTTTGTCGCTTTGGGATTGATTTCGCTGTATTCGAATTCGGCAAATTCCGAAATTTTTGACTTTAGGCAGCTTTTCTGAAATTCAATTTCTTGGGTTTGAATTTCTCAAATTTCGAAGCTCTCTGCGTTATTCTGTCGCGTTGGGATTAAATTCGCTGGATTTGAACTACTCAAATCCCAAAATTTTTGATTTTAAGCATTTTTTCTGAGGTTCCATTTCCTGGATCGTGAGTTCATGAGTTCATGAGTTTGCTCGTGAGTTCATGGGCTCGTGAGTAGTTCGGGAGTTCGTGAGTTCCTGCGTTCGTGGGTTCATGGGTTCATGGGTTTTTTGGTTTTTGTGTCGGAGGTTCAGGGTTTGGGTGTTGAGGTTTCGGAGGGGAAGCGTTTGCTGAATTTTGTTGCTCTTAATATTCATATAACACGTGATAGAAGAAGAATATCGTAATCTGTTCTCCTGTTCCTGGAAGAGGATGGAGTAGAGTTACTTTACTATGATCATACTGACTCCTACTCGAATACTGAAAACACGCAAGCAACAAGAACAATAACTACCGAGTATCTGAGGTTATTCCCTAGCGTACTCGGTTATTTCAGTTTTATTTTCGAGTAGATCGGTGTCCGTTGTGAGCCCAGAGAGCCCAATCCTCACGCATTATACAGCCCACTCTAATTAGTAGTACTGTGCGAGAGCGTAGTTGTAGCGCGAAAACGAAGGCTATTACCTTGATGTGACATCTAAGTCTGTGTCTGCGATGCGAGACATATATTTCGGTTGGTGAGCGTGAGATTGCGAAGATACTACCGTGAAGGAAGAAGGTGACGTACGTACACCTGCTGATCTGTATCTCTTTAGCAGAGATGAGCAAGCCATCACCAGCATCTGTTGTCACCGTAATAGATGCCTTAAAACTCATTCCATGTGTCTGTGATGAGGAATGTATTCTGGAGAGATATCAACTACCTGCTCCTACTTTTAGGAAGGTGTACTTAGTCTTCAAAGAATCTGTTTGCTGAGTTGATACTCGTAGTATATCTGTGACGTTATTTGCTTCGAGTCTTGGGTATGATGATCATGATCCTGAGGTCTGAGAAAACCTAAACTAGGTAGCCCTAGCTGCTCGAGCTCTAGAAAGTCGGAGTTCATAGTTTTAGCTTTCTAGTCGTTTTAGCATACCCAGAGTCACTTTCAGCTTCATGGATATTCGATTGCAAAGACACAAAAGACGTGACATCAACTAACACCACCCAGGGGTGACCATTCTTGTTCAAATATTGTAGGCACCCCAAACCACGAGATAAGTCAATGTGCTGAATTTAACGCAAAAAAACCTGAAATTAGTGATAGATAATTAAAATTAGTGATCATAAACTTAAACATAATCTCCGGCTTCACGTTCACCATTGACCCCGCCTTGGATGGTCTGAATCTTAATCGCTTTCTTGTACTCCTCTTATTTTCAGTAGATTAAATATATGATCAAAGGTTCTTCGGTCTCGTTGTCTGAGTAAGAGTATGACTCTTTCAACATAACAAAGAATCTACCAACTTCAACATGGAAAATTGTAATATTGTAAAATAGTCGGTCAACATTGTCATGGGCTACAAGAAAGACCTGGTACTCTGAAACCCCGGTGGTCATACAAAGAGTTTTTCTTTTCCTAGTTATTATGGTGGACCATGAGACAGCACGAGAGCTGTTGGACCGTGCGTATGGTTCGGGAGAGGCAGTGCGCAACGAAATTTCCGGTTTTGTTTTCGATCGGCCTTGTGAGGGAGGGTTCGTCGACAGTGGAAACTTGCAGTATGGCGAGGTCACAGTCAACGGCATGGCGGTCGTGTTCCGACAACTAAAATTGCGCCCTGGTGACACCTTCTACGACTTGGGGAGTGGCGTCGGCAAGCTGCCGTTGTACTGCTACCTTCGGAGCGGCGCTGGCTTTCTTTCCAAGTCTATTGGTGTGGAAGTAGGAGAAAGACGCCACGAACTCGCTCTCATGGCCAAGACCAGGCTTCGCAAGGTTTTAGGGTTCAACCATGGAGCTTTGCTCCAATCCGCCAGTACATCCACTTCTACCAGTGGAGCAGTAGATGTGGACTCTTCATCCTCCCTGGCTGCATGTGGAAAATCGTTGGACACAACATGCTCCTTCGAAAAGGCAGATATTTCGACGCGGCGATACCTAGACGCCAACGTCGTTGTATTGTCAAATCTCCTAATGGACGGAAGCGTTCAAAAACGGACGTTGGATCAGCTCTTTCGATGCCCCTGCTTTCGACGCCTAGCCACAGTGCGCGTTGTCCATCACCCGAGGCTGCATTTGAACAAGTATTAGAACTTACTTAGAGGAACAAATATATTGATCTAACCCTATTATTGAGGGAGATTGATATCAGATTTAAGTTTGTTAAGGGGACGAAGTTTTCCTGGTTGAAATTTGTGGTCTCGTCTACTTTTATTGTAATTTATTGAAATATTCCTGGTGGTTTACATACTTAGTACGCTATATCTATGATTCTCTAAAGCCGTCGGCAGCCCGACTTCCATTTTACACTTTATCTTTATCGACAAGCTGAACGTCTTCTTTTCATCAGGTGTGTTCATGTGGAGTGCACTTGGGCCCGAGTGAGCTCGTGGCACATCTACGACGTGCTGCCGGCGACTCAGGTTTCAAAGCTACCTCGGTCTTTTTTGATTCCTGCCCAGCGACTGAAGGTGGAGAAGGTGGAGCCTGGGGAAGAAATAGAGGCTGTCTCGCCTGCAACGTCTCCGTCCTCGCCACTTCATGGGAGCGCAATAAGCGGCTTGGTCGCAAACGTTGCGAGGAACATTCTTGGACATACGCTTGGTACGACTGGGAATCGTGTGTCCACCCCCACGTCAACAACACAGGTTGGAGGATTCGCACAACCAGTAGGAATGAGCGCTACGACTAGCGCGCCGTTTTTCTCAGCATCAGCTGAGCGCTCATTGGTCAGGGCTGCCAAGAAAAGCACGAGCAATGGCAGCTCGCCCACCATTTCCATGTCGCCTCAACTGAATCACCGAGCCGCGTCCATTATCCGTAGAGGTGGCGGCTCGACGACTGCCTCACCTGCTGGCGGAGATGGTAACAAAGCGAAAAAAGTAGCGGACACCAACGTGCTGGTTGTTGGATCAGTCACTCCAGTATATGCAGCTCTTGCGGGCAACCGACCATCTCTTCCCACGCATAAAGGCAACACTAAAACAGCAGCGCCGCAATCTGACATCGCAGGAGTGCGAACAACCAAGAAAAAGGTGAGTGAAATCATGAGTCGCGGGGACGTACACCAGGCTTCAACAGTGGTTGCTAAGGGTGATCATCTTGGCGCTTCGATTGATGACGCCACGGGTGATGGTCTCTTCGGCGGATTCGGTACAAGGGATCTTCGTACACCACCAGGTTTGCTAAATGTCGAGACCCTTCAGCGAGAAGTGAGCATGCCAGCGCCGGACTTGCAGCTAATCGCAGCCCTTGCTGCTAGCACCTCATCGGCGACGATGCTCAATGAGGATGGCACGAGACCGGAAGCACCGCGGTACATGCGCGCGCGTACATCGGGTGCGTCTCCGCGACTCAAATCGAAAAACAAATACAACTACTCCTCATGAAAGACGATCATGATATCGTCATGTTCGTGCAGAGCTAAGGAAATCTAACAGGTAAAATAACCAGCAGACGAGGAGCAGGTACATCAATGACTTCTGTTTCTGACCCGAAGCTCCGCACAGGATGTATGACAACTTAGTAGATTTCATCCTGATGCCACTCGTACTCAGTAACTGCTTCACAGAAAAACATCGCCATAGCATTCGTCTTGTTGAAGAGTCGATTCGGTTAATAATCTGTGGAGGTAGGATTTACATTTAGCTTTCCTGATTTCTCATGATGTCCTTCCCTTTCCCTTCCTTTATGCTGCCCACTTCTTTCTTAATGTTATAGTAAGTTTTTTCTTATTCCTTTCATCGTGGACCTGGACGTGCTGGTGGACGTTTCTATCCACATTGTATGGACATGAACGACTACTACATATGGATAATCGTGGATTCACATCATTTGGACTTGGATAACTGGTAGGTCTGAAGTAGAAGTTTTTGTAATTCCGTATCTATAATAATGAGGCTTAGCCGGACCTCGGAGGAATGCGGCGGCGGTGCTTGTCGCATTATTCATCAAATGCGGATGAAAATCAAAATATTTGCTGTGATGGGTGGGGGGACTCGGAATAGCCGACACCCCACATCACCTGCTAAGGGCGAATTTACTCCTTATGACCCGAATTTTTCTTCTGTCAATCATTCTCTCTGATTCTAAAGACATATTTATATTTACAAAGTCAAGACCATGACCAGCACGACAGCGCGTTCAATATATGACGCAACAAGTTGAAGTTCATACTATAGGGTCAACACATTCTTGAATAGTGAAAAAAGTTCTTGAAGAAGATGTACTAGTAGTTCATCTTGTTCATCTTGTTAAATCATGTGCCTTCGGTAGCCTAAGCGCATGTTGGTCATCTTGGTCACAGTATGTGAATCAATCATGTAGTTGTACTAGTTCTTAATCTACTTCATGTACAGCACTAGCACAAGCAGAAGCACTTAGCTCTTAGCATAAAATATGAGATTGGTCAACATGCTCAGTGTAGTCTGCGGGTCCATTTGAGTTTTAATAATACTTATCTTTTTTTGAAAATGATGTCCTCCACGTCTACTTCACAACATTGCACTTTCGAGTTCCACAGGAGCTCGTAGTGGGCGAGACCGAGACACTGATTGAGATGGTTTATTTGTCAATCATCTAAAAAATAAGAATCTCGAATATGTTTGCAAGAACTGCAACAAAAAGTCAAAATCTATCGTATCGATGTAGCCTTCAAAAAGGGCAGCTTCTCCGTCGCCCGCAGCGTAGTGCGCCGATTATGGGATCATGACTGCTTGTTCCACCCAACACATCGTAGAGCCTGTTGCTCCAGAGGAGAGAAAAGGTCTTCTCAACAGCCCGGCTGCGTGTATCGGAATACAGAGTGCTTGAACTTATGAGAGCCTGGAAGTCGACCTTCTTGAGAGCCGGAGTTCAGGCGAGACGCATCATTCTGTCACTAGTGCACATGAGGGAATCGCAGTATAGACATGACTAGTATGTGGTTTCCCCATTTGTCTTTTTCATGATGTCTGTGAAATGCACTGATGTTTTCTGAGCCCAGACTTCTGGAGCCCTGGCCGCTGCCTGTCGCAAGCCAGAAATCTCTTAGTCTTAGTCTTTGCGGCATATGGTGACTATGCGCGCCTGGATGAGATCACCCGAACTAGAGACGTCTGCGCGACGAATGTTCATAGTCATCAGTCTCTCCCGACGGGCAAACCCCACGGCGCCATATCATTACATGACTGATTCGAGGCTTGTATAAGGAAGGCGCCCCCTTGCGACGAAGCTCTCTGTACTTCATAATCAAAATTCTTCGAAACGCGAGGACACCTACAACCCGAAAGAGCAAAAGCACATTTATCCAAGAACGACTAAGAAAAATGATGGAGTCGGGTGTTGCCGTTGATGATGTAGTTGCTGACGTCATCAGGATGGTGTCGCCTACATCTACTCATAAACCGGCCGCATGGATAATGAAAGACGCCGAAAATATGAATGACAGAGCTGATGCTGATCTTCATCTTCAAATATCCATTAATGAGATTAAGGAGCCAGTGCCAGCAGAGTGTCTTATTCTACTGAAAAAACGTGATGTAGACACCAAAGGCAGTGTGCTGTTGGCATCAGCCAATGGACATCAATGTACTTTGCGTGACAGCCGGGACGAAACGAAGATAGAGACGGTAGAGGACGCGTTTCTACAACCAGATGCGCTTTCGAGCAGGCGAGATCAACAGGGTTTTCAAACGCCAGCATTACATAAACGACATTGGTTTTACAACTCCTGGGGATCCTACCTTCTGCTTCCATTAGGCTTTTTTCTGATTCTTGGAATCTTGATGCCACTGAAGTATCTTGTGATTGTGGTCTTTTTGGAAATCTTTTGCGGAATCGTGCTGCGCTGTTTGTTGATTGTCCTGCATTTCATTCTCGTGCGGCCTTTGCGGTTCTGTCTGAGAAGGTCGTGCTTTGGCGGAGATGGAAAAGGCCAGAAGAATCTTAGTGAAGCGAGCCTATGCGTCGACGCTCATCATGTTATAGAGACAACAAATACAACAACCGAATCCGAAGCTGATACCGAGAATGATGCTATTAGGGATCATAAGCCTCTCTCCATGTCTGCCACCTTGTGCTCGTGCTTATGCTGGAGGGCGCGTGGATATGCTAAGGCACGTGCGGAAATCTTGCAGGAACATTTCGGCCTCACTCCGCTGTTTTTGACCGACAATAGCTGTGATGTGCCACAAGGCGCCAGGACTTCCACGTCGGGCGTCACTCATATTCGTGCCTGTGCTCGAGAGTCGTACGATGCATCAACCAATGGAAACGAGGACCTGGCCAGTGCGATAGCTGCCGCTCCACATATTGGCACATCAACGCCGGAAGGCATCGTCATGGACCTGGGCCAGCGTAGGCGATCAGCCAGTGACCTTTCAGATGCTAGCTCTGCATCCACCAAAAACCTCATTGACAAAGAGAGAGACGAGGAACGAGAGGCTGAACAAGAGGAGCGCGGTCTAGAAGGTGCAGGGCCATACGACATGGGCAGACCAGTTGAAGCGATGAGCTCGACCGTCCAGTCAGTATCGTCATTGATTAGACCTGCGACAGCTGGAACATCGCAACAAGACCTACGTGACTATTCGTCAACGAAGAAAAAACTGAAGTACGATCCTTGGCCTAACGGTGGACGCGAATCGCCACAAATGGATGAAAGGACGCGAAGTAGAACTACCGCGGATCATATCGCAGAGGCTCATAACGTGACAGTATCTTCTTTTCCCGGACGAGGACGAACTGCAGGTCACGCTAAGAAAGACCAGCGAGAAATTATGCAAGGAAACTCGATTTCCAGCTTACACAATTCTCATCCGGCGTCATATCCAGCGTCTTGTTCGTCCCCTAGTAGTGGCCGGCGTGTCCCACGACCGCAAGCCATTGCGCAATACTTCATGCAGACAGCAAACGGTCATATAAACGTGTATTACCTGGATAACCCAACCCATTGTCGAAACCCGGGTGCTTATGAATACCTCAATCAAGACACGACCATATATGACGGTGAGACCGCGTACAACCCGTATAACGACAGGGCAAATTGCTCAGTCGCTTTCAAGAGTCTGTCAGAGGAGTCACCGCGTGGACGCCGCCATAGGTGCATTTGTGTACGGTGCGTCCTGTACGAATTGGACCGGCGCAGGCCATCCTGGTTTGCACTGCGCGGATGGACTATGGGCGCAATGCTGCAGGCTGCTTTGCGAGATGGAAGATGGGAGAGCTTCCATCGAAAAAGACCCTCACGGAGTCAAAGCAATTTCGTAGAACGCGGAATCAAAGGCAAAGCTCCTCGTGCAACAGGAACAGAAGAGAGAGACGCTAATATCCATGTCGGAAAAACAGACGCAGCCACTGTACGGCGTGTGAAGCCCCATTATCTCGACCGTTACGACATGCATGGGAGTTGTATGCACGATTTTTTGCTGACCATGATGTACGTCGGAATAAGTTTGCTGCGTGTGGATCCGTTCTCGGCCTCTAGTTTGCGGTTTGCGCGCTGCTGGACCGACATGAGTACGCACCCACGGCTTCTGCCGCATCGCCGAAAACTGTTCAAGATCGGCTTTTGGTACGACAACTCAAGTAGGAGCGAGCGCGGTTTTTCTAGTCGAAATTACTTGCAAACGCGCCCACAAGAGGGTGCGTTTTGTTGTTGTAACGTTAGGGACGGAAAGCCAGAAGGGCTCGTTCACAACTCAGACACCAGAAGTGCGAAACGGAAGACGATGACGACCGACGAGGATGTTGTTGGCGCGCCCTCTCGCATAGGGCAACGAACTCCAGTGGGTGCTTCGCCGCAAATGAGGTATGTGGAAGACCACGATCGTTCTGCGGCCAGTGCTCCCAGAGAGGTACAAGAAAATCAGAGAAATAATGTTTTTCAGGAAGAGCACGACGGTAGGAGAGTCGAAAACGATGACGAGCAGATTGAAGAACGATACCTGCGGCATTACTGGTTATTTCCGAGACGAAGCGCACCAGAGGGTATTCGAAGGCTCACAGGAGAATGCAAGGGTGCGGAAGAAATGGCAGTGCAAAGCTACGTTGACACAGAGGCAAATGCTGAAAAATTCGGCCGGATGCTAATCCCAGACCCAGAAAATACCAAAATTTTGGTGCATTTTCATGGAGGTACTCCCTTCATGGCTAGGAGTAGAGCGGGCGCGGGTAGAACTTTTTTGAGGAAGAACACGATCACTCATGCATTTGATGTTTTCGGTGTGATAGTACATTGATTCGTAACTACCCATCATCTTTGATTTTTTACCACGACAGGTGGGATGTTATTTTGCGATGCCGACAGCGCTATGACGATTTTCATGACGTGGCTTGCGCACGAGTGCAACATGATCTGCCTTCTAGCGAACTTCCGCAGGCCGCCAGAGGTTGACGTCTCTGTCACAGTCGCGGACGCCACTTACCTGCTGGTGGACTACGTACACACGAAACTAGGCGTTCCATGGCAGAACATCAATGTAATCGGTGACTCAGCCGGTGGACAAGTGTCCTTGCGGGTAGCACTACGCTTGCTAGAAGAGCGACAGATTTCCACGTCTGGTGCATCAACAGCCATTAGACCCGAGCAGGTAGACGTAAATCTAAGGCGTATCGCGACTGATGAAGATCAACATGATCAACTTCTTGAACAGGAAGAAGGAGAAAGAGTACAAGGTGGAAAGGACGATGAGCTATCACCACATCCCATATCGCGTTCGCGGGCAGACTATCCAGCTCCAGTTGGCGGACCAATTTTGAACCGCTTGATCTTAGTTTCGCCGTGGTGTGACCAGAGCGCCAATGAGTGGAATACGCCGAGCTACCTTTCGAATCGCGTGAGTGATATGCTTCATCCAGAGACAGTGAAATACTACGCTTCGTGTGTCGCGAAAGCTACGTTGGCAAATTCTGGCTTCGGCTTCGTCATTTCATGTAAATTTAGTTTCTGCTTGATCCTCTAAGTCAGAGTACTAAATCTTCCTTTTTTCCGTCTCCTGGTCCTGTATTATATCTATGACTAGCGAGTCTCGATCTCGTCCAAAACATCTCCTAATCAATCCTGCGGTCGCAGTCTGCGCGATCCGATGTTGAGTGCACTACACGCTCCGGAATTCAGCGGTGCTCCACCAATTGGTCTTACAGAGCGTATGCCCCCTATTCTTATTCAGAGCGGAGAGGCGGAGGCACTACGGGACATGCATGTCGGTCTTGCGCAGAATTTAGCAGCATCGGGCCTGGATGTGACCCTGCAAGTGTTTCAGGATGCAGGACATGTCGGACAACTGTTCTACAAGTACCATCCAGTCGCACTCCGTTCTCTCCATGAAATTAAATCCTTCATCCTGCAAGATGACGAGCACGAGCAAGATACACCGAGCGGCTTACGGGAATCGTGATCATTCCCGTGTGCTACGTGCTTTCTCATCTGTGTCTTTGAGATTACCTCAACATACCAAGAATAAGCATCTCATCATCTGTGTACATTCGAGACAAGCACCGCAAGCTATTATAAAGTGCTATTTTCTCATGCAGACTTCTGTCTTTTAATATTAAGGCTAGCCTGAGGTATTAGACGGTGGTCGTGAATAGTTTTATGGTCGTCGGCCGTCGCCTTTGCCAGAGAGTAGTTACCCCTTCGTCTTGGAAATGTAGCGATGGAAATCCTGGCCTTGTCTACTTCCGAGGCCCACTGCTCCACGAACTCGTCGATTCTTCTTCTTGCATTCGATTCTTCAAGTATGCGCATTCGAAAGGAGCTCGTGCTGTTGCGCCATCGCCTAATATGTGCTCGTTATAAACATCTTCCGTGTCGACGAAAATGCCAGTTAAGAATTTTATGCAAAAGATTCTGGATCATCGACAAAGCTGCGATTAGGAAGCGCCTTGTCAATCTACTTATCCATCATTCACATAATCTTTCGAGCCGCGGCCATCTACATATTGATATTTGTATTATCGCATCTTAGTTACTAGGGAAGTTGCTCCTCTGGACCCCACGTGGCAAATATAGTGGGCTAGGAAGTTCCTCCTTACTGCAGCAAGATTTTTTTAGCTTCCTTGACTATTTTGAAAACGAGAAAGAGAGAAGAAAAACACTCAAGCAGCTTGAGAGGCTCAAAGAGTTGCAACGTCGAACGCGAACGAGAATAAGAG